AAGGAAATTTTTTTATTAATTTTTATTCCGAAGGAACAGAAGAAGAAATTAAATTTTTTGTTAAAATAGAAGAAGAAAATGAAGTAAAATGTGTTTCTAAAATGTTTTTTGAATTAAATAAAGTTGAGAAAAGAATTTTTAAAAATTTAAGAGAAAATTTTACAATTTATACAAGCAAAGCAAAGAAAGCAAAAAAATATGAAGATGGAGAAATGGTTATTTTGGATGAAAATAATGAGGAAGAAATAGTATTTGAAGACCCGATTTATATTTTTGAATTACAGCCTTTATTTAATTTTGTAGTTTATGATTTTGAAATATTTAATGAAAATAAGAATAATATTAAAAAAAGAAAAAGAGAAGATAATAATGAATGAATTGGAGAAAGTTCTAAAATTGTAAAAATAAATTGAAAGATTAAATTTTTAAGTAAATAAATAGTGAATGATTTTTTAATTTGTAAAAAAACAAAAAACATGTTAGCAACAAATTTTAATTTGAAAAAATGTTATAAATTAAATTACAAAAAATATATAAAGTCAATTGATAAAGTTTAAAAATCGACTATTTATTCAGATATAAAGTGTTAAATTGTTGTTTAAATGTTTAAAGTTTGGGGCATGACAGTATTTCGGGTGGTGGTTCCCAACTGTATGGATCAGGTTTGATCACTCGTAAAAAGGTTACGACTCTATAAGTGCAAGAAATCGTTGTTGATAGCGCTTATCGAGAGCTTTCGAAAGATAGGTATATTAATTTGGTTTAGATCAAGCTTGAAAAAATTATAGACGATCAAATTCGATAAAAGCAGAATGGGGAAAACCCCGAAAGGTACCTAAATCACTGGCCGATGGTTTTCGAAGAAACTCCATTTTGGCTCCGGGATATGGAGGCATAGAGATGCAGGGAAATATAGTTGGATTTGCCGAAATAAGGAATTTACATACTGAGCCGGCGTAGCTGTCTTGAAAATTCAAGAAGCAAATTTCTTCCTTTTTCAGTCATTTTATTTACAAATGCCAAAAATTTGAAAAATATTCCAAGCAAATGTAGAAAACAAAGAAAAAATAGGAAGAAATGGTAAAAAATAGGGCAAATGTCATGTAAATAAGGCAAAAGGGCCACCCTGCCTAAGGCTTTTAACAAAAAACTTGCGGAGCAGTTCAACTGAGTCCGCACGATTGAGTCCCCACGATTGAGTCCGCACGATTGAGTCCCCACGATTGAGTCCCGGCACAATTGAGTCCCCACGATTGAGTCCGCACGATTGAGTCCCCGTTGTATATACCTCAATTGAGTCCCCGTTAAAAATTCCCGGTAGGAATTTTTATTTTCCTAGATTTTTTTATTGTTTTTTTTATTTTTTTGTTTTTCTTTTGGGGTTTGCAACTAATTTTGTTAATTAGTTGACCGAGCATCCACTCAAGTCCATCCGAGCACTGAATTTTCTCAATGAGGACGAGAGGGAGGACGAGAATCTTGTGTAGGTAAAAGTTTAATTTTTATTTTTTAATTTTAGATTTTATATTTCAGGTTGGTCTAACTTTGCTCATCACGTGTCGGACTTCATCCCACGGCTGCAACGATGGGAAATTTGAAAAGGTTTGGAATTTTTATTTTGTTTTTCGTTTTTATTTTTAAAATTTTTTAGTTGATTTTCGTCAGTTTCTGACTGGCGATTTTCAAGTTCACAGTTTCTGAAGGAACGAAGGTGGTGAACTTAGGAGAACAAATAACGAAAGAAAGGCCCTTCTTTGGCACACTAATTGAAGCTAGACTTTGGTTTTTTTTAATTTTTTTGATAAAATTTTTAAAAAATATTTTTTTATTTTTTTTTTCACATTTTGATTTTCTCCCGTATCCAGGTAAATTCTGCCGGAGTCCGGAAATTAGGAAGGAGTTTTTACGTTCGTAATTTAGATAGTTTCCCCTACCCTCCATAGCAGCACAAAAAGTTTTTCCAGCGAAGATTCTGTTGGTCAAAATTTGTTCAGAATCATTCAATCAACTTGATTTTGGTCTTATTCAACTCATCTCGTCGATCCCTTTCGAATGAGCTATTTTTTGTTTATTCGAATGTTTCGCAACAAAAATTCCCCATGGAATTCCACCAAAAAATCCACCATTTCGAGCCCCATATCTCGGCGAGAACTTGTTCAACAATGTTGATTTTGGTGTCATTCGACTCACTACTTTCGAATGAGCTGTCATTCAAAAAATCTCTCGATATCCCTCCTAATCCCCAAACCCACAATATCCATCTTAATCTCTCCGAATTTGTTGATATCTGCCTTAATTCAACCGATATCCCCGCTTAAATCTACTTATATCCCTCCATATCCACCGATATCCAACTTGATCCCTCGATGTCGAATACAAGTCCCCTGATGTTCACTTTAATCTCTAAAAATCCCCCGATATCCCTCTTAATCCTTTTTAATATAATTAAATACACGGGGACTCAATTGAGGTATATACAAGGGGGACTCAATCGTGCGGACTCAATCGTGGGGACTCAATTGTGCCGGGACTCAATCGTGGGGACTCAATCGTGCGGACTCAATCGTGGGGACTCAATCGTGCGGACTCAATTGAGGTGTACCGAAAAACTTGAATCCAAAAGGTTTAGTTTGGCTCCGGTACAAAATACCGAATCGTTAAAATATGGAATGGTTAAAATATCGAATCGGGTAAAAAAGGGTTAAAATATCGAAACGTCAAAATATCGAATTGATAAAATGTCGACACGGCCAAAATTGGTCAAAATGTCGAATTCCTTTAAAAAGGTTCAGATGAGTGCCATACGTTGATTGTTGATAATTTTTTCAACCTATCAACTTACTGCTGATAAGTTGGTTGAAAAGTTTGGTAAGTCGTAGTCCGGCGTAATCTTTTCTGCCTGAGTTAAGTGTATTTTACCGAGTAAACCGGACCGGATAAATCAAGAAAATCGACCGGATCCGGTCCGGCATGATCGTACGGATCCAGAAGACAACGCGATTTCTTGATCCGGAAAAATTAGAGTGCGTGCCTAGTATTTAGTAAAGGCGGAATTTTGTACCTGTACCGTACCACGGTACGGAATACCGAAAAATACGGTTCACCTTTTAAATTTTATCGGTCAGTATTCCGCCCGTACTACCGATATGGAATACTGATAAATACCGAAAAATATCGTCGGTATTACGGTACCGTCCGCGTTCTAGTTTTATCACAATTTTTAAAATAATTCGACATTTTGACCTATTTTGGCCGTGTCGACATTTTTCAATTCGATATTTTGACGATTCGATATTTTAACCCTTTTTTACCCGATTCGATATTTTAACCATTCCATATTTTAACGATTCGGTATTTTAACCCCTTTTTCGCCTATTCGCGATTTTAACCCATTTTTACCCGATTCGAGATTTTAACCCTTTTTTAGCCTATTCCATATTTTAACGATTCGATATTTTGTCCGGACACGTTTAGTTTTTGTAAAAGAGATTGAAGTGGACAATTAAGAGCAAATTACCGTATTTTTCCAAATAAAGCCCCATTCCCAATTAGAGCCCCATTCTCTAATACAGCCCCAGTCTGGAGGATGGTTGAAAAATAGAGCCCCATTCCCTATTAGAGCCCCACTCCCTAATACAGCCCCGCTATTGTAAGTCTAAGTAAATACTAATTTGAGTCATCCTGAAATTATTCCTTAATCAGGATTTGAAAGTCCTCATAATCCCTCCAAATCCACAGATATCCCTCCAAATTTCATCGAAATTCCCCCAATATCCGATCGAGAATCAAGGAGAGGGATAAATAGATATCACTAATATCAAAGCATTAAAATATCAAAGGATATCAAAGATATCAAGCAAAATATCAAAGATATCAAAGCATTAAAAGTTTTATCTGGAGATATCTAAGGATATCAAGGATTTATGTGTAAACACGATATCGACTTAATTTTTAAAATCCTCTGATATCCCTTAAAGACTTCATATCACACACAATCACTCCAAATCCAATGGAGGATAGTTGAAAAATACAGCCCCATGGGGCTGTATTTGGAAAAATACGGTATTTGGTGTTAAACAACTTTTGGGGCTTTAGAATAAAAAGGATATTGAGAAAAACAATCTTTCTTATAAAAAAATATTAAAAAACCACCGCCGAGTTTCACATTAAATTTGTGATGGCCTTAATTATATATTTAATTTTTTTCAAATTAAAATAAATTCAAAATATAATTTTTGATTACCTAACTTTATTTCTTTAAAATAAATAAAAAAAAATATTTGGTAATACATATAACAAAATATAAAATTAACAAAACAAAATTAGCAAAACAATTAATTCATCGAAAAATAAATTGAAAATTTCCATTTAAAGATAATTTCCTATGTAATTCAACAGGAGAACAGACATAACGTAAAGCTAAATCATCTAAGGAATATTCTCCAGTACATGCTGCGGCAATTCTTTTGAAAATATTTTAATTTTAAATTAAACTTTGAAGTAAAAAAAATAAATTTTTTGAAAGAAAAAAATATTTTAACTCAAAAAATTTTCTATGTTTTCGAATGATTTTTCATTCTCCTCTTTTCCCCTATTCTCCTACATCCCTGTTCCCCCGCAAAAAAAAAGTTGATAAATCGGGGAGTCAAGAAATCGAGACATAATTAATCTGTAGATTTCCTGAATAAAATTTAATGCTTTTATTAAGTAAAGAAGCCTGAGTTAAATTAAGGAAGGAAAAAACTATCTATTCCAAATAGAGATTTGGAATAGATAGTTTTTCCAGTTTTTGGGTTTATTTTCCCGGTTTTTTGAAGCAACCGGGAACGGGAATTCCCGGTCCGGGTCCCTCCCGGTCAACCTTCAGAACCCGTTTCCCGGACGCGGTTTTTTTTCGAAATTCCGATCTCTAATTTCAAATCCTTTTTTAGAAATAGAAGAGAAATTGAACTATAAAAACCCTCCTTTTTAGTGCCGTGGATATAATTAAAATTAATTAATTACTTAGTTCCATCCTCATGCAGTGCAACAGGATATATATTTAATTTTCGTATAAATCCATGATAAACCCCAAATTGAATTAATTTCCTTTCGTCAATATTTAATTGCCTTGGGGACATTAATAAAAACCAATTATGTAAAGTAGCTCCATGCTTTGAAAATAAAATATATTTAAAAATAACTACCTAATTGATATACTTTAAGTCCCAAATAAAGTCTAAAAATATCTGAGGGTCTAGTAATTGGTGCATTCGAATCGAGAATAGAAAAACGTTGGCAACGCTGTTAAATTTAAAAATTATTTAATTGAAATTTCTAAATAAAATTTCAAAATTTCCCACCTCAACAATTCCCGGACTTTCAATAAAATATCTAATCTTTTTAGTTGGAACATAACAATTAAAATATAAAAACATTGGTAGTAAACGAATACATCCATAAAAACATAAATTTCGAATACAACGAGCAACTAGATCAGCTTGAATTAAAAATATTTTCTTTAATTTAATAATTAAATAATTTACTGTCAATTCTAACAACACAAGCAATATCTTTAACACAACGAATTCCGTCTATTTGAGGGCAAATCTGTTAAAGATTATTTAAAAATATTTAATTTAAAATTTACTTTTTGAGAAAGAACATCCATTCTTTCAAGTTGTGATTGTGAAGTAGGAGGGGGAATTCTAGTAAAAATAGGCACAGAAAATGGGCTAACTAAAGGAGGTTCTACTCCACGAGAATTTGAAAATAATTTTAAATAAATTGTTGTCCTTTCTGTTACTGTATAGAAACATTCTCCTTTAAAATTAAATTCTAATAATTTTAGTAAAAGATTTTTAATTGCCTTTATTATTTAAGCCAAGGAATATTTCTCTCATTAAAACTGGAAGACGCAATTTTTCTTCAGAAATGAATGATCGTTCCTAAACAGAAAAAATAATATTTTTTAAATTATTTTTTTTTATTTTCTCGCCCACTTTTTCTAATTCAACCAAATATTCAGCACATTTTTGTACCAAAGGTTCATATACCCAATCACACTCAACTTGTCTAGAAATAACAAAGCACATGTTGAGAATAAGAATTTCACGGGGATATCTTTTGTCCTCTTAATTAAAATTTTTTTTTAAATTTATCAAAAATATTTATATACTCATTCCAATCGGATATCCAATAATTTTATTGTCAAACATATTTACAGTAATCATTCTGTCACGCATCTTAAATAAAGTTATACTAGAAACAATTTTAATAAAAGACTGTTCACCTCCTCGGATGGGATAATTGCAGAAGAAATTGACTCAAATCTTTGTTTATCAAAAACTTGACAAGGAATCTGGAAAGGAAAAATTAAAAATTATAAAAATTTAAGAAGTTTTAATATTTTAGCTGATGAAAAGAATTTCTGTGTTTTAAACTGCCAATATTTTTAATGATTAATAGCAGGTTAAAAATAAAAAGTAAAATCGAATTGGTTAATTAAAAATCAATGTTAGATGATATTTATGTGATTATAAGGGCAAGCACAAGAGTTAATTAAAAATAACACAAACGTATTCGAATGTACCGGTAATAACATTAAAGTTTAAAAAAGTTTAAAAACCACAAAAAACACCTGAAATCTAAGAACACGTCCAATATCATTATCAAATTCAGCAAAAACAATAGCCCGTAATTTTGGAAGTTCTGGTGCTTGAAAATAACGTTCAGCAGCAGAAGAGATTGTTTCATTAGGTAAAGATTTTGAAGCATTATCAGATTGTTGTTGTTCTTCAATTTCACTTGGTCTGCGGGCTTTTGGGGCCAAAATTGGAAACATCTGGAAATTATTTTTAGATAAATTGTTGAAATAAATTGGTTGTTGTTATTTAAATATTTTGGTTGCTTGATTTTAAGTTAATAACATGTTTTTAAAATGAGTTGGTAGTGAAGATAATGCAATTTATATTTTGTTGTTCTTCAAAAATTTAAAGGTTTATTTCATTTTTTAAAATAAATTTAAATAATTCTAAAAATATTTTTAATTGAAATTGCCTTGTTAATTGGATAATTAGTAAATAGACGGAAATAAGCAGACAATACACCAATAAGTGAAAAAATAAATAAACCAAAGACGGAGCAAATAGGCCAACGTTGCCACCTAAATTGAAGAAAATATTGAAGGAAATTAACAAAAATATTATTTTGATAATAAATTTGATAAAAATTTAATTTATTAATTTTGATCTAACACTTTTCTCGTTTCTTTATAATTTTTTAACTTTTTTTGCCAAAAAAAAATTCAAATTTAAAATACAACTCTACCAACGATTCCAATCTAAAGGAACAACAAAAACACCAATCCAAGAACCAATTAAACTACCAAAAGCAACACGTATAGAATATAATTGAGAAATAGTTTGTGGACTAAAATTTAATTTTTTCTTGATTAAAAAATAAATATTTTTACTAATTATCCCAACAATTCCAGAATTTTTCAGCACTTTCAGAACAAGAGATGTTTAGAGGTAAGAATGTAGTGGTAGTTAAAAGAAGAGCAAAAAGGAAGGTGTCAAAACTAGAATTTTAATGAAAATTATCGAGTTATTAATGCTTATTTAATAAAAGCTTTAAAGTATAAAATCTCGGATAATTTTTTATAATTAAATATAAAATAATTTAAAAATAATTTTAAAAAACACCTAAAAATTTGAGCTCCAAAGAAAAACGCAAGAAAATGGAAAACTATAGTTGTGCAAAAGTATCCACGCGTAAAGCGTCCAATTCTAGTGTTCCGCATAAACTGCTTGAAAGAAAAACTTTTAAAAAGAAAAATATTTAAAAATAAATATTAAAAATTCTTCTGCAAATAAATAAGCATTTAATAAATAAAAATAAAATAATTTTTATAAAATTTATTAAATAAAATTTAAAAACAAAAACAAGTAATTTTAAAGTAAAACTTTAAATTCAAATAAATTAATAAAAATAATTTTTAAATAAATTTTCTAACTAGATGTAATCAACAAATGCCAAACAAAAATCAGATAATCAATCCTAATTCAGGCATTTCAAAAATTGGCTGTCTATGCATCGGTATTGGAGGTGGAGGGGGTAATACTTCAATACTTTGTTCTTCACTACTTTCAACTTCCATTTTAGCCTCTTTAAGAGGTGCTAAAATTAAAAAGAAAATGTATTTGCATAAAACAAAAATTTTGAAATTAGATTGTTTATTTTTAAGAAGATATTCAAAATTCTATTGATTATTCGAAATTCTAAAATTTACCAGTAGATGTAGAGGCCTGACGCCGTCTTCTTCCACTAGTTGAAGGACCCAAACTCTGCGTTTGTTGAGAAGTAGATGCACTGAGAACTTCTCGTTTTGGAGAAAGTAATTGGATCTTAAATATCAAAAAAAAATTTACAAAAAAAAATTAAAATTTTACCTTTCCTTTATTGTCTTGCTGTTCACTTTCTAATTTTTTCTGAGATATTTGCTTTTGTAAAAGTTTAAACATTCCAGTTCCAATTCCAATAGGTACACCCATTATTATACATTCACTAACACCCACAATTCTGTCCCTTTGTCCAAAAAACGCTGCTTCATATCTGGAAAATTTTTATAATTAGAAATCTATTTAATTTTCTAATTATTCTAACAAATGGTCAATTGTTCGTTCGAAAGAAGCCAACAAAAGCACAGACTCCTTCATTTTTACCAGCCCATTCCTTGTAATGCCAAGCACTTCTCCACTTAAAAATTGAATATTTAAATTATTTAAAATTCCATCAAACCGATATGTCATCAAATCAGCAAGTAACATAACATGTCGACGGTCTAATTCAATTCCGTGTTCACTCATTGTATTCAAAATTTCAGAAATTATTGAACCACGAGCGGCTTCAATCCCCAATACTTCGGCAATGATAATTGCATTGTTAAATCTAAAGAAAATTTCTTTAATGATAATTGAATGATGAGATAACAATTTTTCGAGAAAAAATATAAACTACCTTGTCTTAATTCCATTGACTTCATTCAGCGCCAAAACCTCTTTAAAGCTTGAACCTTCAACAAACAATTGAAAAGATTCCCCTTTCTTATCGTCAGCATTAATTACACAACGAGTAACACCGGGAATTCCTTTGATTGGAACTGAAATAATTCTTTATAATTCCTAGACTAAAAAATTATCCTACCAGTTGGTAAATAGTATTTTAAATAATGCATATACATTGCCATTGAACACTTTCCTGTGTCAACTGGTCGAACCAATATTATTGACTTTCCAACTGTTCGAACCTTAAATTGAGAAATAAGGAATTGAATAGATAATTAAATAAAAACCTGTGAAGATTTTATAGAAGGAATTGGTAGACGTGCAGAACAAATTGATTGAATAATGGAATCAGGTGTAACTTCTAATTGGAGTTCTCGTATACGACGAACATTTAATTTAACAAGAACAAACATATCATCAGGAAGGAAAATTTGTTCAACATATTCGCTAACTTCTCCTAGATTTTTTTAATTAAAAATCTTTTATCTAAAAATTATTACCTAAAGTTGTGCGTTCAATACGCGCTTTTACACGCTTTGCTAATTTTTCATCCTTATCATTTGACAAAGCTACCGTTATTATAGGAGTTGAAATACTGCGTACTGCATTGATTATCCTTTAATGTGAGTAAGAATTAAACACAAAATAAATTTATTTAAATTTTATATACTCCTTAATCCGAGGAACTCCTTGCGTAATATTCATAGAAGCAACACCGGCAAAGTGGAAAGTCTTCAAAGTCATTTGTGTAGATGGTTCGCCAATTGAAGTAGCAGCAACTGCCCCAACAGCAGTGCCTTTTTAAAATAAATTTAAATATTCTAACAAAAATATTTTAAATTACCAGGTTCAACAATTGCTCTACGAACTTTTCCTTGGCAAAGCAGAAGAAATTGACGAATCTGAGCTAAACTAAGTCCGTTAGAGCGAAGCTGGGCCTGTCGTCGAAATCTGAATTCTTCACAGGTTTTGCAACAAACTTTACCAGAACGAGTTCTGAATAGAATGATAATAATTTTTAAAAAAATCTGCCCTATTATCTCAAAAGTATAAAAAATCAAACGTTGGAGACATATATGCTCTGTGTCGTTCACAGTTAACTTGCAATTGTAAAAGTTTTTTGTTTGCGTTAAAATGTTTGCAAATAAAATCATAAAGTCCATCGGCGAATTTGTTTGTAACCAATAATTGTTTGGTTTTTGTATCTTTTATCTCGTTTTGTATTGAAGAAAGTGATAAATCAATTTCTTTACGTATAATATCAAGACTATCTAATTCATATACAGAAGCATCATTAGGGTAATCATTTTGTTGAGATAATTCTCTAAAAAATTTTTTGAGTAGAAAATAATTTTAAAAAATTAAAAGAAAATTTTAAAATTTACTTTTGAGTACTTTTAACTTGATTGAGAAGATGGGACAAATCTAACAATTTTCCATCACGAGCCTCCATATAAGACGGATCAAGCCCATCATCGCCAAATACAAACTGTACTACTTCATTTGTTGATGTTCGAACTGTGTTGTCATAAGATACAACTAAATCCTAGAAAATAAATACCGTATTTACTCTATTATAGCCCCCTCTCAATTAGAGCCCCCTCCTTAATAAAGCCCCCGTTTCAAGGATGGTTGAAAAATAGAGCCCCCCGTCTCTATTAGAGCCCCCCTCTTTAACAGAGCCCCCCTTTTTGTCAAATATCAAATAAATAATTTAAGCAAAAATGTTGTTCCCGTTCCCCAGTCCCTCGTTATAGTCTCAGTCGCGCATGTTTCAATCATGTGTGAATAACACAGTTTATAAAAAATAGTTAAATCGTACGCAATGGGGGAATATAGAGAGAGCTCTTCCCTATAAGACTCGTGTATCGGCCAGCTGACAACTATTTTGATGAATGAAAAAGTGATTTCCCTTTGCATATACATTTAGGACGTACTTGTAGGCACCAGGAACGAGACGGCTCTTTCCCTGATATTCACCAAATACTTTTCAATCGCTGTCCCAAGGATAAGTTAGTCGTGATGTTGAGCTTAGATAATGGGTGGCTATCTTTTGATGTAAAATTTATTATTTAATCCCTCATTAATTCCCAACCTGTTAAACCAATTAATAATAAATAAAATAAATAACTCATATCACTTTTGATCCCTGAAGCCCCTTATCCTTCAGATTACCTTATATTCCTCTGTCCTCACAAATTCCTAGATATACTTCGTACTCCACATTCCTCAACAATGGAATTCCAAAAATAATGGACTAATTGAATGTTATCCTTTATCCAAAAGTACATAAAACCTTAGCTTTATAACTTTTGGAGAAATGGAAAACTGTTGCATGCATTATCATGCAATAACTATCTTGTTTTTGTGCTAAAATTACAATTGATCTTAAAAGTTAGAAAGTCTATAAATTGAATGAAAAACCTGTTCCTATTTTAAAAATAGGTTGAAAAATACAGCCCCCCGTCTCTATTAGAGCCCCCCTCCTTAATATAGCCCCCGTTTGGAGGAAGGTTGAAAAATAGAGCCCCATGGGGCTCTAATAGAGTAAATACGGTATTAGTATTTTTCATCACGGTTTTCTAAAGATTATATGATAAAAAGTTTAAAAGAAAAATTATGAACCTCCAAACATTTGACTAATCTCCGCTGCATATAACCAGTTTCTGCAGTCTTTACTGCTGTGTCTACCAAACCTTCACGACCACCCATTGTGTGAAAAATAAATTCTGTTGGAGTAAGTCCAGAATAGAAAGAATTTTCTACGAAACCCTTAGCATCTGGAGATCGATCATTTTGTTCAAAATGAGGTAATGAGCGATTCTAAAAATACGTAAAGAAATAACAAAAATATTCTTAAAAAATTGCCTCAAATCCATCAGAAGGCCTTTTTCCAGAAATTGACTGTTGTCCGACAAGTGCAATCATTTGGGCAATATTAATAAATGAGCCTTTAGATCCACATTGTGCCATAGTGAGTGGAGTATTGTTTTTACTATACAAGAATAATATTTTAAAGATATTTTAAAAATCACAAAAATATGGTGTATAATTTTAAAAAAAGTTGATTTTACCTCAAAAATTCACGACATGCCTTTCCTGCTTGATCACGAATATTAGAAAGTTCTTTCAAAATTTTTGCTTCCAATTCTTCCACCAAGCCAAAATCTGGTTTTGTTTTCTGTTTTTCCATTTTCATTGTTTTATTTAATTGATCACAAGTTTTGTATCCATTCTCGAGAAGTATGCGTTTTTCGTCCAAAAGTTGTTGGTTTGGCCTAACATCACCAATGCCTTTAAATATGCAATTTAACAAAATTAAAATAAATGAAAGAGTTTTAACAGAAAATTTGAATAATTAGAGGTTTTAGAATTTTGTAAAGATTTTTACCGATAGAAAATCCACGATTTGATAGGTAAACGCCAGAAAAGCGAGCTAACCTCCACATAGCATCAATTGCATGCTGTTCGCCCCAATCACGAAGGAGGGTATAGAAAATAGATGTTTTGCTTTCAGACCCCAAAAGAGTTTTGTCAAGTGAACCGCAAAGTAGTTGATTATTTCGAATAATAACAAAGGTATCCTTTAAAAATTATTTTAATAATACCTTAATTGTAAGGAGAAATTTGAGATAATTTCCATGTTAGTTGAATTTAAATTTAAAACTCAAAATTATTTTCCCCTAATCTTAAAAATAAATAAAAACTGACTTTATGAGTAAATTCTCCATCATCTGGATTATGAATTTTATTTTTAGTTGACAAATTTAATCGAACATTTGAATCAACGAAAGGTGCAATTACCAACTCGATTAACTAAAAAATAAAATTTTTATAAGTTTTAAAAAAGTATCCTTTCTAACTTGCTTTCCAGTCCATAATTTAATTGGCCAAATTATAGCAGGTGGTGGCAATCTTATCTTTCTTTGATTTATTTCTGTAATGTCGAGAAGTGTAGCAGAAATTCGTTGAACTTCACTATGCGTTAAAAATGTATCCTTTTTTTGTAAGTAAATGACCAGCTGTGATAAAATCTAAAAAAAGTTTAGAAATTTCTAATTATAAAAAAATTTAAAAATCACAATTACCCTGAATTGCAGCTATTAAAGGCTGTCCAGCACGAGGACTAACCAAATTATGCTTAACGCCCATAAGAAGCGATGATTCTGCTTTTGCTTCATATGTTTGTGGAAAATGCACATTCATTTCATCACCATCAAAATCAGCATTGTAAGGAGTACAAGCACATTCATTAAATCTAATGTTGCATAAAAAATCAACATAAATAAAAATTAAAAATGCCTGAAAGTCCTGTATGGCATAACTTTAACACGATGAGACATTATACTAATTTTATGTAAAGAAGGTTGTCTGTTGAAAAGAACAACATCTCCATCTGACAAATGACGCTAAAAATATTTATTAATATCATGTTATATTTTAAAAGTTCAAATGCAACTATGCATACGCAAAAACTTTATCAGAAATAAACAAAAGAATAATTAAAAATGGAGTATGTATGCATTAGTGATCGAGATTTTTGAAAAGCCAGGGCCTGTAGTCCAGGAACTCACAAAATGCCTGGTCCTGAACTCTATGTACAGGAAAAACCGAGACCTTGGTCCAAATCCAAACCCAGCTCGATCGCTAGTATGCATATACTCCTAAATTTGGCGCCTTTTTTATCGTTCTTATCCCTATACCCTCTCCTCCTCCAATAAACATTAACCAGAAGATAAAACACTTACAGCAGACCTCTAATCTCAATAATACTTTAAAAAGCAAACCTCAACAATATCACCAATTTGTAAATTTTTTGCAGTAATAGCACGATTTCCATATCTAAAGAAGAACATCTTATTTAATTTGATAAAAGTTAACCTTAAAGAGCGTTTATTTCCAGTTTTACAATCAATTATCTGATTAGCACCAGGGTGAACTAATTCCCCATTAATTACAGCCTTTCGTAATCTTTCAATATTTGAACGACATACAACCTCAGGAAATGTAAGAGTCATTGCAACTTGTAAGGGAACTCCAACTTGATCAATCTACTTGGGAAATTATTTTAATAAACAACATAAAAGTTTCGATTAGAAGGGAAATGAGAAAAAGTAATTCAAAAAATTCTATTTTATAACGCTAATCGTTTAAATTTTTTCAGACCTTTAGGTTCGGATCTGGTGAAATAACAGTTCTTGCAGTGAAATCCACTCGTTTACCAGACAAATTACCACGAAAACGACCATGTTTCCCTTTTAAACGTTGAGCAAATGAGCGTAAAAACTTTTTTGGTTGCATTTCTGGAGGAAGTCCACTCATTTCAGAATTTATATAAAGAGCACATTGAACCTTAAAAATTAAATTTTAAAATAAGATAATTAAAATTAAATACCTGTAAATGATCCCATGTTTCACAAATTGTTTTCATTGGCGCTCCATCTTTTTTATGCTTCTTGAGAATGTCGTTAATTAACATAATTTCAGTCAATTTCATTGTAATGTCATCCTAAAGAATTTTTAAAAAAATGTTGAAAAAATCAAAATTACTTCATTAGATCCAGATTTTAATTCAGAAACAACCGACGGTCGAATACACACAGGTGGAACAGGAATTCTTTGATTCAAAAAATGTAATGGATGTTTACATTCATCTGCCCCAATCATTAATAATGGTAAATCCTTAAATTTAATTTTAAAATTAATTTTAAATGTTTATTTTACTTTTAAATCAATTCTTTTAAAAATTTCCATAACTTTTAAGGGATCAAGTAAATTTTGTTTTGAACTAGAAAGTAATTGTTGTAGCTCATTTCTGTCTTCAACGGCTGCCAATATTTCAGCAGAAAGTGGTTCATGGTGTGCAATTTTTAAAACAGAACCGACAGCTTTTTTGACGACACCTTAAATTAATTTAAAATATCTAAAAAATATTATTTTATTTTTTGGAAAAAAAGATACTAATATAAGACGATTCAAGAAAAAATTTGGAGTGATATTGAAAAGTAATCTAAAACTTATAGGGCATATTTAATGAAAAAGAAACAAAATTGTAATATAATATTAATCAAGTTATCATGCTTTATTTTATATTTCTATTACCTCAATACTCATTATATAAAATTTAAAAATAATACATTAATTACCATTTAAAAATCCGCATTTTGTGCACATACTAATTTTTTTGCTCAAAGTAACAATCTTCTTCTGCAATGCCTTTTTGCGTAAATAATCAAGATTTGGATTAGATGCCTGTCGTAAAAGTAAAGATTTTTGTTCTTCTTGTAAAAGAGTTTGACTGCAACCCTTCAAAATTAGAGATTAATTTAAAAAAATAAAATTTCCCAAACAAATTACTTTACAAATACATTGAAGAGTTTGAATAATTAAACGAAAGAATCCAACATGAAAGACAGGATATTCAAGGTCAATAAATCCAAAATGTCCAACACAATCATTCATATTTTTGTTACATGTTTGGCAATTAAGTGATTTTTGAAATGTTCCCTGAAAAGAATTCGGTAATACCAAGGCTTCCCCCCCCCCTTTTTTTTTGTTTCCCTGACCATTTTGAGCTTTTTTGCTAGACATACAATTTACAATATATCATTGTAGATTTAGGCCTGATTTCTAAGATATTAGTACCGTTCGATTCGCTCAAAGAGCTCTTCCGAATGGATATAATTTGCCATAGAAAATAAAAAAATAGAACAGAAAAAAGGGGGGCCAGCCTTGGTATTACCAAAAATTCATTAAAAAATAATTAAAAAAAATACCAGTCGACTATCAAGAGGTCCATATTGAGCAGGAAGCCATTTTCCTTGTACATCTTCATAAAGTCGGTTATTAAATATTTGGATATGCGCTGCTTGTCTAATTAATTCTGTATTTCCTGCCGTGAATTTCACTCCAATACTTAAAATTTAAAATTTTAAATATTTTTAAAGTTAAATTACATACACTTTACGAGATGTATCAGCCTCCTTAAATTGTTCTTTTCCCATTAATAAATAGCTTAAATAAATATTTAATTTTTTCGAAATAAAAAATTTTTGTTACAATAACGAAAAGGAAGGAATATTTTTGAGACTTTGAAACGAACGATACACGGACACTTAGTCGCAGGCCCATTTAGTCGCGGGCCACTTCGTCGCGAAGTAGCAAAAGTAGTTTTGCACCGGAACCGATATTTTAACCGGAACCGAATCTGGATCCAATTTGACCGGAATTTCCAATTTTCGAATTTTTTCGTAAAATTTCGACTTTTGATTTCGATATTTTTGGATTTCTTTTGATTTTAGATTTCCGATTTTCGAAGACTACTTGGCCTGCGCCTACTTGGTCGCGCCTACTTGGGCCGTACTCAGTTTTTTTTTCATTTTTGTAATGTACTGTGGAATTTTAGAGAATTTTTTCATTTAATACTTTTGGATTCTGGTCGAAATTATAATTTCTGGTACTAACTCTAGAACTTTTTCTGAAGTTTTATTTCCTCAAAAGGGTTAATGATATAAGTTAATAGTAAAATATCGTCTTATTTGCTACTAATTATCCACATACATATTTAGATAAATATTTTAGTTTAAATAAAAAATTAAAAAATGGCTGATGATTTTGCACCGCCCGCAGATGGTTTTGCACCCGCTGAGGATAATTGGGCCACGGAAGATGTTGCTGGTGGACAAGGGGATATGCAAATGACTACAATTGATTTTCCTGAAATTAAATTGTTTGGTAAATGGTCTTTGAGCGATATCGAAGTTAATGATGCTTCTTTAGTGGTTTTATATTTCTAATTTTGTTTTGAATTTTTAAAAATATTTTTGTAGGATTATATTGCTGTTAAAGACAAATATGCCAAATATTTGCCACACAGTGCTGGTCGTTATCAAATCAAGCGTTTTCGAAAGGCGCATTGTCCGATTGTTGAACGTTTGGTTTGTTCGATGATGATGCATGGACGTAATAATGGTAAAAAGTTAATGGCTGTTCGGATTGTGAAGCACGCTTTTGAGATTATACATATTTTAACTGGAGAGGTTTTTTTACTTTTTTATATGTACAAATTAGGGATTTATTGTTTTAAATAAATTTGGACGATTTTTCAGTCATATGAAGTCATTAGTTTATTTTATCTATCAGCCCGAAATTTTTGTTTCCGAATATCCGGAACCGAGTCGAATCTAATGAACCAGAAACTTATTGGGCTCAACTACATTTTACCGGGGGATTTTAGATGTGGAAAAGTTTATGTAACCCCTTACATAAGGCCTCCGCGGAGAAAAGTTTTTGCTGCTGCGGAGTAAGCCAAGTCGCCAAAGCGAGCATGACCGCAACAAAGTACGGACATCGCGTATCGAAGACCATGACCGGTATACCCTCCGTAGCAGCACAAAGTTTTTCCAGCGAAGATTCATTTGGTGAGGATTCGATTTTGGATATTACCTTTTCCTGATTTCTTTATTTCTTTTAAATTTTCATTAAAAATATTTTATAGAATCCAGTTCAAATACTTGTTGGTGCTGTTATCAATGGAGGACCACGGGAGGATTCTACTCGTATAGGTCGTGCTGGAACTGTTCGTCGTCAAGCTGTTGATGTTTCGCCTCTTCGTCGTGTTAATCAGGTTCTTGTTTGGAAAATTTTCTAAGGGATTTTAAACAGCTAAATTTTTTAAAGCCTAAAAATCCTTTGATTTCGATCCAAATATATTTTTATATAAATTGCCGAACAAAAATTTAATTCTAAAATTTGGTACTTATGAAGATGGAGGTGCCCTTTCTGCGGACTTTTTTTGCGGACTTTTCTTCCCTTCTTTTAAATGTTTTACTTGTAGCAACTAACTGTCAACGCCACTCCCCCATTATTCTTCTTACCTAAGATTGTACATAAAGGTCAGATTTTCTTCTTCCTCTCCTTCCTCTATTTGCCCTGTGGCAAATTCAAACAAGAGACACTGATGAAGAGAAGATTAATTTTATAATCATACACTTATTTTTTGCCTTCGAAAACAATTTAAACAAAAAAAAAGAATTAAATAAAATTGATTTGGTGTATAACATTATGAATTTCTTTGTAAAAACATTACATTCTTACTTCTATTTTAAAATATTGAACAACTCAATTAATTTTAATCTTCTCTTTATCAACAATATCTCTTATTTGAATATGCCAAGCTCAAACAGAGGAAAGAAGGAAATCTGACCATTTTGTACAATCTTAGGTAATAAAAATAATGGGGGGGGGGACAAGGTTTGAAATTACCCGCATTTCTGTTCCACAATAACATATTCTTTTTCTATGAAGTATTCCGAGATCAGTGCTGCCAAAGCTCAAACAGAGTTAATTGCTCCGAGATCAGTGATCCATAGTCGAAATTCATCATCGAGTAATTGAAATTTTAGTTAAAGTAAAATTTTTAATTGATTGTAACATTTTTACGCTTATATATTCAAATTAATCGTGAACACATATTTTTCAAATTGGCATAAAAAATAATCCTTTGACAGTTAATTGCTACGAGCAAAACTTGCTGAAAGCAAAACAACCAAAACATTTAGAAAGAAAGGAAGAAAAGTCCGCAAAAAAAGTCCGCAGAAAGGGCACCTCCATCTTCATAAGTACCTAAAATTTTTAGGCGATTTGGCTTTTATGTACTGGGTCTCGTGAAGCTTCTTTCCGTAATATCAAAACAATTGCTGAATGTTTGGCTGATGAGTTAATTAACGCGGCAAAAGGTTCGAGCAATTCATATGCTATCAAGAAGAAGGACGAATTGGAGCGAGTTGCAAAATCTAACCGTTAAAAAGGATAATATTGAAAAAGTTGGAAATTATGTTGTCTTTTGACTGTTAAGTTTTATCTGTTAAGGTCATTTGTTAATGAATAAATTTAAAAAAAAATTCAAAATTTTAATTAGAAAATTTGTATTTTACAGAAAAATGAAATTTCCGTCTCTTGTCAAGTTTAGTCCTCCCATTGATATCCTTTTGGATGTTCCAAAAAATGAGAGGGATTAATTGAGAAAAATTTCAATGTTAGGTTCCATTAATTCCAAACAACCTTTTCCACTTCTTAAGTACCGGGTAGTTTTCTAATTATCCACAATTGTTTTTTTTATTTTAAATTTTACTTTTGTATGGTTACTACATTTTTGGAATGCAATTTTCTCTTTAAAGGTTTATCGATTAAACGAATAACTCTAGCAAGGCTGTGACTGCTTTCCGCTGCCAAAATCGAGGTCATCCATTCCCAACAAATACCCAAACCTTGCCGGTCATCAAAACATTAAATATATTTTGAATATTTGAAGACTAAATATGAGGGTTAGAAAATAGGATTTAAAACAACAACCCCCCTTTAAAACTCCAAATTTTTCTTATTTTTATTCAGGAAGTGTCCTACACAATATTTAAAAATACCCTCAATTCTTTTAGTATTTCCACAATTTTTCTCAAAATATTTTTTTGTTTTAACATTCTTTAGTAATGTTTTGTGTTTGTTTGTGTCAGCCTATACACACAAACATTTTTACTATTGCTAGTATATCTCTTCTCAAAATATTCGATTTTTTGACTGCTTTTCCGTCCAAAAGGACCTTTAAGCAAGCTAAAAAAAGCTTTAAATTTCTCCAAAAATATTATTTTTTTGTTTTTTATTAAAAAATCTTTCCAAAGTTTATTAGAGTTTCGAAATTGTTGAAATCTTTAAGATCTCAGACAAAATTTTTACAACTGAGCATGTTCACGGATACTGACAATATTCCGTGAACATGCTTCTCCAATGGGACTTCGACTTGTAAATGGGTGCCGGAATTTTCGTCTCTGGAAATTTCGTCTCCAAGACTTTACGGAACTTTCGTCTCCAACATTTTTGGAATTTTCGTCTCCAGCGGAATATTCGTCACCAAGGAAATAATCGGAATTTTCGTCTCCGCAATTTTCGTCTCCGATAGGAATTTTCGTCTCCAAAGGAAAACTTACCAGTTGACGGAGCAACTTCCCCCGTTGACGGACAACTTCACCCGTTGACAGGACAACTTCCCTTGTTGATGGAACAACTCCCCCCGTTGTCAGGATAACTTCCCCCGTTGATAAAACAACTACCCCGTCAACGCGGGAAGTTGTTCCGTCACGGGGGATAGTGTTCCGTCAACGGGGGAAGTTGTTCCATCAACGGGGGAAGTTGCTCCGTCAACTGATAAGTTTTTCTCTGGAGACGAAAATTCCTAGCGGAGACGAAAATTGCGGAGACGAAAATTCCGATTATTTTCTTGGTGACGAATATTCCGCTAGAGACGAAAATTCCGAAAATGTTGGAGACGAAAGTTCCGAAAAGTCTTGGAGACGAAATTTCCAGAGACGAAAATTCCGTACACCCTTGTAAATATCCTTATGTTAGTTAATCTATGCATATTAGTACCATATGTGCCATTTTCCCATTATATGTAGTAGATATTCTAACAATAAACGTTTTTTTATTTAATTTATTAAATTGTCCCGATAAAAAATAGTCCATTGAAAAATATGTAGGTAATTTAATTTATTCGCACTCAGTTGCCCCCTTTGTTCTTAAACAATAATTTACAAAATATACACACGTATTATTAGTAGATAAATCCAAATAAATTTGTTAATTTTTACATTAAAACTTCAGAAAAATATTTTTAAAAATGAGCTATGAAACTAGTGATATAGGTCCACCACCAGATCCAGTTTTGGAAGTCCCCCCACCAAAAGATATAAAAATATTAGAAAGTGCTGATGATATACAACAAAGAAGAACTGAAGTTTTGGACCATTATGTCCAATTTAAAGATTTTGCAAAAACTAAAAGAGATCGTTTAGAAGAAGCTAGACAATTTCAATATTTTAAAAGGGATGCTGACGAGTTGGAAATTTGGATTTTAGAAAAGTTACAGACAGCTGCGGTTAATTTTAAATTAATTAAGAAGCTAAAAAATAATTTTATTTAAAGTATATTTTGTCAATATTAATTGAGGGGAACCGTAAATTTAGATGATATTTTTGGTATTAGTTAATTGGATAATCTTGAATAGGGTACACCCCAAGGAACCGCAAGGTCAATGTACCGCCGAGCTATAACTTTCTTCAAACTTGTCGAAATCCGAGACGCACTGGTATGGTTCGATGCGCCTCGACGAGCTGAATCGAAACATACCAGGGCATCCCGGATTTGACAATTTTGAACAAAGTTATGCGGTACGTTGGCCTTGCGTTACCTTGGCCTGCTCCCTCTTGAATATCATTCTCTCCCCCTCTCCTCCCTTTTCCCCCTTAAAGTGGGCATATTTAATAATCAGACCTTTCTCCCTCCTTAACTAAAAATTCCAAATCTTTTAAGGAAGAATCCTTTCGGGATCCAACAAATCTTCAAGCTAAAATCCAAAAACACGAAGCTTTTGTTGCTGAAGTTCAGGTTACTTCTGTCAACAATTCCTTTCTTAAATTTAAATTAAAGGCACATTCTAATGCAATAACAAAATTAGATAAAACTGGGAATGATATGATACAACATGGGCATTATGAGAAAGAAACAATTAGAAAACGTTTAGATCGTCTTCATGAACTTTGGGACAGATTATTCTCGATGCTTGATAATAAAGGAATTAAATTACAACAAGCATTGAAATTATTGCAGTTTATGAGAAAATGTGATGAAATGTTATATTGGATTAAGGATAAGGTAAATTATGGAAGAGTATTGTGTTCGTACTTGTGGACACAACAGAAATGCTTGGGTTTTTCAAATTTTTTAAATTCAAATCCATAAAATATTAAGTTGATCCTTTTTTGCCTGTTGTAACAATAAGATGGAAAATTATTATTATCCATCTTTCATAATAAAATTATGCAAATTATTCCTATAATACATAAAATGATAGGAGATAACTTTATAATTTTATAAATTAGTCCAGTTTTTACTTCTCATAATTGAGTGAGTGATTGTAAACTATGTTAGCCAAACAAAGTTGGACAGCTACCAAAAATATACACTTAACACTGAGATTAATAAAAAAATAAATATTTGTAGATAGCATTTGTCTCTTCTGATGATATGGGCTCAGATTTGGAACACGTTGAAGTAATGCAAAGAAAATTTGATGAATTTTTAAAAGAACTGGATAGTCATCAATCTAGAGTTTTAGATATAAATCAAGAAGCTAATGCTTTAATTGATGAAGGACATCCAGAACAACAACAAATAAATGCAAAAAGAGATGATGTCAATGAAGCTTGGCACAAACTTGGGACTTTGACTGCTACAAGGTGTGGAAATATTTGGAGGGGAGGGGGGAGAGAGAGGATTTTGTTTTAGAAACAGAAATTACGTGATATTATTTGAGTATAAACAGTTAGGCTGTCTATGGGATCGGCATTTTCTACCTTAACTCCATAAGCTCAACGAAAATTATTTTCTGTCTAAAAATTTTACTTAAGAATATTTGTAGTCGTTAAGGCTTATTATCACATCTCTCAAATAAAAAATTTCAATTAATTCTCTTAAACTTCATTTCCAGACGTGAAGCTCTTTTTGGTGCTCAACAAATTCAACGCTTTTATCGTGATATTGACGAAACTTTGGCTTGGATTGGCGAAAAAGAATCAACATTAGCAACTAATGATTATGGAAGAGATTTAAATAATGTTCAAGCATTACAAAGAAAACATGAGGGAACTGAGAGAGATTTGGCTGCACTTGAATCTAAAGTTTAAAAATAATTTTTAGAAAAATATTTATTAATTTAAAGATGGAAAAGTTAGAAACTGAAGCAGACCGTCTTTGTCAACTTTATCCAGAAAAATCAAAAGAAATTTCTACAAAAACTGATGAGGCTAAAATAAGATGGGAAGCACTTAAACAAAGTGCTGAGGAGAGAAAACGAGCTTTGGACCGTTCTTATAATCGTCATAGATTTATGGCTGATTATAGAGAACTTTGTGATTGGATTGAGGGAATTAAGGTAAAAATTGGGAATGATTAGGAGATAAAAGAGGGGATTGGCATTTATTTCGAAAAATGGGTAATAGTGGTCATAATAACCTGTATAGTCACACAATAACCTTTCACTATTTCGTTTACAATAAAAATTAAGGTTCTCATTGAGTCAGCGGAATTAGCCAAAGACGTAGCCGGTGCCGAAGCTCTTCTTGAACAACACCAAGAACATAAAGGCGAAATTGATGCTCGTAATGATTCTTTCATTCAAACTGCAGAAACTGGACAAAAATTACTTGATGAAGGTATTGAACAATCTGAGGAAATTAGACAGTGTTTGCAACGTTTGGCAAATGACCAAGCTAGTCTTAAAAATTTGTGGGAGGAAAGAAGAATTTTGTATGAACAATGTATGGATTTGCAATTATTTTATCGGTTAGTTTTTTGAATTTTCTGAAATAAAATTTATTTTTTAAGGGACACAGAACAAGCTGAAACTTGGATGAACAAACAAGAAGCATTTCTTCAAAATAGAGATTTGGGGGATTCTTTGGATGCTGTCGAGTCTTTATTAAAGAAACACGAAGATTTTGAAAAATCTTTGGCAGCACAAGAAGAAAAAATACACGCTTTAGATGAATTTGCTACAAAACTTATTGAGGGAGGGCATTATGCAGCTGATGATGTTGCTGCTAGAAGAGAGAAATTGTTGTCAAGAAGAAGACGTTTAATGGAATTAACGGCGGAGAGAAGAGAAAAATTGAAAGAATCGTATAGACTTCACAGTTTTGATCGGGATTGTGATGAAATGCTTGGGTGGATGAATGAAAAATTAAAAACTGCACAAGATCAGAGCTATCTAGATCCAACAAATATTCGTGGAAAATTACAAAAACATGCTAATTTTGAACAGGAACTCCGTGCAAATTCCAATCGTTTAGATGAAATTAAAGCAACAGGGCAAGAATTAGTTGCACTTGGACATTATGCAAACGAGCAAATACAAACGAGACTTGAAGAAGTTGAACAATTGTGGGCCCAACTTGTGGAAGCTAGTGCTTTGAAAGGAGCTAAATTACAAGAGGCTAATCAAGTGAATTAATTAAAGTACATAGTAATACTTAAATTCTTTTTAAAGGAACAATTATTTAATCGAAATGTTGAGGATGTAGAACTTTGGTTAGGGGAATTAGAACGTAAACTTGCTAGTGAAGATTTTGGCAAAAATTTAAATACCGTCCAAAATCTTCAAAAAAAGTTGGCACTTGTAGAGGCGGATTACAACGCTCATAGTGAACGTTTGGATACAATTGGACAACAAGCACGTGAATTTGAATCTATAGGGCATTTTAATGCCCCACAAATTGTCAAGAAACAACAAGGATTACAACAACGTTTTGAGGCATTACTTGACCCGTTACAAAGAAGAAAAAATAAATTGGGTGAATCTTTGGTTGGACATTTATTGTTTAGAGATATTGATGATGAATTAACTTGGATTAGAGAAAAGGTAAAAAGAGAGAGATTACTGTAGAGATCGGAACGGGTCCGTGACCCGACCCGTTTCCTGGTTTTTTTGAAGCAACGGGATGAAACCAGGAACGGGAATTCCCGGTTTTCCCGGTCCGAGTCCCTCCCGGTTCCTTCAGAACTCGGTTCTCGGACCCTGTTTTTTAAGATTCCGAGCTCTAGATTATGAACTTGAATAAGTGTTGAATTTGGATAAGTATGTTGTCAGCGTTTGATATTACATTAATAGACATGAAATAGTCGACTTAAGGATTAGATGGAGGGCTCCTCTATTGTAGAAAGAGGGCCTGTATAATATGCACAAATTAACTTATTTTCCTTAGGAACAAATTGCCTCCTCCACAAACCGCGGCCGTGATCTTGTTGGTGTTCAAAACTTAATTAAAAAGCAAAACGCTTTAATGGTTGAAATTACTAATCATGAGCCACAAATTGAACAAGTTGGAAATGCTGCTGAACAAATGATACAAAGAGGGCATTTTCTAGCCCCTGACATTCGCGAAATGGTAATGGAAGGGTTGAATAAGCTTCTAATAAACTCATTTATTTTAAGTTGGCCCAACTCCGTGATAATTGGCGCGCATTGAAAACTAAAGCAGAAAAACGTAAACAAGACTTGCAAGACTCTTTACAGGCTCATCAATATTTGGCAGATGCTAGTGAAGCTGATTCTTGGGTGAAAATTTATTTTTTTTTCTAAAAATTATTTTTTCCCCCTTAGATGAGAGACAAGGAACCAATTGTTGGAAGTACAGATTATGGAAAAGATGAGGACAGTGCCGAATCTTTAATGAAAAAACATCGTGCATTAATGAGTGATTTAGATGCTTTTCGAGCAACAATTGATGAATTGAGAAGGGAGGCTGGACAATGCAAATATCAGGAACAATTGGGTGGACAACTTGGAAATGAATGTGTTGTAGCTTTATATGAATATACAGAAAAAGTGAATTGAATATTTACAAAAATAAAAATATATTCTTAAAAATTTCTAGTCACCACGAGAAGTTTCTATGAAAAAAGGAGATGTTCTAACCCTTTTAAATTCTTCTAACAAAGATTGGTGGAAGGTAGAAGTTCAAGATCGTCAAGGATTTGTACCGGCTGCTTATGTTAAATATATCGAGCCTGGTTCTCAACATCACCACCAAGCAACTGCTGGCCAACCTGTAAACACTATCAATGCAAAACAAAGTCAGATTGAAGATCAGTACCAACGTTTAATGGTTTTGGGTGATCAGCGAAAGAGAAAACTGGAAGAGGCTTGCAAAGGTTGTTTAAAAAAACAATCCCAAAATTATCTTTGAAAACTTTTAAAGCCTACCAATTATTGCGCGAAGCAAATGACCTCGCAGAATGGATAAAGTCACGAGAAACAGTTGCTTCTCAACAAGAAATTGGTCAAGATTTGGAACATGTAGAAGTTTTACAAACAAAATTCAATGACTTTAAGTGTGACTTGAAAGCAAATGAAGTTAGGTTGCAAGAAATGAATCAAATTGCTACTAGGTGAACTTGAAAAAATCTGTTTTTAAAATATTTTAAAGACTCTCACAAACTGGCCAAACAGAAACCGCTGTTCGTATCCGCCAACAAATTGATGATTTAAATGCTCGTTGGAAGGCTCTAGAACAAAAGGCGGAACAAAGAGGACAACAATTAGAATCTGCACATGAAGTTCAACGTTTCCATAAAGACGTGGAGGAGACGAGGGATTGGATACAAGAAAAGAATGAAGCTTTAGATACTGAAGATTTTGGTCGTGACCTTCGTTCAGTCCAGGCTCTACAAAGAAAACATGAAGGCGTTGAAAGAGATTTGGCAGCTTTAGGGGATAAAATACGTGCTTTGGATGAAAAAGTTGGAAAATTTAAATGCTTTTTTAAAGCCATTTTTGTTTATTAGGCCAATCGTTTACGTCAAACACACCCTGAGGCTGCTGAGCAAATTTATGACTTACAACGGCAATTAAATGATCAATGGACTACTTTAACACAAAAAGCCAATAGACGAAAAGACAAATTATTAGACAATTATGGTGATAACAAAACTTTAAAATTTTTAAATTTTCAATTCAGATTATCAACGTTTCCTTAGCGATTATCGTGATTTAATTCAGTGGATTGATGGAATGGTTAATTTAGTTTCTAGTGATGAACTTGCAAATGATGTGACAGGTGCTGAAGCGCTTCTTGAAAGACATCAAGATTATAGAACTGAAATTGATGCTAGGGCAGCTACTTTCCATTCATTTGAACAATTTGGGAATCAACTAATTCGAAGTGGACATTATGCAGCGGAAGATGTTCGTCAAAGAATGGATGACGTTAATGAAGTGAGAGGGGGGAATGATTGAATGATAAATTATCTTTTTAATTTTATAAAGGCTCGTAAACGTCTAGAAGATGCTTGGGTACAACGTAGAAAAATACTCGATCAATGTCTTGAACTTCAACTTTTCTATCGCGATTGTGAACAATGCGATACTTGGATGAGTGCTCGAGAAGCTTTTCTCGCTCAAGAGGACCCGACTGGGGATAATGTTGAATCTCTAATTAAAAAACACGAAGATTTTGATAAAGCTATTGCTTCACAACAAGAAAAATTAAATAATTTGGATCAATTAGCAAAACAATTAGTTGCTTCTGAGCATTATGCAAAGCCTGCTATTAGTAAACGAATTTATTAAAAATAATTTAAAAAATAATTTTCAGATACAAAACGTGAACAAATATTTGATCGTTGGGATAGACTTAAAGAACGTTTAATTGAAAAGCGTTCCCAACTAGGCGAATCTCAGACACTTCAACAATTTTCGCGTGATGCCGATGAAGTTGAGAATTGGATATCTGAAAAGTTTCAAGTTGCGCAGGTGGAAAAAGAATATTTTTAAAAATTAAAGTTTAAAACAATTTATTTAGGAAGCTGATTATCGCGATCCAACAAATATTCAACAAAAACATCAAAAACAACAAGCATTTGAAGCTGAACTTTCCGCTAATGCTGACCGTATTGCTACTATAATTTCTGCCGGTCAAAATTTAATAAGTGCCGCAAAATGTGGTGGGGGAGAGGATGCCGTCTCGCAACGTTTAAATGCTTTAAATGATCAGTGGGAATTATTGGTTAAAACAAGTACAGAGAAAAGTGCCAGATTGAAAGAGGCTAATAAACAAAAAACATTTATGGCAGCAGTGAAGGATTTGGAATTTTGGCTTGGAGAGGTGAATAAAATAATCTCAGAAACATTTCTAATCCCCAAAAAATATTTAGGTTGAGACACTTTTGAGTAGTGAAGATACAGGCCGTGATTTGGCTTCTATTGAAAATTTATTGAAAAAGCATCAATTATTAGAAGCTGATATTAATGCACATGCTGATCGGGTGGCTGATGTAAATGAACAGGCTGAGGCTTTAATGGAGGCTGATCAATTTGATAGGGATTCTATTGATACACGAAGGCAAGGAATTACTAGAAGATATGCAAATGTTAAAGAAATGGCTAAACAAAGAAGAGAAAAGTTAAATAAAGCAATTACTGTTCATCAATTCCTTAGAGATATTGATGAAGAAGAATCTTGGATTAAGGTGAGGAGTGGATGAAAGTGATTACTGAATATCATTCATAATTTCACTAATTTTAAAGGAAAAGAAATTACTTGTTAGCAGCGATGATTATGGCCGTGATTTAACAGGAGTCCAAAATTTGCGTAGAAAACACCGTAGACTTGATACTGAATTAGCTAGCCACCAACCACAAGTACAGCATGTTCGATCTAAAGCAGTTGAGCTTCTACAAGCGAGTGAAGTTGGGGCTCCCGAAATTCAAAAAAGAATTCAAGTGAGTTTATACGAGAAGCACAAGGAGATTTACTTTTTCTTATTTAAAGGCCCTAGAAGATAGCTGGCAACAAATTGTTGATTTAACAGAGAATCGACATCAAAAACTTCAAGAAAGTGAACAATTCCAAAATTTTATTGGTCGTTTAGAGGAAGAAGAGGCTTGGCTAAACGAGAAACAGCAATTACTTTCCTCTCCAGCATTAGGGGAAAATATGGCTGCCGTCCAAGGATTGTTAAAGAAGCATGATACTTTTCAATTGGATTTGCAAGTACATGAACAAAGAATTGATGATCTTCAACGACAAGGGGATGAAGTAAAAACATGTTAAAGAAATTTCCTTTAAATCTCTTCTTTTTTTAAGCTTATTGAAGCAGGCAATCATCATTCAAAAAATATCTCTTTACGTTTAGAACAACTTCAAAAACATTTATTACTTGTCAGAGAATTAGCAGCCCAGCGTCTCCAAAAATTACGAGATAATAATGCTTATATGCAATTTATGTGGAAATGTGATGTTGTTGAGAGTTGGATTGGAGACAAAGAACATCATGTTAGATCTCCAGATTTTGGAAAAGATTTGTCTTCTGTTCAATTATTGTTGAATAAACAGGATGCTTTTGATGCTGGGTTGAATGCTTTTGAGGTGACTTTAATTAAACATGTGGACATACAAGAAATCAAAAATATCATTTGATCTTTTTTCATACATTAGGAGAATAAACAAACTAAAATTCCTCTCTAAAAGCTTGAAATTTATAAAATTATTTATAACTCTTTTATCAAACAAAATTATCTTATTTTCCTTCCAGCACGAAGGTATTCAACGTATAACTGAATTAAAAGACCAATTATTGTCTGTTGAACACGAGCAATCCCCAGCTATTGAAAAACGTCATCAATCAGTTATAACTCGTTGGCAACAACTTTTACAAAATTCTCTCGCTCGTCGCCAAAAATTAATTGAAGCACAATCTCATTATGAAAGAATTGAGGACCTTTATTTAGCTTTTGCTAAGAAAGCTTCGGCTTTTAATTCTTGGTTTGAAAATGCCGAAGAGGATTTGACTGACCCCGTAATTACTTACATATTTCAAATCAAACAAAAAAAATTTTTTTTCAAAAGGTCCGCTGCAATTCCCTTGAAGAAATCCGAGCACTTCGTGAGGCACATGCTGAATTCCAAAAATCCTTAACTACCGCCAAAAATGATTTCATTGCTTTACAAGAATTGGATAGACAAATAAAGTCTTTTGGTGTTGGCCCAAATCCGTATACTTGGTTTACAATGGATGCATTAGAAGAGACTTGGAGAAACCTTCAAAAGATAATAAAAGAACGTGAATTAGAACTTCAAAAAGAACATCTTAGACAAGAAGATAACGATAAATTAAGAAGAGAATTTGCTCGTCAAGCAAATGATTTCCATCAATGGCTGGCTGATACAAGAAATGAAATGATGGAAGCAAGTGGATCTTTAGAACAACAATTGGATTCTATTAGACAGAAAGCACAAGATATACGTTCACAAAGACAAAAACTAAAGAAAGTTGAAGATTTGGGGGCACTTTTAGAGGAGCATTTAATTTTGGATAATCGATATACGGGTAATTGAACTTACTAATATTTACTTGATTAATTACCCTAAGTAATTAACTTTTAACGGCTCGTAGAAGGGAGAAATTAATCGAGGGATGGCATTTATCCGAGGAATGGTACTTAACTGATAAATACGATAAATATAATAGTGGATGTACATAGAGACCGGATTTGTGGATCAATCGAGATTGTCTCGAAAAATTTTTATTTCGATGACCGAAATTTTTTAAAGATTTCGTCACCTATACTTTAACACCTCCAAGCCAATCAGAATATAATTTTAAAAATTTACTCTATTTTTTATAAACAAACATAATTTTTTTTTATTTTTTAGAGCATTCAACAGTTGGTTTAGCCCAAGCTTGGGATCAACTAGACCAATTAGCTATGAGAATGCTTCACAATTTAGAACAACAAATTCAAGCTCGTAACCAGTCTGGAGTTACTGAAGAAGCTTTAAGAGAATTTTCAATGATGTTTAGACACTTTGACAGGGAAAAACTGGGAAGACTTGATCATCAACAATTTAAAAGTTGTTTGAGAGCTTTGGGCTATGATCTTCCAATGGTGGATGAGGGACAGCCCGAACCTGAATTTCAACGAATTTTAGATGTTGTTGATCCTAATCGGTATGGGAAAAGGAAAAAAGTTTTTTAATGAAAAGTTTTCTTTTCAGTGATGGTTATGTTACTTTACAAGAATTTATGGCATTTATGATAAATAAAGAAACAGAAAATGTTCGTTCTAGTGAAGAAATAGAAATGGCATTCCGTGCATTGAGTAAAGAGCTTAGACCTTATGTTACTGCTGAAGAGCTTTATGCTGTAAATTTTAATTTTATGGGAAAATATGGGTATGGGCTCCAGTGAAATTTTGGGCTTTAAGTGAAAAAACGGTATATTGGTCTCTAAAATTTTAAGCGCGAGGAATTCTGTTCACGGACTAGAGAAAATTATTAAATTAAATTTTCTGTTTAATTATTTAAAAAATATTTTTTCTTCAGAATTTAACACCAGAACAAGCAGAATATTGCATAAAGCGAATGAAGCCCTATGTCGATGCTGTTTCTGGACGAACAATTGCTGGGGCATTAGATTTTGAACAATTTGTGCATTCAATGTTTCAAAGCTAATTTTTAAGAATTTTTTAAAATGATAGAAATAAATAATAATTTGTGGGGGATTTTAAAACAATTTTTAAAATTTATGTAATATTTTGATAACATTTTTTTAAATAAATTGCTTTTATTTTTTAATAATTACTATAAGCTAGTGTAAATTCATCATAGTTTCATATCCTAACTTAAGAATGTGTAATTAATTGTTTTTTCATAAGAAACGCCCTCAATATAATTAAAACAAAATTTGATCAGAGCTTTGATTTTTATGTGTTAAATTTATTATTTAAATTATAGTGCTTTGATTAAAAGTAATCAAAGTGCTTTGAATTAAAAAGGAAAAAGGGCGCTGGTCTAGTTTATGCGTCCAATGAACTTATGTCCAATCAAACTTATATGAGTCCAATCAAAAAACTATTTGATTTTTCTTAGTATTGCAGAGTAGGAAATGGAAATTTTATGAAAATGGAAAATTACAATTAAAATATTGAATAAATAAATAAATAAATATGTACTTATTTTTTAATTTATTTTTAAAATTTTAGAACTTTCTCCAATTTCATTATCTTCTTCTCTTTTTCTTTTTTTAATTTTATTTTCATTAAATATTTCAAAATTATAAACTCCAAAATTAAATAAAGGGTGTAATTCAATAATATAAATTGGGTCTTTCGATTTTTGTTTCACACTGTTTTTATCCAAAATGAACATTTCCCCATCTTTATATTTTTTTCCTTTTTTTGCTTTGTTTGTATAAATTGTAAAAATTTCTCTTAAATTTTTAAAAATTCTTTTCTCAACTTCATTTAATTCAAAAAACATTTTAACTACACATTTCACTTCATTTTCTTCTTCAATTTTTACAAAAAATTTAATTTCTTCCTCCGTTTCCTCAGACAAAAAATTAATAAAAAAATTTCCTTTTTCTTCAAATTTTATACAAATTTCTATATGAGAATATCCCTGTTTTTCAACAAGTTTATTATTTCCAATTATTTTATTAAAAATATTTTTATCTATTTTCTTTTATTTTTTTATAATGTATTTCCTCTAAAATATCTAAATTATCATGTGCCTGTTAAAAATTCATTGCATGGGAGGTGAACCATTATGGGTACTTTGTTCATATCCCGCCCCCCACCCCTATTTGAGTCTCAGATTAATTTTCCTTCTTTGCTGTCAATCATTTATTTTTCCTCCTTTTTTAATGCCAATCATTTTCTTCCCTCAAATATAGGACACCCAAAAGGGCGCGCGGCTCTAGCGGCGCAAAGCCATAACTTGATTCAAGATTTTCCAACCTTACCAAAATAAATATTAAACGATTCCTCTCATCGAGCTAAAGAGATTTATACCAGAAATGACAATGGCCAAAAATATTCCAGCAAGTTATGGCTTTGCGCCGTTATGGCCGCGCGCTCTTTTGGACTGTAGCCCGTAAATTTTAACTTGCCTTTTACTTATAATATTTGAGGGAAGAAAATGATTGGCATTAAAAAAGGAGGAAAAATAAATGATTGACAGCAAAGAAGGAAAATTAATCTGAGACTCAAATAGGGGTGGGGGGCGGGATATGAACAAAGTACCACCATTATGTAACGGGCCCAGACCGAATAACCGACTGTTCCACAATCCACATCAAGGATGAGTTATTGATGTGGATTTGCAACGCCCGCACCTATTGATGTGTAGGTTCGGGCATTACAAATTCGTTTTTATTTCCTGTTTACTATTCGAGATATGTGATAAAGTAAACGATCAGCTGGCAACAAACGTTCGCAGATTGCTTCATCGAACTCTTAAAGCTATTGGTTCGAGCAAAAGGAGTAAAAGAAGTGTCGAACGACTACGACAGAATCAAAACCACCAATATCCATATTTGTGGATATTCTTGAGTATTTAAATATTTTTAATTTTAGAGGAAATACATTATTATATTTTCTTTTTTTAATTAATTTTTTAGGTCCTTCTAGATTCAAATAACAAATTAATTTTGTTAATTTATGTTGAACATTTTTTGCTTCATTAAGATATGTATCTATTCCATTTACATTTATTATTTCTATATCTTCTTCACCAGTCCCATTTACTTCTATTTTAGCATAAAAAAGTGGTTTAATTCTTACCATTTCCTTTAATTAAATTAAATTATTTTTATTATTATGACATTAAAAATTTTTTAATGTCCAGTGAAATTTAATGTAACTGGATTTGATGTAAAGGGTGGTTATTATACATACTTTTACCAAAGCTGGTTCTCAATTTTTAAAGTTTTATATAAGCAATACTTTAATAGTTGCTAAACTCTATTTAAGACACAATTATTTAAACCCCAAGAGTGATGTCCAGCTTTAAATAATAATTATAACTCAGATAAATAAATTGAAGAAGATTGTAATTTCAGACTGATAAACTTACAAGTCCCTTTCCCTTTTTTACTTTTTTAAAACAAATATCTATCCCGTCTCTATAAGAGTTACGATCAATGTCTTCAAACAATTCTTTAATTCTAATTATTTTTATTTCTGAGCCATCTTTTAATATTTTAATATCTACATTATCTTTATTGTAATATTTATTTCCTTCTCCACCACAAGCACCCAAAGCTTTATCTAGAAAATTATTTTTTAAAAATATATTTAATATTATTTTAAACTCAGATGGAAACTTGTCTTGTAAGATTCTAATAGAGGATAACTTTGTTTTTAGATCAATTTATGATGTAATTTCTAAAAATTTGTTTGCTTAAGCTATACTTTCTAATCGAGATACACTTCGTTATAAGTTACGATTTTTAGCCTATGTTAGTTCCACTATATTAGTATGTATTTGTAACTGGCTCAAGACAATTCCGAGGTTCTGTATATTATTTTTCGATCGGACTGAGTCCATTTACATGTAAAAAATAATTTAAAAAAATTATATGTATTACTAAAATCTTTTATGTAAATTAAATCATAATTATTTAATTCAAAATTTATTTCAATATCAATTTCTAGTAAATTATCCATTTCTTCCCCCTCTTCATTAATTAAATTAATATTATTTTGATTCATTTTTGTAATTTCCATTTTTATTAATTTAATAAATAAATTTCCATCTTTTTTTATATTTTGTTTGGAATTTTCAATTAATATTTTTTGGTTAGGTTTTAAAATATTTTTTGAGTAATAATTTGGAAATATTAATAAAAATAATTTAATTAAAATAATTATTTTTAAATACATTTTTTAAATAAAAATAAGAATTCACACTAATCTTAATTAATTAACTTTAATTTATCGTCATTACAATATATGCCGCTTTGCGGCTTATGACGAAAATAACATTCAAAAAAGGCCAAGCAAAATTGCGCGTAAATTTTCTCCTTTTATGTATGCCCATTATTATAACATAAATAGTTCATACATAATCGTATATATTTGTATAAAATATGTTTTTGTTAAATGAGTAATTGATCTTTAAAATTTACGAAATATTTTATTTATTAATAATAATTAATTTATTTTAATAATTAATACTCCAATCTGTCTTATATTTAATTAAAGAATGATTTGGATGGAGAAGCATATGTAGTAAAGACGAGAAAGATTTTGGGATGTTACTACATTTGCAACGTCAAAAAATCAAAGTTCTCTTGAAACAAAAAATCATCGAAAATCGGAAAAATTAAAAATAGGCAAATAATTTGCAGGTTTTCAGAGTTAGAAATAGGTTGTCGGATCTGGAAAATCCCCGGATATCCGGAACCGGAATTTTTATTAAAATAGTGAAGACTTTCTGACACAAAATTAAATTTTTTTTTGAAAAATTGGAAAATCAAATTTCGAAGCAGTTTTGGTTTTAAAATCAATTTATCAATTTTAACAAATAAATTTATTTCTTTTTATAAATAAATAGCATTAATATCTTCACAATCTCATTTTAATCTTCAAAATGTTTAAAAACGAGAAAGAGAAGATAATTTTCGGCAGCAATTAACCTTTAAATTAAAGAAATATTTTAAATATTTTTTATATAATTGGAGGAAGTAATACGTTCAGAAGCCTATGAAATCACGTCCAGAAGCTAAATTTTTTTCGGTACTTTTCTCTTTCCCTTATTTTTAGAACTAATCTCTTTCACTTTTTGCTGAACGAACAATAATTAATAGAAAATTAGAAAGTAATTTGTTGCTCGCTAGGACTTGAAGTCAAAACGGGGGGATAATTTCGCGGAGAACGAGTAATCAAAAATCGTGGGTATAGTGTTTATACCTTTTGTTATCTATATAAAATGGACTTTAAAAATAAAAATTTTTAATAATAAAAGATTTAATTATTAGATGCATAATTAAAATATTTTTAAATTACTTATAATATTTTAGGAAATATAAAAATTACAATTAGTATATGCTTTACTTTTATTTAAAAATAGTTTCTTTAAAAAGCTGTTTATTCCTCCTAGATTTTAAAGTTGTCCCATCTTATACTCTTCAAATGAATAACTTTAAAATTAATTTTAGAAAATTTTGTTTTTAAATTATATTACATTTTTTTCTAAGTAACTGCTTTATCATTTTCTTTAACGTCTCGGCCACTATTAAATTAAAAATTATTTTTATTGTATAATAATTTTATTATTTGTAAATTCTTTCTCAACTTACTCCAACTGAATGTGATTCAATGCCTTGATAAATAGCCTAAAAATTCTTTTTATCTAAAATTTTATTATAAAGCTTTTACATTAAATCTAACAATATTATTGGCTAAGATTGTCGCGCGTTTTGGACTGCCAGATTGTATTGTACGTTGTTCAGCCTGTGCTATGGCATCACCTAAGCGAAGATTTGTTGGAACAATAGGTCCTTGAGGCCCTGGATTACTACGATAGATAACCAAATCTCCGCTTGTTAACTGAAAAAAGCATTAAAATATCTAGGTTTTGTAAGATAATTGTGTTTCGCTCCCATGGTCACCGCTGTAATAAGTATCTAAGAACCCAGAAAAATATAAATTTAGCGTTTTGATTATTTTTAACATTTGGAAAGAAATATATATATAAGCGGATAACGGAAATGTACCAACATAGTCAATAGACGAGCTATGCCTATCTTCAAGTTCTTTAACGAACGAAGTAAAAGTAAATTCACCATTAATTATTACTCTTGGTAAAGGATTCAAGAAAGAATTATTTGTTGAGTTTGAAGAATTTTCCATATAAAAATTAAAAATAAAATATTATTTTCTTATTAAAAATATTTATAAATAAAAATAAAAAGGAAAGATAGGATATGTAATAAGAAAGAAGAATAATAAAAAAAGGTAAAGATATAAAGTGAAAAATGAAGGTCATAAGGGGGTCCTATACTAGTGATGCTCGGGAGAAGAAAAAAACCCGGGAAACGGGAGTCGGGAATTCTGTTGACACTAATTAGAGGAAATTCAATACATATAGATATGCCAAAATACTAGTCTCCTAGGCAAAGGTTTAAATTGATAATTAATATTAAGCAATAAATCCACTTAATTAGCGCCGTAGGCGCTAATTAAGTGGATTGCCGGGCCCGGCTTTTCAGAGGCAACCCGGGCGGCTTCTGGGCTAAAAACGCCGAATAACCGGATTTCATCAAAATGCCCTCTGGGCTACCGGGCCCGGCTCGGGGTTGAACTCTAGTTATTTCATCGTTTTCGACCAATTGGTGTCGATGAGTGGGACTGATAATTGTTTATCAAATAATTAAATGTAATTTAAAAATAAAATTTATAAATAAATAGCATTAATATCTTCACAATCCCATTCTAATCTAAATCCATTTCCATCGTTATTTAAGTTGGAATCTGATCGAAATTCAATAAATAAACGATTCCCTGGTGGAATTAATATTTTATGGGGAGATTCTGAGTCAACCTTTAAAAAAATATTTTTTAAAATTAATTTTTTAAACAAAAAATAATTAACAGAGCAAGGCCAAGGTTGCCAATTGAGCGTATTAAAATCGGGAATTGATTGGACATTTTGTGTTGATGTGTCTATTGGTGAAAGAGCAGATTTGGCAGGAGGTTCTAAAATAAAATTAAAGATTTTAAGAGATTGGACATTTGTGGAAATCGAAATTTAAAAAAATTGTTGAGTTGCTTAATATAAATGTTAATATAAGGCTGGAACTTGATTCAGAACCACAAACTTTTTTGGCTAAAACCCCCGACCCTAGAAAGTGTCAACTCCGACCCCGACAATTTTCAGGTGACCCCGACATTAAATAATGATGTTAGTTCCTTATTGAAGAAAATTGAAGGTCTTTCTTCTATAAGCCTTTCCTCAGCCTTTTAAAAACTAGCTAACTGGACGACAATAATTATCTTTTTTATTTTTTAATATTTTTCTCCCTTACTTGAATCTCTACATTCATTACCAAAATCAGCATTTAATATCCGAACAGTACAGAAAAATCCAGTTGGAGGTATTAAAGTAGAACGTAATAAACAATTTTGTGGATAACTATTTGGGTAATTAATACTTGTTAATGCACCTGATCTTTCACGTATTGGCGATAATTCATAAATTTGTAAATTATTTGAAGCTGAAAATTGTTTAAATTAAAAATAAAATTTTTAATTTAATTTCTCTATTATTAAAAGTTTATTCTCTATTATTAAAAGTTTAGGGAGTATTGAGACATTTTTAAAATATTTTTTTTTCGATTTTCTATCAAATTACAAAAAATAATTTCTCTTGTTTTTTATTAACTCTTTTTAATTTGATTTTTTTTCTCTTTTTTAAAAATGCTCTTTTTAATTTGATTGGAACTAGATAGGCAAAGCTAACAAAGAGATACTCACAACAATGGATTAATACTGATAATAATACTAATAATTAATGCTGATAATTAATACCCAACAATAGATTAATAAGAGTAATTAATTAAAAATTAATTAATCCGAACAATTTATTTTTAATTTAAAAATTAATTAACTTGTTATCCTAACAGAATAATAATTAATTTCAAATCCACTTCCCATAATAGAAGCATCTGTAGTAAGAGAAAGTTCAATTTTATTATTTTCAGAAATTAATGAAGGAGGTAACCAAGAACCACAAAAAGTTTTTGTTTTAATTTCAAATGAATTATTTGCCTTTAAAAAAATTATTTTAATTTTGGTTTATTTTTAAAATTTACATTTAATTGATTATTTGATAAGCAACAAATATTTAAATAATCATATAAACAGTTATCAGCCCCACTCGTTGCTGTACCAATAAAATGATCTGAATTAGCACCGATTGGTCGAAAACGATAAAACATTGATTGAGGTAACATTCTGTGACGGCCCCTTTCTAACTCAAAATGTTTAAAAACGAGAAAGAGACGATGATCTTCTGCTGCAATTAACCTTTAAATTAAGGAAATATAGTAGTCATAGGTGCGGGGGTGTCGCGGGCGACTTTTTGACTTTTAAGCCAAATCCTTTTGATTAGTTTTGACTTAAGGCCAAATCCTTTTGAGCGGCTGGCTGGTCAAAGCTCAAACCTTTAGCGCGAGTTAGTGCGGTAAAAGCTGACCAACCTGTACCTGTAGGAGGAGAGGGAAAAATTGATGTCGCGGGCGTCCTACTCCTCCTCCCTCTCCTTCCCTACCTCTTCTCTTCTCTGGAAAAAAACGTCGTGGGGTGGTGGGGGTCTGGTAAAACCAAAAGGAAGAGGGCATGTTGGGGGATCGCGCGGCAAAAACCTAAAGGGAGTGGACAACTTGGCAGAGTCTTGGGGTCGAGTGGGAAGGGAAGCCAAGATTTGTGATGAAGAGGTCAGACAAACGATAGAGTATGTGCATTTATTTGTGGGAAAATCAAAATGGAGAGGAAAATTCTTGTGGAGAGGTACGATAAAAGAAAAGTGAATGGCAATATTTGGGGAGGATGGGTCAGACAATAGGAAATATTCAATTATGAGGGGAAACCAAAAGGAAGAGAACCCCTTTTGAATGTGGACATCATCGTCTAGGGTGGCAATAACTGAAATGGATAAAATAGTCTTGTAATCAAATAGTGATGAGAGGGTGGAGAAAGTAGTTTAAGGGGTAATTTGTGAATCATCGTCGTCGTGGCCGACTTTTTGACTTTTAAGACAAATCCTTTTCATTTGTTTTGACTTGAAGTCAAATCACTTTGACAGGTCGGTGATAACCAGCTTTTCCTCTCCATATCCTACCCCTCTCATCCCTCCTCTCTGATACTACTCCTCCTCTCCTCATTCTTTCTCCTCCCCATTTTATCTTCTCCGCTATTTTCTTCTTCCTCCTCCTCCTCCTCCCTCCCATTTCTCATATCTTCTCTGATCTTGACTTGCCCTTTCCTCCTCTATCCTACTCCTCTCTGATACTACTCCTTCTCTCCTCATTCTCCTTTCTCCTCCCAATCTTATCTTCTCTATTTTTTCCTCCTCCTCCTCCCTCCTACTCCTCCCATCTGCTCTGATCTCATCTTCTCCTCTCGGTTCTTCCTCTATGATACTATTTCCTTCCTCCTCTCCATATCCTACTCCTCTCCTCGTTCTTTTTCTCCTACTCGTTTAATCTCTATTTTCTTCCTATTCTCTTCTACTCTCTCATCTCCTCTCGTATCATCTTCTCTTCTCCTTTTATCCTCTCCTTTCCTTTGCGGGTGAACAATCACCATCGTGGAGTAGAGGGGTCTGGCAAAATCAAATGATGAGGACATATCGGTAGAGTTGTGGTGTTGAAGTGTAATTTGTAAGCAGTGGTGAAAAAATAATTTCTAAATTTGAAGTGTCATTTATCTTGTTACAATCTTATAGAACCATACAACAAGTGATCTATTACCTTATCGAATAATCAAATTGTTCTTTGTAATTAGTCAAACAGTGTTCGTGTTTATTATTTGCAATAATTTTTATCGTTTTTTATAAAAAACATGTGCAATATTAATGTTTTAAAGTGGTAGATTTTAGGGAGAAAAGTGCATATTTAAGAGTTTGAAAAAACAATGTGCATAATTAACCTTTAGAAGTTATTGATTTTAGGGAGAAAAGTGCATAATTAAGCATTACAAGTTGTAAAAAGCATAGTTTGGAGTTTGAACTAGTTAATTTTGGGGGTAAAAGTGCATATTTAAGAGTTTGAAAAAACAATGTGCATAATTAACCTTTAGAAGTTATTGAATTTAGGTAGAAAAGTGCATAATTAAGCATTACAAGTTGTAAAAAGCATAGTTTGGAGTTTGAAGTAGTTAATTTTGGGGGTAAAAGTGCATATTTAGACAAAAGAAAGTGCAAATTTTAATTTTTTTAAAATCCACGCATTTTAGGTATGCGCGTGTGTTTTGGGGGTGTGCGCGTGTTTTGTGTATGTGCGTGTTTTTAAGGCGTGTCAGTTTTGATTAATGTTGTAATCCAGTGAAAACTCCGAGTATAAAAGGGTGGCGATTTTGGATTTTTGTATCATTATTTCAAAATGAATCAAAATTTGTTTTCCCAAATCCTCCCAGAAGTAGATTTTAATATCTCCTCGAGTGGAATAACCGTTTTAAGTTCTCGACTTACTACTCCTAGGTTTATTCCTTACGACCAGTCAGGGAGATGTAAGGAGTGCAAGAGCACAGAGGTGGAAATTGATTTTATTGTGACTAAGGAAGGGGTTACCATCTACTGTACACGAATTGGCTCAGGTACCCGATTTGTCCCATTCGATACAGTTTATGATTTGCCCACACATTGCTTTTTCAAAGTCAGGAACAAAGGGAGAGTGTTCAATGTTCCTCATGGAGTACAAGCGCAACAGATAATCCATCAAAATCCCAAGAGAGGGAAAAGGAAAATTGATGAACTGCCTACTCTTACTCCAACTGCTCCAACTAATAATTTGTCTTCTCCTCCTCATAGCTCCCCTACTCCTCCTCTACATTCTCCTCCTCGAGTTGATACTCCTCGACCTCCTACACCTCCTGATAATGTAGAGTTCGAGAAAGAACTTCAGGAATTTTATGATAGTTTAATGGCAGCTACAACTGGATTATCTTCATCTCCGAAGAAGCTGGAAGAGAAGGTTCAGAAAAAAGAGAAAATGGATGAAACAAATGTTCCTATATAAGCATTAGTGTTTACCTTCTAATTTGTTTTTTTTTCGTAAATATTATAATTATGGAATTACAATCATTTATTAATAAAGACTTAAATTTTAAACTACCTTTTGGTATGATTTTGTCTGGGCCAAGCTCAAGTGGGAAGAGCTCATTCCTTCTAAAATTTATAGCTGATTCACAGGATTTGATCGAACCCAAACCAAAAAGTGTACTATATTGTTTTGGAGAGATGAACGATAATATCCCGATCCTTCAAAAATCAGGAGTTAATGTTTATGCTGGAGTTCCTCCTGAGGATTTAATAAATAAGTTCCAAAAACCCTTGCTACTAATTCTTGATGATTTGCTCCTATCTATAGATGAAAAATATCTTTCGGAGCTATTTACAAAAAAGTCACATCATCAAAATTTTGCAATTGTTTTTGTTACACAAAACCTCTTTGAGAAAAAGATTAAGGTTGCGCGACAAAATGCCCAATATATTGTTTTAATGAGGTCTCCGAATTCTGCACTCTCCGTGAGAAATATTGGTGTACAGTTATTTCCTCGTCAGTTAGACTATTTTCTCGATGCATACAAACAGGCAACAAATGAACCTTACGGATATTTGCTCATCGATTTGCATGCATCCTCAGACCCAGCTCTAAGACTCCGGACAAATGTATTTAAAAGCGATGAAGAGAAGATAATTTTCATTTCCAAAAATGTTTAGTCAATTAATTAGCGAGAATAAAGAATTTTTACGCTCTTTAGCGCATACAAAATCTGAAAGTAGAAGCAGAAAAATTTTACGAAAAGCAGATACTAATCAGTTATTATCAATTGTAGAAATTTGTTTGAATATTGTAAAATCTCGTTTTAACCTTAATACTCGTCAAAAGAAACGTTTGATACCTCATGTAGATTTTATTCGTCAAATAAGCCGTGCTAGGAGTGAACGAGGAGTAAGAAAAGTTTTAAGGCAAAAAGGTGGAGGAGTAGGAGTATTTGCTGCTCTTCTCACTCCTGTTTTAATGGAGCTAGCTCGAACAATTAGTATAAAAGCCTATCAAAATAATTCAAATAAACCATAAATTTAAAAATAATGGCAAAAAAATTAATTCTAGTTCCAGAAGAGATTTATAGAGGACTTACTTCAAATAATTACGGGGATCCAAATTTAGATTTCACAAAGAGAGCGGTTGAGAAGGCTAAAAGTAAAAAAGAAAACCTCTCCGCCAAAAATATTCATTACAATCAAGAACTAAGACGCTATCTGAAATTAAGGAATGAGAGTGAAAATAGACCTGTCAGAGTCGAAATGGTAGCTAACCCCAAAGGAGCAATTATGAATAGTGATGTTAACAGACCTGCAACAAATATTACAGACGATAATGATGATTTATGGATGAGCGATGATCTTTCGTATTCTGCCTATCCACAAGAGCCGCCGGCCTTATCATATAATATTGTTCCCCCTTTGTCAAATTCTTCAATCGAACAAAGAGCCCCCGAAAGGCGACGACAAAATTTATTAAGGGCTGGAATTTCCCCTACTCCTCCTAACCCTAGACAAAAAATAAAGAGAAAACTTGAGGGGGACGATTATGGACAAAATAAAAGACAACATTTGATTAATTATAAAAATGAGGCTCGAAATGAGTATTTGAAAGTTTCCGAAAAGGCTAGAAATAAATTGCAAAAATTAGAAAGGAAAAAGTTATTGAAAAATTGGAAAATTCCTTATACTCCTGAATATAACACAAATCCTCCTGTTGATTATGATTTTCCTCCATCTCCTCCCACCCCAATTCTCCCTAATATTCCTGAAGGTATTGATGCTCCCCTTGTATCTGACCATCTTCCTCCTAGACAAATTATATAAAGGGGACAGACAGAAGAGTTTGAGGGTACAAAGAGATGGAAAAAAGGATATGACGAAAATAGAGAAGCAAAATTAATACGTGAACAGAGAAGGGGATATTTACAAAGAAAATTTAATATTCGGGAACAAAAGTTTCCTATTGACCAATCAGCGTTATTTAAAGCTCGTAGAGATGATGATATCCAAAGACGTCAAAAATTAAAAAGAAAATGGGAAGGTCCAGACGAAAGCCCTCTAATCGCATTGAAAAGAGTAAAACCGGTCTCAAATCAACAATCTGCAAAAGCCGGTAGAGAATGGATGTTAAGACTTATAAAAGCTAAACGTAAGGAGGCTGGTATAAAAAGATTTAAACCTACTCTCTGGTAAATGGCGGATCCTACAAAACTTTTGAACCAGCTCTACAATGATCCAGATTCGCCTGCAGCATTTTCTGGAGTTGATAGACTTTGGTATGAAGCAAGAAAAGTTATCAAAAATTTACCTAGAAATATTGTTCAGAATTATTTGGAGGGGCATAGGACTTATACGCTTATGCGTCCTAAAAGGGTTAATTTTAAAAGAGCAAAAACTGTAGCAGCAGGTTTTATGACAGATGTGCAAGTAGACTTGGCAGATATGCAGGCTCTCTCCAGGCATAATAAAGGAAATAAATATATTCTTCTAGGGGTTGATGTACTTTCTAAGCGTCTCTTTGGCGTTCCTGTTAAATCAAAAGGCTCAAAAGATATGTTAGATGCATTCAAAAAGTTAATTAGTCAAATGCCCATGAAACCTCATAGGATTTTCTCAGATAAAGGGTTAGAATTTAAAAACAAAGTTGTAAAGGAATATTTTGAAAATGAGGAGATTCAAAAGAATGAGGCTACTCATTCAACTGTTAAAGCTTCTGTAGCTGAAAGAGCAATAAGAAATGTAAAGCAGCGGCTCTATAGATATTTTGCACAAAACAAATCTTTAAATTGGATTGATATACTTGATAAAATATTAGATGGGATTAATAAGTCAAAGAGCAGGGTGCATGGGATGCGTCCTATTGATATAAATTTTTCTAATGCACAAGAGGTATGGGAGCGAATGTATACAGATGAATTTTCATCAAAGGGAAAGAAAAGTAAAGCAAAGCTAAAGGAAGGAGATTTTGTTCGTACTAGCATGAAAAAAGGATCCTTTGAAAAAGGTTATATTCCAAATTGGGGAGACCAAATTTTACGAGTAGATAAGGTTCAGGATCAATTTTTTCCTGTTCGATATAGAATTAATAATGAAGATGGAGATAGGTTCAAAGGATATTACTATGGAGAGGAGCTAGCTCGTGTCAAAAAGGATGCTGATACAGAATATAGGATAGAGAAAGTCATAAGAAAGAAAAAGAGAGCGGATGGAACGTATGATGTTCTTGTAAAATTTGTAGGATATCCCGAAAGGGAGTGGATTCATGAAACCCAACTTGTATAAAAGGGATTTATCTCGTTGTATTTCTTTCATTTTAAATAAAAATGTCAAATAGTTTTTATGTTTGTTTATTGAGTAATGTTTCAGATTATCCACAAAATCAGCCGAATAAATTTCGTGTTCACTTACCCAAACCCCTTTATTTTACCGGTGACTGGGTCTGTGGTGTCCATAGTATAAGCTATCCTTATTCTTGGCCTTCTACTGTTGGGACTCTTGACGAGCAATGGATAGATATAAATTTTACAGATAACAATAAAATGGGGCAAGTCATAAGAATTCCTGTTCCAAAAGGCTCCCACAATACACCAGAGGAGCTCCTTCAGTTTTTGATTGCTACCTTAGAACACCAAGGTGCAGCTTTAAAAGCTTCGTCTCTTGAACAATCAGATGGGTTAGTGAAGAAGCCAAGCATACTAACAAGGGATAAACGTGAGATTGATCCTAGAACTCCTCCTAGAATTGAAAAAAATATAGAATTACCTGTAACTCCACCATTAACTAGCCCAACGACTGAGACAATAGAGGAATCTATATATCCAGTAACACCTCCTTTATCAAGTCCAATATCAGATAACGAGACACGCCAATTAATATCTAATACGCCTTCTAATATTAATCAAGAACAAACACCTCCTAAGAAAGACCCAGAGATAATAAACAAACCCGATCTCATAAAATCTTTAACACCTCCAAGAGTCGAATCTCAAACAAACCAAACGGAAAATAAAATACAAACAATAACTAGCCCACCTCCCAGAGAGTCATCATCTCTGAGAATAGAAGATGGATCAAAACCTGAATTAACTCCGTCTCCTCCTCATCCCCCAAAGATAGATCCTGCTAATCCAAATCAAACTTACAAAACAATTTTATCTCCAAAAAAACAACCTGAGCCTCAAAAGCCAATAACACCTTCAAGAATTAATCAAGACAAAGAAAAATCATATACAATAATACCAGTAATTCCTTCAATAGAAAACCAGGAAATAGATTATCATTAATTAAAAAACCAATAAGCCCTCAAATAAACAACCCTGAATCAGAAAAACCGTTAGTTACCAAACCAGTAACACCTCCAAGACTTCATAAAGAACTAGAAAAACCTTTACCTACAAAATCAATAACACCTCCAAGAACATATTTAACACATCCTATACCTGAACCACAAACTTTACCCCCTCGAACACATAAACGTCCGCAAAGTCCCTTAAAAAATCAAATTCCTCCAGCAAAACAACCTTCAAATCAAACAAATGCAAATATTTCACAATCCACTCAAACATCACCTCCATCATCCCCTAGTGTTTTAGATGTTATGGGATTAAAATCAGACAAAAATATTTCAAGAGGAGTATCAAATATCTGTCATTTTCGCCTCAATTGGGATATGTTCTTGGTTTTGCAAACCCTCAACATGTCCAAAATAATGAGATTGCCAAGTATGGGTGTGATTTAAGAGGAGGGTTTTCTAGCTTTGCAATCTATGCAAAAGGACTTACAGAAAATATGATTGTTGGAAATTCTCTCAGCTCCTTACTCCGAATCGTTTCAGTCACAGGAGCAGTACCTGGGGAGTACCACGAAAAGATTTATAATTCTCCCATCTATGTTAGAGTGCTCCCCCGAGAAGTAAATGAAATTGAAGTTGAACTAAGGACGATGGATAATGGTAGACTTGTACCGTTTGCTTATGGTACAGTCAGTATTGTTTTGGTCTTTAAGAAAGTGATAAATTTCTAAGACTATATAAACCCTCGTTTTATTTTGTAATTATTTTTATTATTGATAAAAATGGTTCATGTTCAATTTGATACAAATTCAGTAGGGTACAATTTTTTTGTAGATCAATGTGGGAGTGGTACGGAAAATTATTATTTTAAAGGAGCATCGCCATATCAGCGTGGATATGGACAAAGAGGAGCAGGAGTTGGAGATATTATGAGAGGGTTGTGGAGATTTTTTCTCCCGATTATTAGAAAAGTAGGGAGTACAGTATCTGCTGAGGCACTTAATACAGGACAGCGGGTACTTGAAAGAGTCCATGAAGGTCAGCCTATAAAGGAGGCATTAGTCAGTGAAGGAAAAAGAGGAATTGATATAGTCCTTGAAAAGGGAGGACTACCAAAACAATTTGGAACTGGAAGAAAAAGTATAAAAAGGAATAAATTTCCATCCCATCAAACATTTATTGGCCAAAAGAAAAAACGTGTAGACGCTTTTGGCTTTTATTAAAATGTCTTTTAAAAAGATCGATAGAGATAGTCTTGATACAATCACAAACGCTGTAGAAATCTTTCAAGTTCCTCCTACCAATGTTACCATTTCATCCTCAAAAACATTTGAAATCCTTCCTAGTAATCCTTTAACCGACACCCCTTTTCATTTTAAAATTCACTCAAGTGAAAATTTTATAGATCTTTCTAAATGTTACCTATTTACCGAATTTCGAATCCGCAAAGAAAATGCGAATGGACAACATGTAAATATTACTCTTGACGAAAATGTTGCCCCCATACAAATGATTGGAAACACATTTATTAATAATATGAGAATAAGTATAAACGGGAGAGAGATTTTCAATTCAAACTCTCTTTACGCCTATAAGACGTATTTTTCCCATGAGCTCTCTTACTCTTTAGGGGCAAAAAGTTCTCATTTAAATGCGGCAGGGTATTATTACGATTCAGGAGTATCACAAGAGGCCGGAGCAAGTTTTAATTCAAGAAGAAATTTGTTTGTTAATAGCCGAACAGCTCAGTTTATTTCAAAACTTGATGCCGATCTTTTCAATCAGCCTCAATATTTAGTAAACCATTGCGAGGTTGATATTGAAATATTGCCCAATGATACAAAATTTCTCCTTATTGCTCCTCTCCCTGTTGGAGCTCAACCTACTCGCTATATCTTCGAAGTAATAAGTTGTAAGTTATATGTAAAAAAGCTGGACTTAATGGATGGTCTTGCTCTTGATATTGCCAGAAAACTTGACGTCAAACCAGCTCGATATGCAATTAGGAAGACTATGATGAAACCATTATTTATCAGTCAAGGAAGATATGAGTTTCACGCTAATTTGTTCATGGATCAAATCCCCCGAAGAATTACTCTAGGATTAGTTGCAAACTCTGACTATGTAGGGACACAAGAACGAAGCCCTTTCAATTTTCAACCTTTTAGGGTAAGGGAGATTAGTATTATAGCGAACGGTCGTTCATATCCCCAATCTCCATATGATTTTGACTATGGATCGAATCGATATGTGAGAGCATTTCATGACATGAATGATGCTATAGGATTTTCTGGTACACCTGAGAACAATGGAATAACATACCAGCAATATGGGAGAACCCACTGTATCTATGTTTTTAATCTTACAAATAGTGGAGAAGATAATGGTGGGACATTTGATCTAATAAAGAATGGGTCGACAGCTGTGAATATTAAATTTAGTCAACCTATTCCAGAGGGAGGAGTCATGCTCATAGTTATGGGAGAAACAGATGCCCTTATAATGTTGGATAAAAATCGATCTATAACAAGTGACACCACTATATAAACTTAAAAATTGTTCATTTTTGTTTCATACTTAATAAAAAATGTTTTTTAAAAGACTTGCCAAAGTTTTATTCTTAATTCGAGTTTTTACTCGCTGTGTAAATACTCTAAGTACTGATGGGAGTGTAGATGTCCAAAATCTTCCTGAGTACAGGGAATATTTACGTAGACTAGGATATCCCCCAAAGAGAAACAATACTGCTACAAGTATACCTCCTCCTCCTCCTCATATTTCTGCTCCTCAACCTTTTGGTAGTCTTCCTCCAATTCAATTATGTAAGGAGACTCCTGGAGATATTTATGGGCACATATTTTGCTGGGGGATGATTTGTTTGTATGCACTACTTATTATAAGCCTAATCATTTATCAACTTCGATCAATACTTTGGGTTAAATTAAATATTTTACAAAACAATGTACAGCAGCCAGATAACTCAAATTTTGAGAGCAAATCAAAAGACGAGCAAAATTTTCGAGGGGTGCTTCCCTTGTGACTTACTACCTTCTCCTAATATTTTGAAATGGCCTACAGCTCTTATTGTCAATTTAGATTCTCATGAGATGGGAGGGTCACATTGGATAACACTTTATTTGGAAAAAGATAAAATATTTTATTTCGATAGTCTTGCACTCCCTATAAGTTCTTGTATTGTTAAATCATTTTTAAAAAATATTAAAAATGTAAAAAGAAATTTTAACCCTTACCAATCACCCCTATCAAAAACTTGTGCTCACCACTGTATTTCCCTAATATATTTTTTATCCCAAGGCTACTCCTTACCCAAATATTTGAATTTATTAGAGTCAATTAGTAATACAGATTTATTTGTAACTAAAATTGTAAACAATATGATAAATAATTAATTATTATGAATTTCTAGATAACTTTTTGTGATTTTAAAACAATCAGGACAAAGATATAATTCGTACTTGAAATTATGTTCGTATTTGGGTACTATAATTTCGCACTGCAAACGACTCAAAACAAACTTTAGACAATCATGGCACCATTTTCCGGCTCTAAAGTAGTTTATGAGTACACTTAGCCTTGCTCCCAAGTCAAGCTGAACGCCATTTTTGATAGCCTCGCTCAAAGCGTTCATATATTTCCTCTTGTGAAATTCTCTATACTCACACGACCCATGCATAAACTTAATAAATTCTTCTTCTGGCGAGGAGCTCATTTTCTTTGATAAAATTTTAAAATGATTGATGAAAATGAGTGGGAATTTAAAATTCAGTTCTCTGTATAAATTTGACCTAAATATCAAAATGTAAACTTTCAAAATATCAAAAAAATGGGAGTATATAAGTAGAGAAATTTTTGGAAAAAATCATTCTTAAAAATGAACTCTCACTCCTCCTCCAATAAAGTTCTTGATGAGTGCACTAGAATTTTGGGGTGTTCTGTAAAATCCTTAAGAGATCACCTCAACCATCCTGATAACCGCGTGCTTATCTTTAAGGAAATACTCGGTCGTAAGGTTCAAACGACCTATGAAGATAAAAATGGTTTCAAAAGAACTTTTCTCATAGATGGCCTAACTCGTCATGGAGGGAATTCTCTCGTCGCTTATGGGAGATTACCTTTTCCATACAATGTGAGCGTTGCTGCTCACTACTATGCTCGACACCGGATTCGTTTACGTTATCCATACTTGCAATGTGTCGTCGAGCGTTTTCCATTTGGAGGAGAGGACCGATTTTATCCAATGGAGTTGCTTGAGTTTGTGCCTGAAAAGGAGGATCGACTAGCAAGCAAATGGGTGAATCAGCTTTCCAATGATTTGACAAACAAACTATCAATATCTGAAGAGCCAAAGAGTCCAGTGACTATTTTGAAAAAAGATCAAGATAATAATCATAATATTTGGTAATTAATTGTAACCAATTTATTTCGAATAAAATTTATTAAAATTTGTATTTGTATCAAAAACACAAGCGACTCCTAAAAATACGCGCGCATGCCAAAGACACGCACGCATACCTAAGATTCATAAATAAGAATAAAAAATAAAAATTGCATATTCTTTATCAATATATGCTCTTTTAACCCTAATATCAACCATTTCATTCTGTAAACTTTGCTTTTCTCAATTAATTTTTTTCTAAATTATGCACTTTTCTCCCTAAAATCTTCTATTTAAAACTCAAAACTATTCGAATTAGTTTTCTAAACTCCTAAAAGTGCATTTTTCCCCCTAAAATCTTCTAGTTTTGACATAAAAAAATGCACAGCTTTTTATAAAAAATTTGAGAAAAAAATGTGAGGGAGGAGGAGGAGACCTTTTTGAAGAGTTTTTTCAATAAGGTTTTCCTAACGCAAATTCTTCTTATCTACAATCATAACATTAACTGAAAAGGGTTTCCCCCAAAGAGTTACGCCTGAACTTTTTTTACTCTGTGATACTTTATAGAACTGGTTTAACATAGTATTAAATGTGTTTTCAGTTATAGGCCGAAGTGGTATCCAGATATCCGTATGGAGCAACTCACTAGTTAGAGTACATCCCAGCATTTCTGGTTTGACTCCTTTAGCCCGCGCATTTGATACGGCATCATCGAAGCAATGTTGAAAAATACCACCAAGAAGAGTTTCCGGGTCGGCTGAAATATTCTTTATCAAATATTTTGAATAGCTTTTGACAATCTTAAATTTTTCAATGTATTGAATATTATCCTCAAGTTTTTCAACATATTCTTCTGGAGCTCCTTCTCCTGTTTGATCTCTAGAAAGGAGATTATCAATAGAAAACGATCGCACGCCTCTAGTAGGAAGATTAGCCATTATTTAATAAAGCAAAAAAATCAATAAAAATTAAAAAAAAAATAAATATGTTAGAAAAAATCTCCAACTTTTTCAATATAGTACACTTTTTGGTTTGGGTTCGATCAAATCCTGTGAATCAGCTATAAATTTTAGAAGGAATGAGCTCTTCCCACTTGAGCTTGGCCCAGACAAAATCATACCAAAAGGTAGTTTAAAATTTAAGTCTTTATTAATAAATGATTGTAATTCCATAATTATAATATTTACGAAAAAAAAAACAAATTAGAAGGTAAACACTAATGCTTATATAGGAACATTTGTTTCATCCATTTTCTCTTTTTTCTGAACCTTCTCTTCCAGCTTCTTCGGAGATGAAGATAATCCAGTTGTAGCTGCCATTAAACTATCATAAAATTCCTGAAGTTCTTTCTCGAACTCTACATTATCAGGAGGTGTAGGAGGTCGAGGAGTATCAACTCGAGGAGGAGAATGTAGAGGAGGAGTAGGGGAGCTATGAGGAGGAGAAGACAAATTATTAGTTGGAGCAGTTGGAGTAAGAGTAGGCAGTTCATCAATTTTCCTTTTCCCTCTCTTGGGATTTTGATGGATTATCTGTTGCGCTTGTACTCCATGAGGAACATTGAACACTCTCCCTTTGTTCCTGACTTTGAAAAAGCAATGTGTGGGCAAATCATAAACTGTATCGAATGGGACAAATCGGGTACCTGAGCCAATTCGTGTACAGTAGATGGTAACCCCTTCCTTAGTCACAATAAAATCAATTTCCACCTCTGTGCTCTTGCACTCCTTACATCTCCCTGACTGGTCGTAAGGAATAAACCTAGGAGTAGTAAGTCGAGAACTTAAAACGGTTATTCCACTCGAGGAGATATTAAAATCTACTTCTGGGAGGATTTGGGAAAACAAATTTTGATTCATTTTGAAATAATGATACAAAAATCCAAAATCGCCACCCTTTTATACTCGGAGTTTTCACTGGATTACAACATTAATCAAAACTGACACGCCTTAAAAACACGCACATACACAAAACACGCGCACACCCCCAAAACACACGCGCATACCTAAAATGCGTGGATTTTAAAAAAATTAAAATTTGCACTTTCTTTTGTCTAAATATGCACTTTTACCCCCAAAATTAACTACTTCAAACTCCAAACTATGCTTTTTACAACTTGTAATGCTTAATTATGCACTTTTCTACCTAAATTCAATAACTTCTAAAGGTTAATTATGCACATTGTTTTTTCAAACTCTTAAATATGCACTTTTACCCCCAAAATTAACTAGTTCAAACTCCAAACTATGCTTTTTACAACTTGTAATGCTTAATTATGCACTTTTCTCCCTAAAATCAATAACTTCTAAAGGTTAATTATGCACATTGTTTTTTCAAACTCTTAAATATGCACTTTTCTCCCTAAAATCTACCACTTTAAAACATTAATATTGCACATGTTTTTTATAAAAAACGATAAAAATTATTGCAAATAATAAACACGAACACTGTTTGACTAATTACAAAGAACAATTTGATTATTCGATAAGGTAATAGATCACTTGTTGTATGGTTCTATAAGATTGTAACAAGATAAATGACACTTCAAATTTAGAAATTATTTTTTCACCACTGCTTACAGATTACACTTCAACACCACAACTCTACCGATATGTCCTCATCATTTGATTTTGCCAGACCCCTCTACTCCACGATGGTGATTGTTCACCCGCAAAGGAAAGGAGAGGATAAAAGGAGAAGAGAAGATGATACGAGAGGAGATGAGAGAGTAGAAGAGAGTAGGAAGAAAATAGAGATTAAACGAGTAGGAGAAAAAGAACGAGGAGAGGAGTAGGATATGGAGAGGAGGAAGGAAATAGTATCATAGAGGAAGAACCGAGAGGAGAAGATGAGATCAGAGCAGATGGGAGGAGGGAGGAGGAGGAGGAAAAAATAGAGAAGATAAGATTGGGAGGAGAAAGGAGAATGAGGAGAGAAGGAGTAGTATCAGAGAGGAGTAGGATAGAGGAGGAAAGGGCAAGTCAAGATCAGAGAAGATATGAGAAATGGGAGGAAGGAGGAGGAGGAAGAAGAAAATAGAGGAGAAGATAAAATGGGGAGGAGAAAGAATGAGGAGAGGAGGAGTAGTATCAGAGAGGAGGGATGAGAGGGGTAGGATATGGAGAGGAAAAGCTGGTTATCACCGACCTGTCAAAGTGATTTGACTTCAAGTCAAAACAAATGAAAAGGATTTGTCTTAAAAGTCAAAAAGTCGGCCACGATGACGATGATTCACAAATTACCCCTTAAACCACTCCTAAAGATTATTATTTTATCCATTTCAGTTATTGCCACCCTAGACGATGATGTCCACATTCAAAAGGGGTTCTCTTCCTTTTGGTTTCCCCTCATAATTGAATATTTCCTATTGTCTGACCCATCCTCCCCAAATATTGCCATTCACTTTTCTTTTATCGTATCTCTCCGCAAGAATTTTCCTCTCCATTTTGATTTTTCCCACAAATAAATGCACACTCTATCGTTTGTCTGACCTCTTCATCACAAATCTTGGCTTCCCTTCCCACTCCACCCCAAGACTGCCAAGTTGTCCACTCCCTTTAGGTTTTTGCCGCGCGATCCCCCAACATGCCCTCTTCCTTTTGGTTTTACCAGACCCCCACCACCCCACGACGTTTTTTTCCAGAGAAGAGAAGAGGTAGGGAAGGAGAGGGAGGAGGAGTAGGACGCCCGCGACATCAATTTTTCCCTCTCCTCCTACAGGTACAGGTTGGTCAGCTTTTACCGCACTAACTCGCGCTAAAGGTTTGAGCTTTGTCCAGCCGGTCAAAAGGATTTGGCCTTAAGTCAAAACTAATCAAAAGGATTTGACTTTAAAGTCAAAAAGTCGCCCGCGACACCCCCGCACCTATGACTACTAAATATTCTGAATAAAATATTTTTTAAATTTAAACTTTGTTGTGCAACTAGAATTAGCCAAATAAGGGGAATGGGGATAATTGGGGGAAGTAATACGTCCAGAAGCTAATGAAACACCATCGGGAACTAAAAGAAAAAATTAATTTTTAACAAATTGTAAAATTCTGTAACCATTTCCATCAATTTCAATACTTCGATTGCAAGCAGAAAGAGTTCGAAAACGAATACGAAAACTAGCAGAGAATTGGCTTTGGAGAAGAACAGAAGCAGTTAATTGTATAACTGAAGTACTTGAAATGTACCATTGAGGTGCCTGATAAATTTAAGGGAAATGAATAGAGATAAATGGTGTTTTGATTTATAAAATGATTTGGAATTAAAGAAGAAGCTTCGAGGAAAACACCTTAATCCATCCAAAGTAAATCTCTTAAAGAAATAATAAATATAAGACTTCGGGAAGGACGGATTCTTTTACTTTTAAAAATCTGCTTTAAACATCCCCTATCCTCAATTACCAACATTATTTCCACATGTACGTATAGTTCTTTCCTTTTTTCCTTGTAATGGTTCTGTAGCACAAGCAGGATGTTGACATTCACTTAAAGCCCCAACATCCCGAAGTTCCAAAAATTCATCCAAACAATTACCGCTAGTTGATGGAAAAGAAAATTGTTCAAAAATAACTTCCAAAGGTTGTTGTTTTTCTGTATAGAGAAACCAACGACAACTGAACAAAAAATAAAATTTCAAAAAAATTTCAATTAATTATAATTGCCGTTTATGTCGTTGATTTGTCCTTTTTAATGTCCGCTCACTAACAAAACTAACATCAGACCAATCTTGGCCAGCCAAAAAAGCTCCTCCACAGTCAGATTTAATTGCTCTAAACTCAGCCTTCAAAAAAATTTTTTTAATAATTAAATTTAAAATAATTTACTTGAAATCCAGTTCCAGCTAATTCTGTACTAGAATCAGAAGAGAAAAATACGTCAATTTGGCGATGGGATGAAATAAAATTTGGATTTAATTCATTATTGTCAGTTAAAGGTAAACTACAACTTGGAGGAAGTAATAGAGGGGAAGTTGCCTTTAGAAATAATTTTTTGTAGTAAATTAGAAAAAATTCTCTTTATTTACTTTAGGTCCATCATAAATAGCTATATAATCAAAACAAGGGGTAACTTCCAAAAATGAAAGTCCAACATAATTAGCTAAAGTTGAATTAACAGAATTTTGTTGTTGTTCTTGTGGAGGTTTTTGTTCTAATTTTAATTCAATTAAACGAATTTCTATAAGATTTCCACGTTCAGCCTAGAAAATGAGGAAAAAATTATTAATTTTATTTTTTATTCTATTTTTACTTCAATATTCCATTCACAACGAAGATTTGGGTAATAATTTTCAGTTTGAGGATCTATTGGAACATTTAATTTCTTCCATTCATTTTCCAAAGCTTTAAGAGAACCCCCACAACCTTTGGAAGGCCCCAATGTTGCTGTTAATACCTTTAAATATATTTATTTTTGAAAAAATACTTTAAGTATTACCATTCTAAACCCATCAAAACTTGTACTGTGGTCACTTCTAAACCGAACAAGTAATCCGGAGCCACTACTTTTCATTTCACCGTCGGGTGCCTTATCTCCGCAAATAATTAACTTTAAAAATAAATTAGAATTTGTGTATTTTTCATTAAAAATCATAATTTCATTTACTTTTCTGCTCTGATTATTAAATTCTTTTCCATCAAAAACTTCAACAGAATCAAAAGGACAATCGCCCTGCACCCCCATTTCTATATTTAAATCGGTAAATTTATAAGAGATTATATAATCAGAAGAAGCAGTTATATTCCAAACACAATCGAGAGAATGATGGTAGGGGAGAGGAAAAGCTGGGGAAGTGATATAAACTGACTCTAAAATTAAATAAAAATAAATTGAAAAAAGGACAATTAATTAACGTGATCGAAATGATTGTTGGTCTGTCACTAAATTTACATCACCCCCACAATCTGCTAATGCATAAGATAATTTGAAACCGCGACGATTTTTCCATTTGGAAGAATCTGATGAATATGTAGAACGAATTGTTACAAAACGGACACCAATTGGCCCCTAAATAGATCATTTAAATAAAATTTTATCCAATTACTTTAATGGAAACAGCCTCCGCTGAATCAGCTTGGAAAGTAGCCCCACAAAGTAATTGAACAGTAACATTCTGTTCAACATCTTTAATCTCCAAATAATCAGAAGAACATAACCGTCGTTGATTATTATTTTTATTAAATTCAACAAAATTTGTATTATCCAAGTCAAAATCCAAAACTTTTAAAGTAACAATTTGTGTAATGCCTGGCTGGACTTCTGGGTCAATAAGGTAATCACATTGTGTTGCTTTATTTGGATAATTAATTGGGTAATTTGGAGAGGTTATTACACCATGATTATTACGAAATACAGCACCTCCACAAACTGAATTAAAAATCAGAATTTTTTTTTAAAAATTTATTTCTAAGTTTATAATGAAAAATAAAAATCAGAAAAATAATAATTTATTTGGGATAAATCAGAATTTAATTTAATTAAAACAGAATCTCTTTTGTATTTAATAATTCAGTAAAGTTTCAAAAATAAGCTAATAGTAGGGAAGCTGGTTAGCATTTAAAACACCTACTAGACAGGAGTTTAAGATCTACTAAAAGAGAAGGTGAAAGCAGCGTCCCGGTAGCTCACATTAGTTGGTAGAGCACCTGTACGTGGTGAGCGGAAGCGCCTATCAACAACTGACAGGAGGTCGCAGGATCGAAGCCTGCCCGGGTTTAAACTTTTACCTCGCTCTTACGTAATAATATTTTTATTTAATTATTCTGATTTTTTAATTATTCAAGAAAAATCAGAATTACTAAAAACACAAATTTACCCGCTTCCCAACGTAATTTAAATCCTTTTGCTGTTTTACGAGAATCTGTTGTAAAATTAATTTTAACTCTGTTGCTTTCTGTTCGAATAGGTGAAGGTAATTTATTTCCACAAAGTTTTTGGCCAGGCGATTCATGATCAAAATAAAAATAATAAGAACGTAGAGGAACTATAGCACGTGATTGGTGCTCTTCTGAGATCTTTTTTTGTTAAAAATTTAAATAAAAATTCCTCCTCCCTCAGAAACTTACTTTTAAAAAATCATTTTTGCAATCAATTGATTGGGCAATATCAAAATATTCAAAAGTAATTAATATATGATAGCCAGTAGGGACTTGTAAATCCCACAAACAATTTGTATTGTTTAAATAATCATTTAATGGGTAACCAGGGGATTGAATAAATCCGCCAACAAGTGAGTGGAGATTGAAACCACATTGTTTTGGATTTGGTAAGGAAAATGTATATTGAAGAGAAAAACCACGAGCGGTTATCTAATTGATAAAAAATTTTTTAACTAATTTTTATTTCTAAAAACTGACCGTACTGTCAGTGTGAAAACGAAGTGTTAAAGAACGGCCGGCAGAACGAATAGTTCGAAAACGTTCTGGTAGTTTCTGATCTTCTCCCATACTTTCAGAATTGCAATATTTGTGAATGACTGCAGAAGATTGACGTTCACCTTTTTTGAAAATTTAAATTTGTTATTCTTCCTTCAAAATAATTATTTTAAAAAACTACCAGAAATAACTTCCAACATATCAAGTGAACATTCAATGTGATATTCCAAATCCATTGTGGTAAATTTTATCTGTGAGAAAATTGAAATTTGTTAACTTTTCTCTGAACAAATAATATTTTAAAAAATATATATTTACTTCAACAACATAAGATTCAGGAGCTCTAAGTAACCAAAGACACTCCAAACCATTACTGTAATTGGAGGATGTTCCAAATCCTGGACTGCTCAATTCACCAGACATGCCCATAAAACGTTCATCAATTAAACCGCCACATTCTGATTAATTTAATTTTAAAAATATTATTAAAAACCCCCCTCTCTCCAAAAATCCCCCCCCCCTCACTAATCCCTATATAAAAAATCAAAGACCATAAAAATCCAAAATAATATTAGCAGATAACTTAAAAGCATAAATATCTAATTGAGAATTAAGTAAAATAAAGTTTGTTTGATTATTTTGAGCAATATAATTATTTCTACAAATAATTTCTTCAAAATCAATTGGATCAGAATTTTCATCTTAAAAGATTATTTTAAAATAATTAATCAGAAAAACTACCTCTAATTAAAAATTGACTTTCCCAATTTGTACATTTATTACTTAATTTATCTGTTGAATACCCAGAAGAATAAAAAGTTGCATTTAAAATTCGTAAATGTAAAGTATTAAAGTCTGGATTTAATTTGCGTATTTGGATATGACAAAATGCTAAAATAAATTTTGAGAAAAATATTTTTTTAAGTAAAATTTTTACAAATTTGTTGTTGATCACCAAAAGTCTGTCAAAAAATTTTAGAATTATTTTTTTAGTTTTTTACCAAGTAATTGTGTTAAAAATTTCTTTTGCCGTATATGAATAATTGCCCCGGGGCAATTATTAGCAATTATTTTGTAATTTTAGCATAATTACAAAACTCCCGCCAGAGGTGGGTATTAAATTAGTAGAGGAGGTAATTATTTTAGAGAGGATAATTATTAGAGAATATACGGTATATCTTTAAAATTTCTGAATTTACCTGGGGCATATTTAAACTCAAATTTCCAGACATTGTTAATTCATACATACAAGAAGCATTATTTAAATCTTTCGGCACTTTTGTATATTTAATTTTAAATTGTTTTTTATTTAATAATTTCCATTCAATTTTTGGCGATAAATTAACAATTTTAGCATAATTACAAAATCCTTTCAAATAATTTTCTCCACAATTATTATTATCATATTTTAATATAGAAATGTCAGAAGTAGAGATTATTCGAGTTTTGTTGGAACAAAAATATTGAAAATTACTATTTAATATTCGATCACCAAAGTCAATGCCATCGTAAAACTTTAAATTTTTTTTAAATTTAGTAAAGCAGCTAGGCTATAGCTATTTCTCTCCTTTAGCTAGTGCAAAATGTTATTCGCGGCTGGGAGCGAACCAGCATCTTCAGTAGCACGGATGATGTGTTAGCCATTACACCACGCCGCCTACTGCATAACTCATAAACCTCACCAAGAGGCAAAGCAATTCCAAAATTCATCCAAGCTACCACACGAAAGGGTTAGGTCTAAGGCCTACTGCACAGCCTTAGGAATTAAATAGCTATATGCTTTACAATTTTTAAGAAATTTTTAAATAAGAAATTACCAATAAATCTATGAAGCAATTTATTTTATCCGCGTTATTAGAAGGGAGCATTAAAGCATTCTAAAATATTATTTTTTAGTACTTATTTTTTTAATTTTGAAAAAATAATTAATTTCACCTCCTCCCCATCATCATTACCATTTCCTGCCAAAAATTCAAAATCTAACAAATATCTAAACCCAATCCCAGCTTGAAAATTCCACTGGCAAAAAAGGGGAATTTCTGCCAAAGAACTACTTCCATAAGGCAAAGACAATTCCCCTCCATCATCCTTTATTGTCCCTCCACAAGACAATTTAGATGCCCAAAGTCGAAGACTAAAACCACATTTTCTAGCTAAACAGAATAAACGAGCAGCTCTAGCAGCTGTATTTGTACTAATATATGAAGTTGTTGTTGAAGTTGTTGTGTAATTAACGACAAATAAAATTGAAAGGGAACGGTGTTGTGAACGATAAAAACCGTTGGAATTTAAAGTTAATTTTGAACAGGTAGGTTTTTGGATATATTCACCTTTTGTTTAAATAAAATAAAAATTATTTCTAAAAAATTAAAGACCAGTAGAATTATAATCTCTAATTGTTAAATATTCAGAAGTACAGTTTTCTGTAGCAGATAACCAAAAATGTTCCATCCTAAAATATACATTAAGGAAATATTTTCTGTTTATTTAAGAACATTGCTTCAACAAAATGCCCTCTCGGTGCAAATATTACCCATTCACAATTTAAAGAAGATGGGTAAACATCGGGAAAGTTTGGAGAATGAATTGTTGAATTCTGTCCAGTAACAAGAACAACAGAACCTCCACAAAAAGATAAACTAATTGTGGCATTCCAACCAGGTGATTCTGAGTCGCTGTCTGAAAAAAGGGAAAATTTTTGATGTTAAGGGAGATTGAGGAAATTGAAATGTTTATTGACAAATAAAAAAAAATTATTAACCAGTCACATAACGAACATACAAATGTTCGCTAGTTGATATAAAAGTACTTGGAGCATTTGTTTCACAAAAACGTCCAACTAATGTTGATGCATGTGAACTTCCATCCCTAATTTCTAAATAATCTTCTTCACAACTGAATTATTTTTTTTAATTTTCATTTCCAAATTTTTTCCCCCACCGATCCCCACTAATTGGATTTTGTAAAAGAAATGTTCTTGGATCAATTGTAAATTGTAATCGCCTTCCGGGAGGGGCACTAAGAATCCAATTACAATCTAAAGAATTAGGGGAAGCTAGAGGAAATTCTGGTGAAGTAATTATTTTTTGAGGAGAAAATTGATCAAGTTGAATTATTGAGGAAGCACAGTCGTGGATAATTTCGTGAAGACGAAGTTTAAATCCCTGAAAGTGTTTTTATTTCCAAAAATTATTTATTGAAATACCCTTCCTTTAGGCAAAGCTCTTCTATAGCGAATAAATAAATAACCAGAAGGAACTGTCAAATTAAACTTTTCTTGTCCACAATGTACCAAAGAACGATTAGCAATTGTTTCTTCACTATAGAAAGGTGTAGATGAAAATTCTAAAGCATCATTTACACATTCCTGGCTTGACCACTCCCTCGGGGCTAACTTAAAAATAAGAAAATTTTTTCCCAAAAAATCGGACAAACATCCATATCCAAAGCTTGAACAAAAATATCCCTTCTGGACAAAACAAGAATTGACCAATGGCATTTTAAATTTTTAATAGATAAAGTTAAATCTTCAGGAGAAGGTTCTAAAGATAAATGTGTATCTAAAATTCCTTGAGATGGAAGCAAAAGTTCAATAGAATTGCAGGATAATGAATAATTAAGAGAAAACCCTCCACTAGTCCGAGACCTGAAAATGAGTAACATTGTACTATATTGTAAGTCCGACGAAGTTTCTTTTCAGCCTATCAAATAAGGTAAAAATAAAAACGATCAGTGGGTGATGGAATGTTTCAGCAGGTAAGAATGGAATGTTTTAGCTGGCAGGATTAAGTCCTAACAATCTTTTGATATCTTCTGGAATGGGTACGGCCGACTAGTATACACTCAATAAAAAACCTCTAGATAAATATTAACATAGGTAAGAAACTCTTCAAGAAATATTTAAATTAAAATAGTATGTATTTACCTGTCTGTGTAAAAATAAATAAAGGCAAACTCTGATGAATTTATTTCAATTGTTGTTGTTGAGGTTTGTTGTTGTTTTTGACAAATTCTTTGAATTGTTGGAATATCATCTAATTCTTTAGCTTTTTCATAATTTACTGTCCCAAGAGATAACCAATCATATTGACATTCTGGATGGGGTTCTAAATCTAGATTGGTAACAGTCAACAAAATATTGGCAAATTGAGGGCGTCTTATTGTCCATTTACATCTCTCATTGTTACGATACCTTTTAAGAAAATTTAAAATAATTTAGAACCTTTTGCTAAGCTTCTATCCCAAATTTAACTATAAACTATATAAATAAAGTAGAAAAAATCCACCAACTTCATTGTGTTCTGATCAATCGGACTATTTAGTGTTTGTATTTTATATGTTGCAGTTAACTCTCCCCCACAAGTAAAGCCTCCATCTTTTGATTTCTCTACATTATCCTTTCAAGTAAAAAATGAGATTAATTATTAAGGTTCTCAATAATTACAATTTCTGATGTCCCATTATGTTCTCCTTTCCTTGGATTCACCTCTTTCCAATAAAATTTAAATGGAGATACAAAACAATTTTTGGAAACAAAACATTTTGGATAAAAAACAATTGTTGCTTTATTAGATCGTAAAGTATATAAATAATTTCTCTCGGGAGGTGAAAGATTAGTAAAGCTAAGAGTTAATGGATCATTAGCAACACAGGCTTCTTCTTCCTAAATTTTAAAATTTTTTTAATTTAAATATTTTCCAATAAATCATCTACCGACGTGGAAGGAACCAAAAAACACCAATATGGGTGAACATCTAATCTTGCAGGGAATTGTTCTAAAATATATTCAGATAATCCAAACTGAATCCAATTCTCAGAATCTTCTGTAGCGATTCGCCAAGAAACTGGCTGAATTAACCCTTCAGGGGGTGATTCGATTATGTGAGAAGATGTTTGGCCATAAACTTGAATAAAATGAATTTAAATTGTGAATATAATTAACGATAATCCTTTCTTATCTAAATAACGCTAGGTAACACTTACTTTTTGTATATTTTAATTCAATTCTCGCTATTTTTCCATTATCATTATTTCCTTCCTCATCCCCATCAATATCCAAATCTTCTTCAATTTTATGTCTCAACCTAATATAAATAGGTCCTTCAATATTTTCAACAGACGGGGGAAACAAATCTCCACAAAAACGTCCAATTAATTGCCCACTCGAATTTTTTTCTCGAAATTCCAAAAATGAAATTGTACAGAATTCCGACTTTGGAAGTGAAAAGGCAAGAATTTGGATAGAAACATGGGAGCCTTTAACAGCATTAATAGTCCATTCACATTCTGTTGGGGACAAAATTGGATTGAGTGCAAGTCTGCCTTGTTGATCGTTAATTGATTGGGCACCACAAACTTTAAAAATAAATTATAGTCAAACTAATTTTTGTTGAAGCTTTGGAATCTTGATACACCCTTAGAGCTGAATAAATCTTGTTTTATAACGATGTGTATCTTAAATAGGAGATATCTCTTAGGCACTTCCCTCAAACCATGGTCAACAAAATTTAAAAAAACAACTTAAACTAAGGAGTGTCTAATTCTGGGGATGGGATATCTAGAAATTAGTATTAAAAAATATTAATTTATTACAAGTAGAAGCAACATCATAATTGATAAGAAAAGCAGATGATTCCATTGTATCTAATTGTTTGCCAACCAATCTTGCCTGATTCTGATCACATACAAATTCATGGAAATGTTGTAATTGGGGTGGTATTGATTCTTGTTGAAGGTTTGTGTTTGTCGATGCTTCAACAATTCCTTTGGAATCTTCTCCACAGAAAAATTCCAACTGAGGAGGTTCTCTGTTATTATTTGGGTTTAATAATTGTGTTGATGATGGGAAAAAGTATTGCTCGATACGAACAAAAATTTTCTGATTGCCTTTAAAAAATAAATTTCATAATTAAATTATTGGATTATGTACCTTCAGAATTTTCACTCAAACGCAAATTCCATTCACAAATATTGCTATTATTATTTTCTTTTATTTTATTAATATTTTGTTGCATTTTTAACCCAACATTTGCTGTATTAAGCACTTTACGTTCACTATTAACCCAAAGAATTCCACCACATTTTGCATAAACATGAAGACGAAAACCTATTGGCCGTTGAGTTTTTTGTTGCTGTTGAGGAACATTAATCTCAGAACTTATTTGGTCATATGGTGCACCTCTAAATGTGACTATACCCTTAAATAAACCGAAAAATAAAATTAAAATGAATTTATTCACCAAATTTCCATCCATTATTATTTCAACAGGATTTACTCTTATATCCTTACAAATTCTATATTTTGTTTGTGAAATGCTTCCATAAAATCTAGAAAAAATATTTATTTTTAATTTGAAATAAAATAAAATTTTAATTAAATTATTACAATAAATTCCTCATCTTTCACAAAATTATTCAAAATTCTCACTTACAAATTTTCTTGATTTAGTTGTTGCCCGGAAGAAATATTATTTTCAACCATTCCTTCAGAGAAAATAAGACCCCCACGCAAATAAAGCATATGATATCCACAAGTAAAATCCTCAGGATTTAAAGAATTATTTGATAAAGATTGAGAAGATGAGGTAGCAAATACTCCTGTACCTCCCCGCCAATCAAATATTGATGTGCCCAACACTGGACTTGTAAAATTCAAAATTTGGAATGCTGGTATAAACCCTTCAGGCGTTTCAAATTTCCAAGTTAGCTAAAAAATAATATTTAAATATAAGTATTTAAATTTATTTTTTGCCTCAATGCTTCTTGGATAAGGCTTTGGATAGTTTGGTGATTGAATAAATGAATCAGAATGTGGATCAACTAAAAATATTATTATAAAAATAATAAAAGTTCCAAATATAGTCGAACTTAGATATCCCTTGAAGCTAGAGGATTATAAAATATAATGAGGGGCACCTTATGTTATTGTTTAGGCAGACCCCTTTGAAAAAATATACGTCCTAACTTGTTGGGTACCAAATTTTGGGGATATTTAAAAGTGAGTTCGACTGTATTTTATTAAATTCCAACCAAAAATAACTCCTCCATTTCCTTCTGTGGAAATAGGCAAAAAATTAATTTTTGCAGAAAAAACAATTTGATCATCGACTGGAGCAAATGTTCCATCACCAAAAATTGCAGCCCCAATTAAAGTATCAGTTAATAATTCTGTTGTGTCTGTATGATAACTAAATACAATTGCTATCCCTCCAGCAGAAGCTGAATTTCCTCCCCAATTAAAGCTAACATTTTTTAATTTTCCACAAAATGCTTTTAAAGGCAAATCTTCTTCATTTCCTCCTGATAACCTTTCAAAAGCAAATTGGCTGTCAACAGCGTAAAACTTAATTTTATTTTTTTTCATTTACTCTCAAACATTCCCCCTACTTGAACACCATCTCTTAAACGAGTTTTTTCACCACCGGTAAAACCAGCCGGCTGCACTTCAAAACACTTTTGTCCAGCAGGGACTGGCTCTGTCTGCATCCTTTCAATCATTACTTGAATACTATAACCAATTGGGGGCTTTTAAATATTTAAATAAATTTTATTTAAAAAATAATCTATTTATTTTTTACCTTAACATACCAAATACATTTCCGATAAGGATCCTCTCCCACAAAATCAGCCCCTTCTGAAGCATTAGCTATTAATCGAGAATTATTTTGTGTAATAACACCACCACAACCTTATAATTATATTTTTTCTTAAATATTATTCCCTAAATTACCAATAGTATTCCAACTAAGCCAAAAATGATTTTCTGGTTCATTTCTCGAATAAAATTCTAAATTTAATTTATTCTGTTTTGAAATAATTTCCATTGGTTCAGCAATTCCAAGACATAAACTTTCGGGAATTTTTGTTGAATCATTACTTTTCATTGTTTTTCCATTTTTTATCCAAATAATTTGTTTAATTTCATTTGAAAATATCTGAATTTTTAGAATATTTATTTTAAGATAATTAATATAACCTTCAAATAATTTTTAGCACAAAAGGATGGACTAGTTCTCATAAATTTCACTGAAAAAATAATTCAAATTAAATTCCGATTTTAATTATTAAAATTAATTCTGCTTAAATTATTAATAAATGTTCTGATTTTTGAAATAATAATTATTTGAAAAAATCAGAATAAGGAAGATATTCTGATTTATTTTAAAAATATTTCTAACCCAAATTATTTCCAGTATCTGTAATTCTAAATATGTGGAATAGCAATTGAATTCGACTGCCAGAAGGAGTTTGAATTTTCCATTTGCAATCTTTAAAATAAAGAATAGATAGACGGTATTCTACAGTTATCTGTCCCTGCAAATTAGTGTAGCCCCCGAGCCTTCAGGGTCGGGGATCGGGGTTTGCCGGGGTAGCGCCTTCGGGGTTCGGGTCGGAGTTTTTGCCAAAAAAATCATATGAAAAAACATTATCTTTTTTCTTTTTTTTCTCAATTCAAATTAACTAGAAAAATCTGTGTAAATTCTCACTCAACCCAGCTCGAGGAGCTCTATCAAAAAAATTATAAAATTTCCAAAAAATTTTCACTTAAGAAAAGTCTAGGACTAATTTTAAAAATATTTTCTAATAATCTATTTACTTCTAGGTAAGAGTACTCGTTGTGGATATCCAGGTGATTGTAATGTTCCATGTAATCCTTCCAATACAATATCAGTACAAACTTTATAATATATTTAATTAAAAATATTCAGAAATATGTACCAGTAGAAAATTCAGCTAAAAATCCAAAAATGGGTGAATGATGAGAACCCCCATGTTGGGAGAATTTAACATTTAGAGAATTACTAGAAGAGATTATCGGTAATGGATTTGTTGTTTCTTGTTTACAATAACGTTCAATTAAATGTTCATTTTTACTATTTTCCCCTCCATATTTTATATCATAAAGTTCTAATAAATTTCGACTAAAAGGGGAACAATTCCCGTCAGAATCTTCAGAGTCTAGATTGTCTAATTTAATTATTTGGAATTGAATCTAAACAAAATAAAATAATTTTTGAGAGAAATTCTCAAAAAGGAACTTTATTTCCAGAGGCTACAGCTAACAACCATTCACAACGGAGTGAATGAGAATCTTTATAGGGATATTGTGGTGTTGAAATAGCTCCACTAAATCCTGTTATGTGACCACCACAGCCTGAAACACAAATATTTAAATAGAAATAGAATAAATAATAGATTTATATTATTTATTTACCAGCTTCATATTGCTCGTATTTTACTTCAAACTTAATTGCTTTATTAGTTATTGAACGAAAACGAAGGAAAAGACGATTTCCTTGAGAGATTAATTGCTTTATTGGATTCTCATCTTTAATTAAAAATATTTTGGAATTATTTTACAAATTAACTGCAAATTTCAGAATCTCCATAAAGTCCAGCAAACCCAGGAGAGGATTCTGAAGGGCCATTCCGAACCATTAAAGTTCCGTAATCACAAGGAGAAGAAATATTTAAAATATTTAAAAGAATACGGCGATTTGAAGAAATCTACATATTTTTAAATTAAATTTTTAAATCAAGAATTTATTTATTTACTTGAATTTTATAATTACAATATTCATTCTGCTCAAAATTTCTAAAATCAAAAACAAATTCCCCTGAGGATGCTGTAAATGTTCTGTCACAATGTGAAGTCAAATCAATTGCTTGGAATTTTGCTGAGAAACCAGAACCGCTCACAGACCGATCACTAATGAAAACAACAGCCATTTGCCCAGAATTGGAAATTAATGGAGGTGGTAAGGATTTTCCACAAAATCTTTAGAAAAAATTATGTAAATTTTAAAGTAAGGAGAAGTAGAGAGAGAATGAGTCTTAAAGTAGGGAAGAAATCATGATATCAATCAGAGGTGAGCGCAAGAGGCACTATCAAAAAACGCAATGTGTTCACCCCTGATATCAATAACACCCCAAATTTATGTATTACCCAGCATCCTACCGACATACAAACACTTCCAATTATCGTGAATTGAGATGACAGGATCCCCCTCACTCAAATAATTGTCCTCTCTTTATTAATCCTCTCCCCCTTCAACGAAAGGTTAAAACAATAATTACCCAACTAATCGAATAAACACTTAACACTTACTTTCCAAGTAACTGTCCATGTTCATTATCGTCAGTATAAGTATCAAAAACTCTAACATTATCAAAATCGCAATCATCCCTATGGGCAACATTTTCTATATCAAAAACATCAAAACTAAGACGGACAGCTTTTCCCTATCACAAAAACTTAGTTTAATTTAAATTATTCAATAAAACTAACAATTGGTACTCGAAGGAAATAAACACAATACATAAATGGAATATAAGGTTCTGGATAGTTTGGACTAGTTATTGTAATTTTTTGTTCTCCGTTTTCATTTATTGTAAAAACACCACCACAACCAACGTTAAATGTTTCATAATAAAAGAGAAAACCTTTGTTTGTCGGAGAACCACTTGTACCTTAAAAGATAATTTTTGTTAAAACACTTAAAAATTCGGGTCAAATAAACTATTTGGATATCCAATACCAAACCAGAACCCCCCCCCCCCATCGATAATTCAGTTCCATTTTAGAAATATGTAGGTTAACAAACTATATGTAATAGAAAACGGTTTTATTCCACTAGTCACAATTTCTCCTCCTGGCGCCACAAAAGGGTAACGAGGACAAATATAACGTTTATTCGCCACTTCATTAGATGAATGGCCTCCAGAAAGCTTTAAAATAAAAAAAGGATAATTCTAGATTTTAATTAAATACTTCAACATAATCTTGAATTTGTGGATTATTTTGACGGGTATTGTAGAAACAAGTACCAAAACTTGTAGTAAATCCAATTTTGTCAAAACGTAAACGAATAGCCTTTTTTTGAATTTAAATTTAAATTTAATTTATTTTTATTTTACCTGACTTGGCTTTGCAATAATTCTATAAGTACATTTAAAGGGTTGTGATGAAGGGCCGGGATAGTTTGGAGGAGATATTGTGCCGTTTGGCAAAGTAAAATCCTTTTGACAAACTTAAAAGTTTAATGAAGCTTTATTAAGTACCTATTTTTTCGATTAATTCACCTAGGGGAATTAATATTTGAACCCATACGTGGGATGGGGAATTATTCGAGAGAGGGGAATTATTTAAATTTTGGCATTTGAACGTGAAGTAGGGTATTTGGGGGTGGAAAATTATTGTTTGAACCCAACTCTAGCACGGGGAATTAATCGAGAAAATACGGTAATTCATAATTATCTGATTTTTTTGATTTTTAAAATAAAACTTATTTTATTATAATTTAATTAAAAATAACCAGAACGATAACGTATAGAAAATCCAGATCCACCAATAGAAGAATCAGAGTGGAATTTTAAAGAAAGATAAGGAGCTACAATAGGCAAATTGAGTGAAGGTTTTTGCATATTGCAATAAGTTAATTCTTTCTCAACAATTTGTAGAGAATCTCCAACACAGGAATTTATTGTTACATGGCGAAGGAGGGGATTTGAATACTTTTTTAATTAAAAAAATAAAAGGAAATGAGAAGGATTTTAATTTTAGTTGAAATATTAATTCAATTAATTCCTCCTTATGGGGAATTAATTGAAAAAATAATTCCTTAAGAGAGTAAAGCAGCTGGGCTATACTATAGCCGCTATAGCTATTTCTCTTTTTTAGCTAGACAAAAGGTTAATCGGCGGCTGGGTGCGAACCAGCATCTTCAGTAGATCGGACTTATGTGTTAGCCATGCATAGCCTTAGGAATTACATAGCTAGTATATGCTTTACAGGAGTGAACAAATTTTGGATTTTGGTTGAATTTAACTAAAATAATTTTATTTAGAATAATTTTTAATTAATTTATTTTCAACTTTTTTCCATCTCACATAAATTTCTAGAACATATTCTATCAGTAACAATACCTGAGTAACAGTTGTAGGCACATCAAAATGTTCAAAGAAAATCTCCACTTTTTGATCAGCCAGATAAGGATCATCACCATCATTCCCCTCATTATTATTTATTAATTTATTATTCTCATCATTATCTGTATTATTTTTTGAAATAATTTTTGGTTGTATAATCCAAAGACAATCCAAATTAGGAAAATAAATATGTGGATAATTAGGTGATTGAAGTAATGAGGAAGATTCTTCTGCTTGTATTTTGCCTCCACAGCCAGTTGGCACTTTTTTAAAATTAAAAAATAAATTTTTAAATTAATTTATTTTACATTCAATTGTTTTGTAAACAATAGAGAAACCGATAGATGTACAGGAAGTTCCACCTTTAATTTTAAATAATTTCTTTTAATCCAATAAAATTAGTAAAGGTTAAAAAGATTTTCTTCTAAAAATTTTAATTTTATTTTGCTAACATTTTTTGTTAAAAATTTGTTGTTGTTGCCCATCTATTCGAAGGTAAATAGTAGCAAAAGGACCGGATGTTCGTACAACTGTTGGAGCTTCCTTAGTTGGCAAAGAAGAGCATTTTTGAGAGGAAAGTGTTTTGTTTGATGGCATTTGACTGTCAAATATCTGGAAATTATTTAAAATGCTCTTTTAGGATGCTTAGATGACATCTAATATTTTTTATAAATTAATTGCCTCTAAAATGTTTGTTGAACAATTGACATTTTCTGCACTAGGTAAACGAAGAACTTGAAGACTCAATTCAATATGGAATTGAGGGGGAACATTTACATACCTTTATTTAAAAGAAATAAACAAATACACATTTAATTACCAAATACAGGCTTTATCCCCCAATTCCTCCTCATCTCGTCTAGAATCTTCTAAATAATAGTCAATCCTTCCCCCATTAGGACTGGAAAACCTGCCCCCACAGCCTGAAAATTTTTTACGAAGGAATTTAAATTTAAGATTCTAAGAACTTATACTTGGCTTTTTAGCTGTCCAATTTAGATGTAAAAAAGTACTTCGACCTTGAATTCGACTGCTTAAACGAATAACTGCTTTATTAGTTGAAGTAAAAAGTGGGTGTTTAAAGGGCGTCTAATTTTTTTAAAAATTAATTTTTCCATTAATTTTTAAATACTTCAAAATCCTCTCCATGACACATATTTACAATTTGTGTAGAAGCAAGTGTAGGGCTTTGTAATGGATCAGCGCCATCAAAAATAGTTAAGGTAACAAAAGCGTTTTCACATCCCTAAATTGTTAAAAAGAATTAACACTTAACGGTTGAACTATAAAATCACCTTTGATGTAACTTCAAATAAATGAGGAGCTGTCAGATTGAGAAAGTTTATTTGTAAAACCTGAGTAATGAAATAATTTTTTAGTATATATTTTTTAATTGTTTGGTTTATTGTCTCTATGATAACAACAACAATTTTAAAATTTAAAGAATTACTAATTACTTTTCTAGTGTCAAACATTTCTATATGCCAAGTACAAGTCCATCTATCGAACAATGGACTAGGGGCAGTCCGTTCATAAATTAATTCTCCCGTCTCATTCGAAGTATGAAAACCACATCCTTTTAATAATTAACTATTTATTAATCTCTCCCTAATTATCTTTATTTACCATCTTCCTGAAATTGACAACGTGGCCCATAAAAGCCTTTAAAGCAAATACACCCCAAAGGATCTTTTTGACACCGTCCATGGCCAGAACAAAATTGTCGTGAAAGACAAGGGTTTGGGTGTTCACAATGAACCCCATAATGTGTTTCTGGACATAAACACCTAAATTTTGTTGAAGAAATTGCCTAAAATAATTATAATTTAATTGTAGGCAATATTCGTTTAAATAGATTACTTGACAAGTCCCTCCATTTAAACAATATTTATTATTTTCTAAACACAAATTCTCCTCATCAGTTCCATTTATTTTTGGATTTTCACAACCATCTGGCCCAATTCCATTTCCAATCATTCCCATAGGGCAAATACAACGAAATTCAGGTTCATTAACACATTTAGCTAATGGAGAGCACCCTCCATTAATTAATGGGGGATTATTGCAAATATCAATTTTTTGACAAATTTGGCCTTGTTTCTCTCCTTTTGACAAATATCCAGTTGGGCATTCTCCACATTTATAACTTCCATGAATATTTATACATTCAACTGGTGGTTGTTTAGAACATTCGTTTGTTAAATCATTTGCACATTCATCAAAATCCAAACAATGTAAACCATTCCCTAATAAGTAAAGAAATAAATAGAGGTATTAAAGAATGCTATTTTAAAAGAGAGTTTGTCTCTTCATTGTTTATATTAATTAAAAAAACTCTACCAATTAATCCAGACGGACATCCACCACATTTAAAAGATCCAGGCAAATTTATACACCCAAAATATTTTTATTTAAATTAAAAACAAAAAACTAGCTCACTCTGTTCCCGGATAGCATGGATTATTTAAAGCACATTCGTCTATATCCACACAAATTGGATTTGATGGATCTCCCCCTTGTTTATAACCCGGCTCACAAATACATCGATATCCGATCTATTTTAAATTATTTTTTAAAATTTTCCATCAATTTTTATTTACGGCAGACTGACTGCTCCGACTCGGAATACAATGCCCATTAGTGCCACAAATATCATCGGCACCATCACAAGTATTTTCTTTATGTTCACAAAGAAGTCCATGCCATCCAGATGTACAATTACAAGTAAATCCGGATATTTTCTATATTAAACAGAAAATAATTTTTGTTGTAAGTAAAATATAATTACAGGATTGTTGGTACATTTCGCACCGTTTTGACAGCCAATTGCTGTCTCGGTGTACATGGCACATTCATCAACACGTATTTCACAATGCTTTCCCTATTGAGGGATTATGAAAGGGATTTTTAATATAAAATACCTGAAAATGTGCGGGACAAAGGCATTGAAATTTACCAAATCCATCAATACAAGTCCCTATTAAAAATAGTATAATTTTGCTGTATTCCCTCCAATAAAATACACCTCCATTTTTACAATTATCAGCACCACCTATTAAACATTCATCTGTAGCCATAAGTTTGAAAAGACGTTCTATTTGCTTTGTAAGCTTTAAAATAAGTAAACGAGCCCGTCTGTTGGTCCGAGCCCTTTGATAAGTGTCATTTACTTGTGCCGAAATTTGTTTGGTTAATAATGAATGCTTTTTAAATAATTATTGTATTTTTAACTAATTAATTTAATACCTTTTGAAGTATTTCATTCATTTTATTTTGCCACCTAATAGAAAAATAAAATTTTGAATTTAATTTTTGATTCAAAAATGGGAATATTAATCAACAATAAATTAAAAATATTTTTTTTAATTTTAACTCTAAATTAGATGTTTGTAAAGTATTCTCGAATCCAAGCATACGTTCTTGAGCATTTAAAAGTAAATTACGTACTGCAGCAACTTCCGTCTATAAAATTATTTGAAAGTAAATTTTCTGCATATTTAAATATTTATATTTTCAAAAATTATTTTTCTTCAGAAAATTTCTTTAAATAATCATTCCAATTAAATAACCGAATTGGGTAAATTCATTATATTTGTATTCCCAAATTGTATATTAGAGCCAGTTGATACAATAAAAGAAATATTTCTTTCAGACCCAGCAACAAAATAAATATTACCGTCAACCATTATAATTCTAGATCTAATTTAATTTTTAATTTAAGAAATTATTTTCTTTTAATTTTCTAAAACCTAGTTTCATCTTTATTTGCTAATTCAAGAATTTCTTCTTCTTGAAAAGTACATATTATTGGAAATATTAAAAAGGAGGATAAACAAATAAAAATTAAATTAAAATAATTTAACATTCTCTTCATTTTTGATTTTTAATTTAAATTTTAGAATATTTAAATTAATTTAAACATAGTAATTATTTAACAAAAAATTTGAATTTAATTTTAAAAAAAATATTAAAATTTTGTAATTAAAAATATTTTTTGTTTTTATTTAAAATATTTTGAATGAAAAATAAATATATTATTGTATATATTTATAAATTAATAGTTTTATAAACAAATCCAAATTTTTTAAATAAAAATATCATATTTCTTTTAAACAGAAATTAAGACTAGAATTTTGACTTAACCATATTTTAACAATATAAAGTACATATAAATATAAATTAGATCATGAAAATGCTAAAAAATTATCAAAAATTTTTGCGTGTTTCATCAAAAAAATATAGTAGAAGACCCCATTTAAATTTCCGTCACAGTATGTAAAGTTTTTTCCTTCTATCAAATTTATTTTTTTCTTCAAAGTTTAATTTAAAATTAAAATATTTTCAAAAGAATTGCCGCTGCATGTACTGAAGAATATTCCTTAGATGATTTAACTTTACGTTATGTCTGTTCTCCTGTTGAATTACATAGGAAATTATCTTTAAATGGAAATTTTCAATTTATTTTTCGATGAATTTATTGTTTTGCTAATTAATTCATCAAAAAATATACTATATTAAATTAATTTTAATAATATAAAATAATTAATTTTACAAAATTAATTATGTACATTATAACATAATTTTAAGAGACCCCCTATGTTAAATCATCTTTTGAGTTTTTCTTTTTGAATTGGCTGAGTTTTAAATAATAAAATAAATTATTTTGGCATTTAAATGTCCAAAAATGTCCAATCTAATTCCCTTTCCTAATTAAGTCTTTTACATAAATTCAAGTTTTTATCAAAAGCAGAATTCAAAAGGTTTGTATTTTGTAAGAGGAACGATTGAATACATTTAGTTTTTTTGACTTTTTCTTATAATTTTCTTTAACTTTTTCTCTAAAAGATTTTTTATTATTAGGTTATTTTAAGCAATAAAATTATTGATATTAAATCTAAGATATAAAGTTCTAGTCAAGTAAATTGATTTAAAAAAATTTATCTAAACAGAAAAATTACAATTAAAAAATTAAAAATATTTTGTGTTCAAAACTTTTTTTTTCAATTAATTTTTAAAATTTTAGAACTTTCTCCAATTTCATTTTCTTCTTCTCTCTTTCTTTTTTTAATATTTTCATTAAATATTTCAAAATTATAAACATCAAAATTAAATAAGGGTATTAACTCAAAAATATAAATCTTTTCAGATTTTTTTTCTTCTTCTGCTTTACTTGTATAAATTGTCACAACTTTTCTTGAACTTTCTAAAATTCTTTCCTCAACTTCATTTAATACATTAAACTCATTAGAAACACATTCTACTTTATTTTCTTCTTCAATTTTAACAAAAAATTGAATTTCTTCTTCCGCTTCTTCATTAAAAAAATGAATAAAAAAATTTCCTTTTTCTTTAAATTTTATACAAATTTTTATATAGGAATATTTTGGAATTTGTCCATATATTTCTTTTTTCATTATTGCATTTAAAATATTTTTATTTTTTCCCTACATATTTTTATAATGTATTTCCTCTAAAATATTTTTATTTTTCGACACTGTTTTTTGATAAAATATTTTTATATAACAAACTTTAGAAAATTAAAAATAGGAATTTTTCTGAGTTTAATTTTATATTCAAAGTAGGGTAGCACCCCGAGCCTTCGGAGTCGGGTGTGTCGGGGTCTATGGATTTCCATATTTTTTTCCTGATCTAGTTGGGTTCTGAAACGTCCAAGAAACATAGTTTTAGAATATGTTGATAAGACCGATAACAAGTTATCAATCCATGTTTTCCATATTTTTCCATATTTTGGTGTTTTGTCCATATTTGATCATTTTTTATAAAATTTTGCCAAAAATTGGTCAAAATTTTAAAATTTATGAAATTTTTTTGGTTTCCCTTATTGCTAAAAAGAGAGCCGATGACTCTGGAATGGCATATCTTTAAAAGTTATGTTTAATTTTAGAGGAAATACATTATTATATTTTGTTCTTTTAATTAATTCTTTAGGTCCTTCAGGATTCAAATAACGGATTAATCTTGTCAATTTGTGTTGTTTATCTCTCCATTCATTAAGATATGTATCTATTCCATTTACATTTATTATTTTTATTTCCTCTTCACCAGTCCCATTTACTTCTATATTAGCATAAAAAATTGGTTTAATTGCTACCATTGTCTTTAAATTAATTAATTTACTTTTATATATTTTTTACTTTTGTTGAGTTTACCCAGCCCCCTTTATTTTTAAAAATAAGACCATTTATTTTTCTGAAATTTTTAAAAATTGGCTATAACTTTTAGAAATTTCGATGAATAGAGTAGGGAATAGTCCCAAACCCAGTGGGCGTGGTCCCGAAAATGAAGAAATGTTTTGGAACCATACCCCCAACTTTGCAACACCAAGAAAAATCCAATTTTTGTTTGATTGGACGCATAAACTTTCATTGGACGTATACTTTTCCGCGCACTGAAAAGTCAAATTATGTTTTCTTTTGCAGATTATTATCATTTGATAGCTAATAGATAAAGAAGCTACAAGTTAATTAATAAAGACTATTTAAATTTCCCTATTTAAATTCCGCCACTTTAAGTCGAAGAAGATTTAAATTTTAAAGAAATAAAATTTACAATTCCCCTTTGATTTCTTTCTTTTAAACAAATATCTAATCCACTTCTATAAGAGTCATTCTCATGATCATCTACAAACAATTCTTTAATTCTAATTATTTTTATTTCCGAGCCATCAATTAGTTTTTTAATATTGATATTTTTCTTTTTGTAATATTTTTTTCCATTTCCACTGCAAATACCTAAGAAATTATTTTTTACAACATATACATTATTTGCTAAATTTTATTTGGCACATTATTTTTCGAATCCAATTTTTTTGGACTAAGCCTATTAGCAACTAAAAATTTATGTGAAAATTACATATATATTACCTTTAAATGCTATATAAATTAAATCATTATTATTTAATTCAAAATTTATTTCAATATCAATTTCTAGTAAATTATCCATTACTTCCCCATATTCATTAATTAAATTAATATTATTTTGATTCATTTTTGTAATTTCCATTTTTATTAATTTAATTAATAAATTTCCATCGTCTTTTATATTTCTTTTTGAATTTTCAATTAATATTTTTTGGTTAGGTTTTAAAATATTTTTTGAATAATAATTGGGAAATATTAATAAAAATAATTTAATTAAAATAATTATTTTTAAATACATTTTTTTAATAAAAAAAAGAATTTATACTAATCTTAATTAATTTTAATTTATTAGCATTATCATATACCGTATTTATTCTAATATAACGACATGTCGTTTTAATTTTCAACCCTCTTATAGAGTGTTATTATATTAGAGACTGTCGTTTTAAATTTCAAAAGTTTTTTACTAAATATTTCAAAAAAATCCACAAAAAATTTGACTGTAATTCAATGAATATATCACTATCAATGCACTTCATCTTCCCCAAAACCCTTCAATCTCTCCTTGTACTTCTTAATTCTTGCATAAATCAACGAAAATAGACCGAGAGCGTGTTATTTTCGAAACATTTTTTCTTTAAAGAAATTTTGTCACTAAAATCCCGTACCCGTACCCCGAACATATTTTTCTCCCCCGACCCGAACACCGTACCCCGACATACCCGGCCCCGAGCGTTTGGGGCCCAACCCTCGTATAAAGTGATAGTTGGGGTTTTAAGGGATATCGTTGGATTTGAAGAGTTTTATTTTTCGTTTTATTTTTCAACCCTCTTTTAGGGTGTCGTTTTATTAGAGACTGTCATTATAATAGAGACTGTCTTTATATTAGAATAAATACGGTAAGTCGCTTTGCGTCTTACATATGACGAAAATAACATTGAAAAAAGGAGAGGCAAAAACGCGAGTAAATTTTCCTCACTTTTGCCCATCATCATATACCGTATTTCCTGAAATAGTACTCCCCCCTAAATTAGCACTCCCCCCTTAAATAGTACTCCCCTTTGGAGGAGGGTTGAAAAATAGTACTCCCCCCTGAATTAGTACTCCCCCTAAAATAGTACTCCCCCCAAAAATATTTTTCCTCTATACATATTTAAAAAAATAATACGAGACATTGAATTATTTTATTTATTCTAAGTATCGTTGTCGGTTTCACTTGATTCTTTGATAAACAAAACCTGAGAGCTTTCGGTTAACCGAAAACGAATCGAAATTTTAAACTAAAATTTTTCGAGGATTAAAGAGATATAATCCGATTAATTGGTGGAGTAAAAGTGGATTTTGGGTATATAAAGGGATTGATATCGGGTGTAAAATGGGTTCTGTATTAATCAAGTGGCATTTAAAAGACATCATTGGATTAAGGTTTGATATAGGAATTTGAGGGAATAATGAAGGGGGAGTAATATTAGGCGATTTTGGTTGATTAAGAGCGATTAAGCGATAAGTTGAATCATAAATCCTTCTTAATCAACTAATATCGGAAGTACAAAAGGGATGTGGAGGATATCGGTGTTTAATATGATAAATAACTAGACAGAGATTAGGTAATCCCTAGACACATGGGTTTAGTTGACCCTGATAAATCTTAGACCCGAAAATCCCCTTATATCCCTCGATATCACTCCAAATTCACTTATATCCTTTTTGATTTCCCTCAATAACCCGTATTTTAAGTCACTTGTGTTTAATTGTCTCGCAATTTGCTCAATTTTATACTAATTCGGATATTTTCTACAACTTTTATTAAAGAAATTTTTTGAAAATCAGGGTCCGGATCCGGCATTTTTCAAATAGCGAACTCTAATCGAATTTATTTTGAGATAAATTGAAATAAATTAAAATATTTTTTTTAATTTTGAAATAAATTTTCCTATGAAAAATCATGGAGGATGGTTGAAAAATAATACTCCCCCCTGAATTAGCACTCCCCCCTTAAATAGTACTCCCCTTTGGAGGAGGGTTGAAAAATAGTACTCCCGGGAGTACTATTTTAGGAAATACGGTATCTAATAATTGTACATATTATACACTGTGTTTCATAATTATAACCCACTTTTAATTTTTTTGATTTTTTCTATGTTCATTCGAGGAATCTTTTCTAAATTTGGCATATCGAAATATTTAAATATTGTAAGAGTATTTCCAATATACTATACCAATTTTTATTTACTACAAATTTTTTTTTCTAAAATTTTCACTAAAACATGTGTTTCATAATTATAACCCACTTTTATTTTTCATATTTATAATAATAGGAAAAATCTGCAAAAATTCCACCAAACCATATACTGTAAATATTCTAATATAAGCCATGGGCTTATATTTTTCAATGGGTCTCCTCGGATGGGCTTATATTAGAGGTTCTATTAAAGGATGGGCTTATACTTATATTATTTGAATGGGATCGCATTAAATTTTAACCGGAATACAAAATAGCTAGAAGTAAATTATGACTAATTATCAAAGATGAATCGGAAATAACGAAGGTGCCGGAAATCGGAACTGTCGGAAATCGGAAATGGCTCAAAAGTCGGAAATCAGCCTAAATTTTCGGAAATGGTCGGTGGATTTAGTGAGATGTGGGGGATTTAAATGGTCTAAGTAGTTTTGATGGGAGATCGGGGAATTATCGATTTGGACAATCGGAGGATTTGAAGTGATTAAGGCAGAAATCGATTAAGGCATATAATAATTCGGATATATATTGTTAAAAATTATCAAGTTGAGGATAAAAAAATTATTTAATTCAAAGAAAAAAGTAAGGAATCTAATAATATCTTGTTATTTAAGAATTTATTTAAAAATTAAATTTTTTCCCCAATTTAAAACATCAATTGAGAAATCCCTTAACCCCTCCCCCTTCTTAGTTATCAATATCCCTTAATTAGCCTACTCACTTAATCTTAAAATCATCCGGTATCGAACTTAATCCCTCTAAATCTTCCTAAATTCGCGTACATATTGTTGAATTTTTAAAATATGTATTTTCGTACTCTAGCTAAAATATTCAATGAAAAAGAATTAAGTTTTCTTTTCTAGTTAAGTTGAATAAATTGACCAGAAAGATCTCTTTTTGTTCTCTAATCAATTGACAAATCATAAGTCGGCTGTTAATTTTTGAAGGCATTGAAAATATTATTTAAAAAATTTAATAAATATTGAGCTGATAGAAATAGATTAAGTTATTAAAAAAATAGAATTTCATAAAAAAAATAAAATTAAAATACATATAAAAATCATTGAAAATAAAATCATTGAAAATAAAATTTTGATAATTAAAGAAATCATATGCGAGTGGGGTGTCATATCATATTTTTTGAACAGAATAATTTACATATGACGGCTGCATATGACACGGCGTCATATGTGGCCGTCACATCCCCGTGTCATATGCGGCATATGATATCAATTTAAACAGCTACATAAGACGCGTCATGAATATGATCTGTCATATAAAAAACTTCGAATTATTGCCTGGCCCTTGTAATACCGCCATCTTCTTTGAGAAGAAAAATAAGATTATTCTCAGATCCACTAGGATCATTTGTTGTCTTAATTTGGGATTTTATAGAAAATAACACGTGTCTTGAATGATTTTTTATCAATTCATTGGGTAAACCTTCCCAATCATTAACTATCCATTCCAGGTTGCCGATTTTAAATTTATTAAAAAATAAAAACTTAAAAATTTTTACAAAACGTTAGAAATAAGAATTTAAAATCAATTTTCCTTTTTCTTTTTAAAAATTAATAAATAGAATCTAAAAAAGAATTTAAGAAAACAAGAAATAACTTTAATTCCTCCCATAAAGTCTAGCATATTCTGTCGGGTTTTCAACCCAAAGCTTAACGTCTGAGTTTGTTGTAGCTGCATTTTGAAGTAATGGGCGCTCCTTAATTTATGAAATTTGATAATATTAAATTGTTTGAATAAAGCAAAATAAATTTTTAAATTTATTTGAGCTGCAAATCTTGTAAGAAAAAATAAGGTCTTGTAATAGAAATTCAATTTCTTGGATTTAAAAATGATGTGAATTTAAATGAGCGAAGCCAAGCTTCTAAAATTCCCGAAATGTCGCGACGCTAGATTGAAAGCTGGCATGAACATTTCGAAAATTACTCCCGGACCGAAACTTTTCTCTGACTGCGTGTCTGATTTGATATTTTTTCAGAATCTTTGAATGAAAGAACTCTCGCAAAAAATACTTTCAAAATTATAATAAAAATTCAAAAATATACCAATAATTCACGAAATTTTGGTCTCATTTCCATATCCTTTTGAAGACAATCAGCAATAAACACACAAAATTCAGGTGAAAGTCCATCTTTTTCTGGAGTTAAACGAGGCGCATTTTTTTCTTTTATTTCAATCATAAGTTTAAAAGCTTCTCTATTTTCATAAGGAAATTTTCCGGTGGCTAGTTCGACAAGAGTAATTCCAAGAGACCTTTTTAGAAAATTAGAATGATTTTAATAAAAGATTGGGTAAAAAATTTGTGTCAAAAATTATGAAATTAAAGACATCCCCAAATTATTTCGTTAAAAATTCAAAAATGTTTTCATAAATTTATTTACCAAACATCAGCACGAACATCATAATGAGGATCATCAGAATAAATTCTCTCAGGTGACAAATAACCCATACAACCAATTTTTGTAATTGCTAAATTTAATTTATTTTTTAAAATTTAAATTTAAAAACCTTTTGATTCAATTAATTTTCCTGAGATTCCAAAATCACAAAGTTTAAAATTACCATAATAATCCATCAAAATATTAGAAGGTTTGATGTCCCGATGCATAATTTTCTTTAAAAAAATTGAACAAGAAGATTATAAATTAAATTTAGAAGGGAAAGAAAAATTTGTGAAAATTTTTAACCCCTAATCATATAATAAATTAAGACCGCAACTTTTTAATAAAATTATGGAAAACCCCCCAAATTTATTTTCAAAAACCCTCACATGTTTTTCCTTCAAATAATCAAGAGCACGGACGACACTCAAAGCAATTTGAGAAATAATTCCTTCTGGAAGACCAACTTGATCAGGTGGACGAGATTTTTGTCTACTAGTTAAAAGTTTGTCAAGGCAAGTAGACATAACTTCCATACAAATATATAGATAATCCTTTGAAAATATTTTTAGTTATTTATTGTAAAAATTATTAAAATATTTAATAGATATATAATTGTATAGAACAACCCATAAAAACCTAGAAAAAAACAATAAACCAGAAAAATAAATACCTAACAATAAGCTAAAACAACTAAATATTTACTAAAAGCATAGAACGGGATATGGACTAAAATTAGAAAACCTAAACGAATTTTAAAAATATCTGAGGGGAAAAACCTAAAAATTGTGAAAAATTCTATAAGTAAAATAAATTTAATCAATATTTCACAAAAAAATAAACTCACAAAAGTTAGAATATATCCAAAATATTTTACAATAAAAGGGCAATCCCCACATTTTGATATTACTTCCAAATCCATAAATATTCTTTTGGAATCATCGAAAGAATCTGTCCGTTTCATATGCTAAAATTAAATAATTTTTAATAAAAGTCAAATGAGGTTGAAAGGAAAACAAATTTATCTTATGTTAGGGCTTTTTAGGCTCAAAAATGTACAAAATTTAAGAATATTTCGAACAAACCTTAACAGCAATTGCTCTACTTTTAAATTTGTATTTGCTGACACTTCCACTTGTACCTTCACCAAGAGAACTCTAAAAATAAACTCTAAACTTGTATTTTTTGATTAAAATTTAAAAAACCTGATCTTGGCGTTCCAAGTCTTCATATTTAACTCCAGTAAATATTTTATTACCGAAATTTAAAGTTCCCGAATTTTCCTCAATTATTTTAAAGCGACTTTGAACCTAAAAAATATTTTTAGTCAAATAAACAAAAAATTAAAAAAAACCTCCTCTGGACTAATACTTTTATCACTAGAAGTCGAGACAGCATCCAATGTTGGACGAGGACGTGAAGGACCAGAAAGATTCACTTTTAAATAAAGAATGTTGTGACTTATAGGGGGTTTTTTTTGGCTGGACCGATTCGGACAAATGAGGTGTCATTCGAAAGAGCTCGCCGAGCTGAGTCGATTGAAGGGCGAGTGGAGTCGATCCGACAATCAGGGACCGAGATACAGACCCCTGAAGTTTGAAAAAGAGAAGGGGGGAGTAAGCTCATTTTGGGGTGAAAAATTCGAAAATGCAAATAATAGCTCATTCGACTCAGCTCGTCGAGCTGAGTCGAATGACACCAAAATCAGATCGATTTCTTGATTATGAGCCAAGATAAACAGGTTCAAAATGGTCAACATAAACCTATGGAGCGTCGGCGAGGCGCTTGTGCGAAACCCCGCGCCTCGCGGGGAGTCTACGGGCGCTGGGTCTGGGCTCGTAACATAAACCTATACCTATCTCTCTTACTCTGGACGTACTTGGGGCCTCTGTAGCAGCAAAAACCTCAACAATGACCATAGGTAAGGAGTTAAAACAAACGATCATAACTTTGTCAAATCAAGTCGGATTTCGGTGATTTTGGTGTCATTCGACTCAGCTCGACGAGCTGAGTCGAATGAGCTATTATTTGCATTTTCGAATTTTTCACCCCAAAATGAGCTTACTCCCCCCTTCTCTTTTTCAAACTTCAGGGGTCTGTATCTCGGTCCCTAATTGTCGGATCGACTCCACTCGCCCCTCAATCGACTCAGCTCGGCGAGCTCTTTCGAATGACACCTCATTTGTCCAAATCGGTCCAGCCAAAAAAAACCCCCTATAAGTCACAATACCCTTAAATAAATTAAATAAATTCCATTTTTAAAATAATTTTTAATTTAAATCGAAGGTGTACATAACCGATATAGTGTTACCAGAAAAAAATTAAAAAATCAATAAAATGATACGGGCTAACTAAAAAAATTATTTTTAATCGACGATAAAAATTTCTTGAGATTAATAAAAAATTCAAAAAAAGAAACTATACCAAAATCCTAAACAAATATCAGCCCTCAAAATTATAATACACCCCCAACTTACCGCAAAGCTATAACTTCGTTTAAAATGGCCGATATGGTTCAGTTTGAAATGGCCCTGGTATGGTTCGATTCAGCTCGTCGAGGCGCATCAAACCAAACCAGGGCGGCCCGGATTCAACCATTCTGAATGAAGTTATAGCTCTGCGGCAGGCTCGCATTTAGTTGGTCTGCTTCTCAAAAACTTAAAATCTAAACTTACTGTATAAATGTTTTCTCGAAATTGGGCAAGTAAGACTTCCAGAATTTTTATTTTTTTGACAATTTTTATTTATTCCCTCTTTAGGCTTTAATTGTTTTTCTGGTGGATCACAAGAAGTTGACCGTTGACTGCTTTTTGTTGTTGAAATATGTCGAAATAATCTCCAGTTTTTTACTTTTCTTTCAAAACCTATAAATTTTTGATAAAAATTTAATTTAAAAAATTAAAGAATTAAAACACAAATTGAAAAAAAAATATTTTTTGGACAAATAAACACAGAATTAGTTTTTAAAAAAATTTATAAAAAGCGATAAAAAATGCAAAAATTAAATAAACAAATGAGAGAAAGAGCAAAAAAATCTTCCCTTTTTTTGATTAAAAAAAGAGGAGAATTTTTACAAAAAAAGCTAAAGTCCATTTATCAAAGAAAAACCAACCACCAGCACAATTAAAATCAAAAAAAGGCCCCTCAATTGTCTAAAAAGATTTTTAAAAAAATACCAATAAAGCGCTGATGTATTGGAGAAACTAATGAAGTAAAATAATAATTTGTGCTAGAGGTTGGTGTTTGAATATTAGAATTATTAGTTGATGGAGAACGTGGAGTTGAGGGAAATGAAGAAATGAGGGAAGTTAATGATGGAATAGAAGGGGGAAATATTTGGGTATTTGGGGGGCTTGATTTCTGATTGTTATCCATTTTTCTTGTTTTAAAAAATTTTTGAAGAATTTAAAACTTCCTAGAAGTAAAAAATCGATGTTTAAAATTTAGTGAAAGAATATGAAAATAAATTCCAAGCTTTTAGCTGGATTATACGAAGACACAACCAAATTTGGAATTTGGAAGTAACAAAGAAAGTATACCCAATTGATAGAGAAAAAACATTAGTAAAAAGAAAGGAAAAGTAGACAAAGGATTTTAGAATTTTAATTAAAGTTGAGCTCTTTGAGTATCAAGTAAATTCGTAAAATTCAAGTAAAACCAGTATAACAAGTAAAGTAAAATCAAGTAAAATTCGAAAGCTCGTGGAAAGCCAATTACTAGTCTGATAAAGTCCGATCACCTAAAAGGATATAAATGGGCAAACGAGAACATCATTCACTTTTTACTTTAACAGACTACATACATGTATGACTTCTAATAGAGAACCGGAGTTGGGCAGTTCAATAGAACAAAAAGCTTTCGCTTATCAAGAGCTTTTAAATGATAAATTCATGGCTTGACTCAAATAACGGGACTCGACTGACGAATAGTCGTTCCTCAAGTTGTGGCAAAAAGCATTTTTTTCAGGTTTTAGATATTTTGAAGTTTTATTATTTTGAAATTATAAAATGAGAGAGTGTAGGCTAGAGTGAAAAACAAAATAAAAGTAAAGGGGAATTAGAGTATAGACAACATCCGAAAAGAAAATTTCCTACAGAATTCTAAAAAATTCTAGGATTTTTTAGTATTTTGAAAGATTGCCCATTTAAATGTTGGCAAAAAATAATTCAGAATAAACGAAACAAAAATTTATATAATAATTCGAATTATCACAAAAATAAAATTAACCAATAGTTTATTTCCACGACATAAAATTGAAGTAAATATTTTTATTCTTTTTTTTATTTTTCTAAAATATTTAAATTTCATTTTATTTTCAAAATTAAAGTAAAAATGAATTTATTATTATTTATTTTCTTTATTTTTGTCTACAAATCTTTTGCCAATTATAACAGTGCAGATGATGTTGTTGAATTAACTGCCGGGAATTTTCATAAACTTGTTTTGGACGATGATGCGGTTAGTTTTAGAAAAATAATTTTTAAAAAATAAATTTTTTTTTAGATTTGGATTGTTGAATTTTATGCACCTTGGTGTGGACATTGCCAGGTTTTTTGAGTTAATAAATGTCTTTTTTTCAAATTTTTAATTTGTAGAGGCTCGAACCTGAATATAAGAAAGTGGCTAAGGCATTAAAAGGGATTGTTAAAGTTGGCGCTGTTGATATGACACAGGTTGGGAAGTTAAATATTTTTAATTTTAAAATTTTGTTACGAATTTGGATTAAATAAATAAAAATCAGAAAATATAAATTGTGAATTTAGGTTTAGGAATTTATTTTTTTGTAAATCAACACCCATTAATTTTCTTTCCTTTTCAGCATGAATCGTTAGGAGCTCCATACAACGTTCAAGGCTTTCCAACAATTAAAATCTTTGGCGAAAACAAACAGGTTGGTTTTTATTTTCAAATTTTGGTCGAATAGTCAAAAATCTTCGTACCCCTTTTACGAATGAGAAATATTTCATTTGCCCTCTTTTATTAATTTTATTCATTTTCAGCGGCCCAGTGACTACAACGGACAGAGAACTGCATCAGCAATAACTGATTCTGCTGTTGCTGAAATCAAACGTGTCATTTCTGTTCGTCTCTCTGGTGGTGGCAGCAATTATAATCAAAAATCTTCAAAGAGCGGAGGCGCTTCTAACGCTGTAATTGAATTAACTGATGCAAACTTTGAAGTATTTTTTTTATTTTAAATTTTTTAAAATAATTTTTTGTTTAAGGAACTTGTTATAAACAGTAAAGATCCGTGGATGGTTGAATTCTTTGCTCCTTGGTGCGGACACTGCAAGGTTTTTTTTTATTAATTTCTGATTAAGCTGCCTTGTCAAATTCTGAATTTCCTTTACTGATAAAATACAAAAAGGGAAATAGAGTTTTTATTGTTTTCCTTTTTTAAATCTGCCCAGGCCGGTAGCCAGTATTTTTAGGGAGGATCCAAGGGGGGTCTTCCTCCAATCACTCCCCCCCCCCGGAAAACCAAGGGGAGTCCCCCCTGACGGCCTGGAACTGCTAAGTGAATTTATTTCTAGAATAGTGTTATCTTGATCTTTAAATAAATTATTTTTTAAAGAACCTCGAACCTCATTGGCGCGCTGCTGCTTCTGAATTAAAGGGGAAAATGAAGGTTATTGTTTAATTTAAATTAATTAAGAATTTAATCAAAATTCTTCAAAAATATTTTTTTATTTTCTAAATAGATGGGTGCTCTAGATGCTACTGTCCATACAGTGATTGCCAACCGTTTCGAAGTTCGTGGGTTTCCTACAATTAAATTCTTCCCTGCTGGCGGAAAGTCTTTCAGCGATGCTCTTGATTATGATGGCGGTCGAACGACGTATTTTATTTTTCCTTATTTTTAGTTTATCTTTTAAAAATTTAGAAGCGATATTGTTCAATGGGCAAATGATCGTGTTGCTGAACACTTGCCTCCGCCTGAACTGAAACAAATTGTTAATTCGGAGACTTTTGAGACTGCCTGTCAGGATATGCAACTGTTAGTTTTTTTCTTAAATTTATTTCCCTAATTTTAATTGATTTCCCCTCATTTTTAATCGCTAATTTGTTTTATTTTTTAGCTGTATAATTACTTTCCTTCCACACATTTTGGATTGCCAGTCAGAATGCCGGAATGGTTACCTGTCACTTTTACGCGAATTGGCAGAAAAGTTCAAGAAAAGTCACTGGGGCTGGCTCTGGACAGAAGCGGGTCAACAACCTGGAATTGAACAGTCTTTTGGAATTGGAGGTTTTGGTTACCCAGCAATGGTGGCTTTGAATTCAAGAAAGCTTAAATACAGCACTTTAACCGGTTTGATTTTTTTAATTTTTGTGGTTTTCTGGGATAGAATTTTTGGTTGGGGAGATTTTTAGAAGTTCAGTACAGTCTTCAGATTTACTTTCGTTCTATAATAGTAGTTCTCAATTTTTAAAGGCTCATTCGGAAAAGCTGGAATATCTGAATTTTTGCGTGATCTTTCCTATGGAAAGGGAAAAACATCTTCAGTTCCTGGTGGTAAAAATGCCGATGTTGAAGTGATTGAGCCTTGGGATGGAAAGGATGGAGAATTACCCGGTATTGATGCTGAAGAAGAAATTGACCTTTCTGATGTTGAATTGGAAGATTTGGATGTTTTGGCTGAAAAGGAAAAGAAGGAAGAAACAAAGAAAGATGACAAAAAGAAGAGTGAACTTTAATTGGTAATTTTATTTGGTTAAGATTTATTTTAATTTCCTCGTTTTCTGTTTTTAATCTCCTTTTTAAATTTTTTGGTTTTTATTGCCTTCTAACCACCACAGGGTTTTTATTCGATAACTTTAAACTCTGTGGTTCTTTTTATTATTAGTATTTATTTCAGGGCTCTTAAATATATAAATGTTATGCAATTCTATTATTGTTAAATAATATCCACATTTTCTTTAAAAAATATTTTTTTATTAAAAATCATAAACCTTTTATTATTTACGAAATCTAGTCACAACTTTAACATAACAAAATCTTGGACTTGTATTTCAATAGGTCTCTGAAGGACATATTAGAGAGAGAATTCCTTCAGTTCCTTAATTCGAACATTAGGAAATTATTGAAACAAGCAAAAGGTTCCTCTTGAAACGGCTAAATTATGCGTATTATTCTAATACTAAAAAAGCATAACCTTCAATTAAAAGACTTGAAATTATAGTTTTTATTAATCGAAATTTCAACAAGAAATTTGAAAATGTTTAGTAAATTGTTCAGAAATTTAGTCAAAATCTTTTTCTAGGCCTTTCCCAAAAAATGACCAAATGATAAAAAATGAAAATCCACTAGATCTACTAAACTACCCGTATCCGTTACATCCATAAATGTTCTAATTGAAATCTTGGACTTCTATTTTCAATAAATCTCTGAGTGGACTTATATTAGAAAGTAGGTGTTTATAATCATTCTTTCGTAGAATGAGCTTCAATTAGAGCGTTTACGGATATTTTTTAATTAGTTTTTACATTTGTTTTCTTTTCTCTTCAGTTTTCATTATTTTCTTTTTTTCCTCCGCTTTTTCATCAGGTTGATAAATACCTGAACGGTCTTTAACTCTAATAAATAAGCGGAAAATGACATTCTGACAAAATACTTGTTGTAATTGTTGAAGTACTGCATTCTCAATTTCCTCCATTCGATACCAAACTTGTCGAGCTTCACGTTCATTTTCACCTTAAAATGAAAAATAAGGAATATGTCCTTTTAGATTTTTGAAGTTTAATAAATAATAAAATCCTCATATCTCCCAATTAGAGATCAAGCTTGACCTGGACCAAAGCCTGGGTTTTTCCTGTACCCAGAGTCTAGGTCCAGGCATTTTTGACCTTCCTGAGTTTTTTTAGGTCAATAAATCAAACTCCTGAGTTCAGGAACAGGTCCAGACTTTTCAAAGATCTCGATCTCTAATCCCAATTCTATATGATTGTGTCTATTCATAAAGCCAGCTTTAACATAAACTTGAATTTTTCAAGGAAAAATATAAAGAAAACTTACAGAAAATATTTGCAGCTACTTTAAGCATTTGTTCATTTACAGGAAGGTCTTCATCAAATTCCCATTCAGTAATTGATACTCGAAGTTTATAAGCTACATGAGGAGGGCAATTATTTAATAAAGCAGAACGGACATATTCAGCACAAAGTAAACGAGAATTCTTTTTAAAAAATTTAATTTAAAATTATTTCTTCACCAATTTTCTACCTTTTTGCTAACAGTTTGCGGGGAAAAACTCCATTGTTTATCAACAGAATTTTCTCTCAAATATTCTCTTAATATATCTATTCCTTCATTTGTTTGAGCACTAGTAAAGAAAACAGCCTTAAAATGTGGCCAGCCATTTTGTTCTTTAAATAATTTTTTTGTGTCTGACCAACTAAAAAAATTAAGGAGGATCTTATTTTAAATTAGAAATTACCTAGCTTTGTGTAAAGGTTTATGTAGTAATTTATTGTAGAGAGAATACCAATTAAAATCACGTTCTTTTGTTGTTAGTGGATGAAGACTAAGAGATTCATTATTGTTAGATCCTTTAGATTTTTTGGCTTTTGAAATTATTGAACCAACAATGCCTAGACTAATCTAAAAAATTCTTCTTAAATATTAAAAAACCGGATATTTTAAAGTAGGGTAGCAAACTGTCCCCTGAAACCCCGACTATTTTTTGGTAAACCCCCCCCCCCCCCAACCCCGAAGGCTTACCCAGGCCAAACCTCGAAACTCGGCGATCCCGCCCCCGAAGGCTTGGGGTGCTACCCTATTTTAAAGTATTAATAATGTCAAAATTAAGTGGAAACCTAAAATGACATTAATTCATTAACTCAAAAAACTTGGTTGTTCGTGTCTGTGAGTGACCTTTATGAAAGCCCAAATCGAACCCCAATTTAATCTCCACAAAAAATATTTTAAAACATTTACAGGTTTTTTCTCAAGTTTTTCTCCCCCAACAGTTCCATCAGTTAAAATTTCAGTTAATTTAAGTAAATCAGCACGGCTTTCAATTAAATCAATTTTGTTAATAACTAAACAAGCAGGAATGTGCATATAACGTTGAAGAATGTAAAGAATTCTGTGTTGTAAATATTGACCCTTAGCTGTTGCATCCTTTAAATTTTTTAAAAATTAATTTTAAACCTTTTTTTTCCTTACATGAACAACAATTATTTGTTCAGCCCTTTCAATTGCCTTTTCTGGATGTGTTAAAATTCGATCGTCTGAATGGGTGCCAATTACTTCCTTTGCATGACTTAAACTGACCAAACCTTTAAATTTTAATATTTTAAAAGGTAAGGGGGAATTCCCTTTCAATTGCCCTTAATAATAATTTTAGTTAAAAATCCTCCCTTAATTTTTAATTTAAAACTTTACCAGGACTATCAACAATAATTAATTGACATTGATTTTCAGTTAGTGCTGCTGTTGTATTCTATTGTTTTAAAAATTAAAAATATTAAAAAATCAAGAAAAACCGCTCTAGTTGTATCAACCAATTTACTAACAGCACAAATGGGGGAGCGAATAAGAGCATTCTGAGAAACAAAAAAATTTTTTTTTAAATTACTTCCTATTTTTTCCCGAACATTTCTGATGAATTAAAAAAGATTTTTAAAAACCGTTAAAGCAGACTTTCCAACATTTGAACATCCAATAATCGCTACCCTAAGACCTTTTCCAACAGTTTGTGTGGAAACATTGGCTGAACTTTCTTCTAATTTAATTTCTGTGGATGTTGTTGAAAATAAATTTAAATTAATTTTATTTAATGTTGAAATTGAACAAAATAATCTTTTTAAAAATAAAAATAGATAATTATTTTAATTTTAATTTAATTACCTTCTCTGATATTTTGATTTAAATATAATTCGAAAATTTTGATTAAAAATGGACATTTTCAAAAAAAATAATTTTAAAAAATTAAATTAAATATTTAAATATAAAATTAAAAAAAAAATAAAGAAATTTTTTACAAACAAAAATGAATTTAAAAAAAATTTATTCAATTTTCACACTAATAAAAATAATTTTTTCGTTCGCAGTGCAAAGCAACTTAAGAGGCGATAAATAGAATATGTATTAAAAGAATAATAATATGTAATAAAATTAAATAATTATATTTAAAAGATTTCGGTAAATTTTAATTTTCCTTTTCAAGGAATGAAATATAAATAAAATTTTATTTAAAAAATAAGCGGACAGAAATATATAAAATGTACCTATTTTTTAGCCTAATTTAAAAATCCTTTAGAGTTATTTAAAATTAATTCACTTAATAATGGAACCGAAGGACCAAAAATTCGGGTAATAATGAATTGTGCCGAGCCCTTTTAAAGAAATTAAAGATAAGATTAAAAAATAAAGATTGCAACTCACAAAAAATAAATCGAGAAAGGTTGTTAGAAGTTTGAGAGGACAACCCTCAAATAAATCTAGCTTTGAATATTTCAAAAATAATGATGTGTTATTTTGTAAGGAAAAAATTTTAAAAATAAATAAGCGAGCGAATTCACCGAACATTTGATGGCTTTTTTAATAAAAATATATTTAAAATATAAGGCGCGCCGAAATTTGCGGATTTTAATTTGCGGACCCGAAATCTGCGGACCCGAACTTTGCGGACCCGAATTTTGCGGACCCGAACTATGCGGACACGAATTTTGCGGATCCGAGATTTGCGGACCAAAAATTTGCGGACCGACAATAGAGTCTACTGAACCTCGGAAATTTCAAAAATTTTAGCCTGCGGCGTTAATTGAATAAATTCAGGCATCATGGCCTTATGAAATGGCCATATAAATGATTTCTTTAAGGAATTTTCTCGATTATTTAAATTATGAAATAATTTTAAGATAAAAAATTGATAAAAATTTTGAAAAACCAAGAAAAAATCTTGAATCCGGTACGGATTATGGTAAACTCTGCCGGAATCCTCGAAAAATAAAATTTTTAATTTTTCCTTTTTACTCAAGTGTCGGTCCTAAAATCTTGGTTCCGCAAAGATCAGGTCCGCAAACTTCGTGTCCGCAACCTTCGGGTCCGCAACTTTCGTTCCGCAAATTTCGGGTCCGCAAAGTTCGGGTCCGCAAAATTCGGGTCCGCAAAATTCGCGCCACGAAATATAAGTAAAATGAGTCAAGAGAGTTTATATTAAAATATAAATAATTAATTTGTGAGAAGGCGCAAAACAAAAAATTTTTTAGTCGAGATTTGTTAAATAAATAAGAAGAGAATAATAGCTGGATAATTTTCTATTTATAATTTATTTTAATGTATAAATATTTAGAAGAGATTGAAATTAATCTAAAATACTGAGATTTTAATTAATTTTGTGTCTAGGAATAAATTAGGACAAATTCAAAAAATTAAAATCTTTTCAATTTAACAAATTTTTTCAATCTCTACTAGACAAAAGAGATTTTTAACAGAATAAGTAAAAGGTGTGAAAATGAAAAGAATTCTGAAGACTAAAAATAAAAAATATTTTGTGACAAACAATTAAAATATTTTAAAAAATAAAAATTTTCAAGTTATTTCTCAAATTCTTCTCTCAAATAATAAAATTCTATAAATATATTTATATATCGGGCAGCATAAAGGAATGAGGAAGCATTAAAAAAGACACACCAAAAATGTATATACAAGGCACATAGTACCATAAAAATTTGAAAAAATTCAATTTTCGTCCCTAACTAATAATTCTTTAAATTATTGCCTATTTACTTGATGAATCCACGTTTGGCATAGAAAAAGCTCGGAATTGGCCCTCAACTGTTGCTACACCAAGAAGAACACGATATTGATGGAAACGCATTGCTGCAGGAATTGGTTGAATTTGTGTTTGTTGATTTTGTAAAAGTTTATTATTTGAAGTACGGCCAGGAGAAAGCATATTTGCTGTGTTTTGAGACCTTAAAAATAAAAAAGAATCTTAAAAGTAAAATAAATTTAATAAAAAATATTAACGTAGTTCCATCAGCACTACTTCCACCACTACTACTTCTCCTTCTTGTATGTTTTAAAAATAAAGAAGAAAGTCCACCAATTGCAGATGACGGTGAATGAAAATAAGAACTGGCACCTCCGCCTGTCGATGATGGATAACGAATTTTGGATAAAACACCACCACGACCGGCAATATCAAAAATATAAACAGAAGAGTCTGCCATTGCACAAGCTACTAACTGAGAAAAAAAGAATTTTTAGATAAAAAACTAAAATATTAAAATTTTGAGTAACTTTATTAAATTAAAAATATTTTTTAACCTTTTTTAATTAAAAATATTTATGGAAAAATTTTTTTGATTAAAATTATTAAATTTAAAAAGAATTCCAGCTAGCCGGATTCGAACCAGCGACATCAGGATGACAGCTAACAACTACAGTCCCACGCTCTACCAACTGAGCTATAGCTGGACATACTATACTTGAATTTCTCTATATTTCTTTAAGAAATAAGAAAGAATTGATTTGGTTACTCATTCTTTAATAAAACAAATTCCAGTCTATCATATTTGATTAACAAAAATATTTCTAATTAATTTAAAAAGTGATTCTAATCCCCAAAACAAAAAATAATATTTACATACCTGAGCATTTCTTTGCACTTCCATTTGATGGAGAAGCTTTGAATTGTCACTTACTGATGAACTATTTTGAAAAACTTCTGTGACAACATTAAATTCAGCAACAGGTTCCTCAAAATAATTAAAATAGAATATTACTAGATTATGAATAAAAAATTACTTGAAACATTCTTGGCTCCCATAAACGTATAAGTCCATCTCTAGTTCCAACTAAAAGTCTTTGACGTTCTCGTAAGATTCCCATCCCAACAACGGGAGCATTTGAATCTCTCAATCTCATAATTTCACATTCATTAGAAGGTAGACGAGTATCAAATACTGCCAATGTACCATCAGAAAACCCTAAAAATTAAACTATAAATGAATTTAACTGAGAAAAAAAAGTAGAAGGAAATTAAAAATAAAATTCCATATCTAAAATATGTCAGAAAATAAATTAACAATACACTTTAAAATATTGAAGAAAATAAACAAACCACATCCAACAAGATCACAACTCAAATCAGAAGCAATATTTACAACACTTCCTTTTCCATGACGTAATGAAACATCGAAAATAGACTTTTCTGCCCAGGCATCCCAAATTCGACAAATTCTTACATTTCCAGAGCAAATAAGACGCCCTTTGTCTTGATCCCAACTAAATATTTTTAAATTTAATTTAAATATTCTAAATAATAGCATACTGATAAAGTGTTTTATTTCCTTTACCCAGACGTGGCATGTCATTCAACAAATATGTGGCAGTAATTAACTTTGTCTGTCCTTTGAGAGAATAAGAATGCTCACAGAATTGTGGATCCCAAATCTTAAATTTAAAATAAGTAACAAAAAACTAAAAATGAAGGAACTAACAAGGAAATGTTAATAAATTTTTCTACGAGAAAGTTTTTACTGTACTTCGTACAATCCTGGTACAAATCCTGGTACGAGCTTCCAAACAATGGTCACTAATAAAAAAATAAAAACCTTAAGTAATCCATTTCTTGAACCAGTCATCAATAATTCATGAGTTAAACCATTAACAACCATCAAATCGGTAATGGAATCTAAAAGAAATGCCTCGCAGTCTACTTGCCATTCACTGCAAAGTTTGCTGGGAGGAGGTGGTGCTGGTTGTTGCTGAGAGGCAGAAGATTGCTGTTGGAGTAAAGTATCGCCGGTAGGATAACTTGATTTGAAATTTTTTATAGAAAAACTTTTGATTATACCTGTAAATACGAACTCTTCCTCCATCGCTTATATAAACATAAGGCCTCAAAAGACTCCAAGCTAAACTTGTTGCTGGTTGCTCAAATTTCAATTTCATACACTGTACTTCACATCGGGCCTTTTTATCTTTTATAAGTTCCATTTCTTTTTTTGATTTTTGCCAAATTCCATCGTGTATATGTATTGCCCAATCGGTGGGTTGCTCAACTGTGAAAGGCATTTCACTGTTTACAAGTGAATTACGAGTCGAAGTTGAGCTATCATCATAAATAGTTCCATAAAGTGGTTCTAAAAATTAATTTAATTTTTAGAAAGAAAATAAAGAAAATAAAACCTGTCCACGTTTTGGCACACCAATCAACGAAAGATGTCCTCACAAGTCCTTCAGCTGCAATTGTTGAAGCTTGCTCAGCAAGTAATGCATCGCTTATGTCATTATTAACTTGAGAATAAGCACCAGACTTTGTACCAAAAATCTGAAAAATAATAAAAATTATGAGGCAAGGCTATCAATTTTAACGTACACTTCGCTTTGGTGTGTATAAACTATGATGAATAAAGGGATCCATCAATAATCTTCGCTTAGCATTGTCCATAGTTTGAGGAGATTGTCTAAGTGATGTCGAAGGAGGAGACAGCAATTCTTGTTTTTTATTTTCAGAAACCATTGAGTCAGTCATAGAATTTGTTGTTCTGGCACTGCTCCCGTTGCTTGTAGGGGCTAGTTCCGGTGAAATTTCACCTCCATTTTCCTCTTCTTTAATTGTAGATGTATTACCCGTGTCTATGGTCAGAACATTGTTGTCATAGTTTGAACTAGTCGATGGCTGCGCTGAAGGAGAACCAACAAGAAATTTAACCTGAAAAATGAGTAAGTTAGGATACCGAGTAAATTTAGAATACCGATGGATTAGAATGTAAAGTATCATTATTATTATATTCATTATTTCCATCATTATAACCAACATCACTAATTGACTTTGATTGCCCACTGTCATGTCTTCTTCCAGAAACAGTTCTTCCTTCCCCCAAAGAAGCAGACATATGTTTATGACCTTTTTGTTGTTTAAATTCCAAAACTTTTGTACGAGCCTCTTTGATTTTTGTTGAAAGTTCAAATATGTAGGTAATAATACGTTCACCCATTTTACTAACATCCTCAAATGGATCAAGGCCAAGACGCAATACACAAAGCCAAATTCGTTCAAACGGACCAATGAATGCCTTGGCTTCAAGTGTACGAATATGAGCAAGAATTCGATATCTTTATGAAGAATAATATTTAAAAAATTAATATATTAATATTTATATCAGAAACGTTGTAGATTAATAACTTCCTAACTAAAAAAAATACAAAAATATTTTTAATCATACTTGAAAGCGCTTTGAGAATCGATATGGAGACTAGATGACGTTGGACAATCAGATCGAGGTAAAAGACTACATTTACGACTAGAATTTGTACTCTGACGGCTAGCAGGATCTTAATGTATTTTTAATGAAGTTGAAAAAAATAAAAACATACATAGAAGCGAGGCTGATCGAGGAATAATTGAATAAACACTACTCATACTCCTTTTCGGTAAACTGCTCTCAGCAACACTATTTGTTAAACTTTGTTTTTTACCAGTAAAGTCCACAGAAGCCAAGGCTTTATGCTAAAAAGATAATTTTAAAATACAAAAAAATCTCAAATTTTAACACATACCAATTGTGATTCCATTCCTGCATGCACCGTTCCATTGCCAATATGAATTTTTGACCCGCTAATTACTGGTCTTTCTAGTTCGGAATTTTGTTCAGGGAGTAAATGTTCATTCTTTCGATCCAATTCAATACAAATTGCAGCAAAACGTGATTGAAAATCAATAACAAACCATTGAATTGCTGACGCCAATTCTGCACGTACAATTATAGAACCATCATAAATACAATTTTCGCAAAGTTTGTCACACACTTCATTTTCCACCTTGAAAAATTAAAAAAATTCCCTTTAAAACATAAACAAAAATATACCGCTGTTGCATGTTCATTATTTCGTGAAGTATTATGAACGAAACAACCAAGAGCATATACAGCTGCAGCTCTAACTTCTGGTACTTCATCGCTTAGAAAATCAACAGCCTAATAAAAAAACTTTATATTAAACCATTACAAGAAAATTCAAATTTTAAAAATTAGGAAACTATACTTTATCATAAGCAACATTTCTAATAGCTTGCCATCTAGCCTTGTCACATTCTGACCAAAGACGACCTAGTCCAATAAGTAGCCATAAACAGAGCATTCTACATTGTGTAACTTGTTGATTTGATAATAATTCGATGCAAAGACTAACATAGTCACTCTGAACTAATTTATCTTGAGCTGGCCTGCAAATGTTTAATGAAATTTTTATCAGAAATAAATTTTAACAATCGCCTAAACATTTTAGAAAATAATATATAGCAAAAAATTACCTATAATTATTGCAAATTATTGTAGCCATTACAAAAGCAGAAACAATTTTCATACGCGGAGACATTGATTGATCATTGAGTACTTGAAGAAAATAATAATAACTAAAATATAAAATAAATTTAATTAAATAAAAATAGAATACCCATTATCTTTGACAAGATCGTGTTGGCAGATCGGATCAATTGCTAATATTTTTGCCCAAATGAAAGTTAAAGCTGGGCGTAATTCTCTTGTACCGCACTGCAAAAGTTTTAGCACATAGGGGAATATTCCAACAGTAAGTACAGAAACAACAGCCCAGGGACCGAGGTCAACGAAACGAGCCAAAAGTTCGAGTGCTCGAACACGATGAATCTATACATTTAAATTAAACATTTCTTCAAAATAAACAGAGAAAGATCACTTGGCTAAGCAAAACTTGAAGAACAACAGGAAGTTGTTGAGGAGGCTCATTTTTATCTACAGAAAACTTCAACCAAACTTCGAAGGCTTGAAGCTGTTCAATAAAAAACCAACTGTAGGCATATTCAGATTCAGTTATAGCACTTTGAGGGAGTTCAATAAGAACTAGAAAAATTTTTAATAAAATTCAAAAATAAAAAATACAAACAAATAGGTTTAAGTGATGGAGTACCAACATAACAATCAGTTCTAGTAAAATACATAATGCTCTCCTTTGATTGAAGTAAATTGTACATATTTGCAATACATAAATCTAAAACATAATCCCAATATTCCCATAAAGGGTGGGCATGAACAGATGGGAGTTCTGGAGTTGAGACAACATGACAACCATTTTCTAACATTATTCTTTGAGCAAGTAAAAAACTTCGAAATAATGAGGCGATAAGTAAATCCTGTCAAGAAAAAAATAATTTCAAGAAAAAATAATTCTAAAAAACCTGTCTAAAAAGCTTCTGAAAAGTATCTCTACTTAAACAACTCCAAGCAATTGTATCGGTTATTGCTGTAAATATCCAATTTAATTCACCAAGAAGTGTTCTTCTATCAGTTAAAACGCCAGGAATGTCATCAATTATATTCTGAGGAAATCGTGATTTAACTCCCAATTTGAGCATATGACAGAGAAGTGAAGTTTGTATTGGAGTAATTAAGCAACAAGTAAATAAATCTGCAGGTAAATCGGCACAATGAAAAGGAAGTGTTTCACCAACAGAACAGGCACCCAATTGAATACAATTCTGAAAAAAGGAGAAATATTAGGAAATATTCAAAAATAGAATTTTCCGTTTTCAGAGCAAGAAACAAAAAAGAAAAAATAAATAAATAAATTTTCAAAAATCCCATCCTATGTTAATTAAAAGCAGTATAAATAAAAAATCTAAAAAAATACCTTAAATGTCTGGACTGAATGGCTACTTGTTGAAGCTCCACTTGAAGCAACATCATTTCCATTACTCCCGTAAAAATTATTTGAGTCGTTAATTTGGTCAATTGATGGGCCAGGCGAATTGTAGTGTTGCTGTTGTTGAGCTAATCTATCTCTATCTCGCATTGCTTGATAATCTTCCATCCATCTAAAAATATTTTTAAAAAATTTTTGAGTGGGCCGAAATGTCATCATAAAATGAAAAATAATTTATTTCTAAAAAATAAATTTATACTTAATTGAATGATCATCAGCAAATTGCATAAACATTCTAAGAATTGTGCCGGCTGAATTGCAATCCCATAAGTAAACAGAAGGGACGCCCATCCATGATTGGAGATCATATAATGAAAGAGGAATATACTAAAAATATTTTTAATTTAATCAAAAAGAAATAAAAACCTGTGTTATATTTTTGTCAAAAACCCAAATCTCGCCAGCATCTGAAGGTTTCGGCACCCCATGCCCATTAAAGTGAAAAAGCACCCTCTCATCTTTCGCATTTCTTCTCATACTTGTACAGAGTTTACGGACACAATCAACTAAGAAAATTAGAATAACCTTTAATTTTTTCAAAAAAACCTGTCGGGTCAATTGCAGATTTATAACGAGCTCTAGGCTGCAATTTCTCATAAATTTTTTGTAAACTCTGCCCAATTTTTTGTGAAGACCGTTGAGGGTTAGAAGTACTTGGATCAACCCAAGCCTCCTTTCTAGCACACCGCAAAGGTTTTTTAATGTCAGGCGGATCAACACCAACATTTAAACAAAGAACTAAAGCAACAGAAACAGTTTTCATTCTTTCGCGTATTTTACGCCTATAAAAAAATTATAAAAAGAAAATAAATTAAAAAAACCAGTCATCCTTGTTCTTTAAAGATTCTAAAAATGCTCCTTTTATTTCTTCAATATGTCGCGCTTCGCGAAACCAGACTTTTTGTTTTTCTTTGACATTCATTTGTAGAGGCATTTTTTGTATTGAATTTAATTATTGAAATTTTTAGAAAATAAAAATGGAAGAAATTTAAATAATTTTTGTCCTAAAAATTACAGAAAAAAATAAAATAATGATAAACGTAGAAATTCTAATTTTTTGTAACTCTCAAAAATTAAATTTAGCAACAGAATTTGGAGATCCGGTACTGTTTCACGGGTTTTTTGGATGTTTCGGGATGAGGTTGGAATTAAGAATTCGCGGTTTTCCCGGTTCGGGTCCGGCATCGCCGGTCGATTTTCTTTTTTCTTTTCCCGTTTCCGGGTTTTCCATAATTAAATAACCATTAGAGTCTAGCATTTGAAGGAAGTAGATTTTCTTGACGCCTTATTCCCTGACTCTAATAAACATTTACTTAAACATAATTTGTTTTTCGTCTGGATGTCTCCAATAAAAATAAAATATTTTTATGGGCAGTTAAGTCTCAAAAAGTAAAAAACGATTTTAAACGAAATCATAAATTTAATTATTACACAACGTACTTTTAAAAATTTTTTTTTATTTTTTCAGTAAAAATGTACAGTGAAATAGAGGAAGGTGAATATATAGATGAAGGGGACATTGACACCGAGCAAATAGAAAAAGAACAAATTTCCACGAATTTAAGGTTTTTATTTTATAAATTTTATAAAAAAAATAAAATTAGAAAAATGTCCAAAAATCGAAAACTGTCAAAACCACCACAAATTGAAGAAGATGACAATGACGACGATGAAGTTTTAAGACAAAAATTACTTGAAAATTTAGTGAAATCACAGGTAAATATTTTTTTAATTTAAATTTAATTTTTATTAAAAGACTAGAAAACAATTAACAGAATCAAGTGAAGGAAGTATTCAATCACCAAAAAGAAAATCTTCTCAAAATAATAAATTATCTATTTTAATTTCACAATTGGATTCGGCACATAAAAAAAGAGATTCCTATTTAAGTAGACGGCGAGAAATTCAAGTAATTTTTTTTGTTAATTTAAAAGTTTTCACTTAATCCGCGAGGCACTCCTGCCGTTTGTAAGGAGCGCAGTTTTCCTACCATTATATAACCAGGTTTTTTGACATAGTCCCTTATTGCCAAAGCTAATTAAATCTGGTGACTCCCGACATGGAAAAATGGAAAAATTCGCATTAGTCTCATAATAGTAAGAGGCGGTCCCTCCAAACGGCAGGAGTGCCAAAGCCGAAGATTTTTTTATTGAGTAGAAGGCAATCAACAAGATGTAAAATAAGGGGTATTTGTGTAGTTTACATCCCATAGGCACAGCACATTTTTCTTCTCTCCTTTTCTTATAAAGTTGTGCTGTTTTTATTTTCCCAGCGTCGATTTTGTGAATGAAAAGAAAATTTAATTTCTGCAAATTTATTTCTTAAAGTTTTCAAAATAATTTCTTTTTTAATTTTAAAGGAAATGATGACAATTTGTGATTTAGATTTGGAACGAATAAATGAAACAATAAATAAATTAATTACCAAAATTTATTCTGACATTCAATCTGTCGCTAAACAACAGAAAAAACAGCAAAAACAAAATTTAAAAAATGAAATTAAAAAAATTTTGCCTGAAAATGAGAAAAAAACACCAATTTCTAGACTGCCAATTCCAACAAGAAAGCGAAAAAATTTATTGGATAATAATTCTACCAATCGAAAAATTGCAAGAATTATGGACGAAGGAGAGGTATTTTAAAAGAAAAGATTATTTTTTAAATTAATTTTTAGGATCTCGATTTGCGTGAATTAATTCCTTCTAAAGCTGTGGATGTTATTGGACAACAATTGCAACAACAAAAAGAAATACAAAAACCGATATTAATAAATTCTAGAAATGAAGATTTAAATCAACATTTAGTTCCACAATTAAAAAGGTTTTTAAATTTAAAATAAACTAAAAATTTTGGTTAGGAAGTTCAACAAATTCCAGCTTTTAACTCTATGTTGGCTGCCAAATTATATTTTAAGACAAATTGCATTTGGGCGGCCAATTGGGGACACTTAAAATTTTATTTTTCTTTTGAAGGTGGGGTTGGGTTCCGTTACAGTTCTTCATGTTCGGGACCTATGCCCACTTGGTTTGGAGGGGACAGGTCTCTTCAAAATTTTTAAAGTTATAGCCAATTATTACAAATTTCAGAAAAACGATAGGGTAAGGAACGGTCCCAAACCAGTTGGGCATAGGTCCCGAGTATGTTCTCGATTTGAGTGAATTAACGGAACCTAACCCCAACGTTGAAACACAAAGAAATATCGAAATTTTTGGATTTCAGTCCCTAAAATTTAATTTGTCCTGAATGTAATTTGGCCGGAGAACATATATTTACTTCCTCCAATTGTCTTTACAAAGGAGTCTAATATTTAAATAAAAAATTTTATAAATTTAAATATTTATTTTTTTAAAGTTTAACAGAACCAATCAAAGTGATCAATAAAAAGAAGAATATTCCTCAAAGTAATATTCCTCTTGAAGAGGGTGAAATAGCTGAAAATGATGAATCATTTGAAGGAGAGGAGAATGTTGTTAATGAGAAAATAAAAGAAAACAAAAATACTAATCAAGTTAATGAAAACAATTTAGTAGAAAATGAAGTTTTGATAGAAATGGATAAAAATACAACATCTATAGTACCTGAATTTTCTGAAAATTTGGAAGAACAGGTAAGGAAAAATTAAAATATTGGGAAAGGGTATTTTTAAAAAGATAAAAATTATAAATATAAACAGAATATGTATTAGAAAAGAAAAATTTTTTTATTTAAAAATAAATTTTATTTAAAAGACCCTATCTCAAAAGAAGGGTCGAATCATTTTTTCATTACTTTATTGAAATGGTCAATTTTCCTTAATAGTTGATGGTTGTTTATGTTTTCCGTAAGGAAAATGGAGAAAAGAGATTTCAACAACTATCAACTATTAGGGATAAATTGACCATTTCAATGAAGCAATGAAAAAATGATTCGCCTTCTTTTGGGATAGGGCCATAAATCAGAATTATAATAACTTTATTTTTCAGAATTTTCTTACAAAAATTCTGTACCCAATTTTTATTTCAAAATAATTTTGAAATTTTTTTAAAATAAAATTCTAATCAAAAATTTTTTTTATTCTTTTATAGGATGCTAGAAAAGAATCTCCTTCTCCCCCAACACTTCTACCTCCATCACTTCCATTAATGAATATTCGTTTATACAGGTATTTTACTTAAATAATTTTTTTTTTATTTTCTGTAGATTAAGTCCAAATTTCCCTCAACATTTATTATCACATCCAGCATTTTCAAGTAATTTAAATCCATTTATTCCTCTTTGCCCATTTCAATTAAATGGACGTTGTGCAGACAAACATTGTTTATTTCAACATGAACAAGATTATATTTTAAACGAAAAAGAAATTGTTGAAGAATTTTTGTCTTATTGGCCAAAACTTGTACCAAAAGGAATGGGAAATTGTAAAAAAATAATTTTTTCAATTAAAAAATTCTTAAATTTTAAATAGCTGATTATGCTACAAAGATGTTGGCAGAAGGCCCATTAGACCAAGTACTTGGATTTTTAATGGCTAGTATGCCCGATGATGTCCGGATTTGTTTAAATTTATTTTCTGGAAAATATTTTGAATATTCTCGTCAGGCAGATAAACAAATAATTAGAGGTTTTAAAAGATTTTTGAATTAAAAAAATATTTTTTTAGATGATCAAATTGAATATGAACAAACAATAAAAGGGGCTGTCGGTCAACCAAAAGGGTGGTTGTCGTTATCACAACAAAAAGGTAATATGAAAACTGTAATCAACAAAAATGACAAAAAGAAGTGGTTTGAGCCGAGAAATAAAAATAATATTATTGAATCAGACTAAAATTTTTATTGAAAAACTAGACAAATTTATATTTTATTGTAGAATATTTGTTTTGAAATTGGATTTTTTCTCAATAACATGTATATAATTGGGATTATACAAAGTGATTAAAAACATATTTTTATGGGATATTCTGGTAGAAAAATTTAGCTAGAAAAGAACTTCGGTTAACCAAAACCGGAGATCAGCCAAAAATTAGGGGTGGTACAGTTCCTTTGGGAAAGTAGTACTTTCCTTTGGAGAGTACTTAACGAACAGGCTACGTTTTGCAATAGAAAAAACTTTGTAATGTTTGTATATTTTATTTTAGCATACCCTTATGTAAACGATTTTAAAAAGTAAATACCGGTTATATCTAAATATATTGAAAGAACTAAAAATTAAAAAAAATTCCAGAATTTTTTATCCTAAAAAACAAAAGAATTTCACTAAAATAATTAACGATTTACAATAAAATTATCTAAACCAAAAATCCAACTTTTACTCCATCCTAGTTGTTGCACTGGCAGAAGCAAAATAATGTTGCTCAAACATGGCAGCACGTCTTTTAGCTATAAAGTGTTTTAAAAAAGTAGTAAGAAAAGTTTTTTAAAGTTAATCAGAAAATTTTTATATTCCCCTCAAAAAAATATTTCAAAAATTATAAAAAACGGATAAAATTATTTGACGAATCTCCAATGAATTATAAAAAAATTCCTAAAAATAAACTAACCATGATCCAACCATTCAACGGTAACGGGATGGTAATGATAAGCTTTATAATCCTGTCGTTCAGCAATTAAATGTTTAACACGAGCCTCAATTCTATTCCATCGATTTCTAATTTGCCAATGAGAAAAACGCGAAGCCCAAGACTCGTGATATTGCATATCTTTTTTGATTAAAAAAAATTAAAATTAAATTTAAAAGATTTACCGCTTGGAGTAATATAACGGGCTAAAAATTGTCGTAAAGGTGTTCTCTCAAATTGCCAATAATGAGGAGGCTGTTCACCTTCTTTTGGGTATTCTTGAAGTTCACATTGACTACCTAATAGTTTTAATTAAAAATAGTTAAGGAGAATAATTTTGTTTTCTGAACCGCCAAAATTTTTCTATATACTTTTGCCCTCGGATTTGAAGGAATTAATTAAAGCTCTTAAAACGAGTGGTAAAAGTAAATTGTGTCCAACATCTTTCTCATAACCTTTTCCTTTCACAATTTAACTGTTAGAGACAATCTTTTCAATATTTTTCAAAATTGGATATCGAAAACAAAGATAGAAAACATTTAATTTTCAGTAACTTTATGAAATTTATTTATCAATTCTGGGTAACTAACAATCATTTATTAGTTTTCAGAAAAACTAACCGAATATAGCATGTACTACAATCAAAAGAAGAAAGCCAGGAATTAATCCAAGTCCAACAATATAAAAATGACCACCGTCCTTAAGCTTGTTGCTAATTAGTTGTCCTTGACGCCGACGAAAAACCCAGGCATGACCAGAATGACGAACATTAATTACTGAAAATAATTTATAAACTGTTTAAATTAAGCTCGTCCCCTGACAACTTTTCAGCCAAAAACCCCGACCCGAAGGCTCTACTCCGGCAAACCAGCCACCTCCGCAGGCTCGTGGTTCTCCCTATTTTAGATGACTTTCAACAAAACACCTCCAACCAACAAAAATACGAAAACCAGCCTTACACAAACAAATACTTTTAAACCAAACCTGTCTGTTGTCCATTCCCTACGAGAAGAAAATAAACTAAATCACTCCGAGGAGCAATTTGACGAGCATTGTGTAATAAAGGCGAAAGATGCAAAAATTTGCTGATAGCAGGCATAAATTAAAAAATATCCTTAAAATTATCTATTTTCTGAATTAAAATTAAAATAAAAAATAAAAAAATGTTCAAAAACACTTTAAAAATTAAACAAAAATAATTCCAACACAATTTATACTAAAAAGAAAATTGGTTATTTTTACACAAAAAATGGAACACACAAAATTTTGTGTTTTTTTTATTAAAATAATTTTATACATTTAATTTGGGTAGGGGACGATTCAGTATCGCCGATTCAGTATTGGCCGATTCAGTATTTGGGCTTTTTGGCCATAACTTTTTGCTCGATCAATATTGTGGGAATTATTATATATGATTTGATAGGCCTCGGGGTGCTGCATCTTTTTCATAATTGGACTGACCTGATCTTATCACTCTACAAAAAGTTATCACTGATAAACGACGTCACAGGCATAAAGAATCGGTTTTCACGCTGTAACTTTTTTTGTGATCATCAGATCAGATCGGGCCAATTATGAAAAAGATGTCGAATCTTGAAACCTTTCGAATGATATGAAAATTATTCGAATCAGTCGAGTATCAAGAAAGTTATGGCCATATACTGAATCGGCGGATACTGAATCGGCGATACTGAATCGGCTATACTGAATCGGCGATACTGAATCGTCCTTAACCGTTTAATTTTAAGAGAAAAAATAGTAGATTGTGAGAAGAAAATGGAATTAAAAATTGTTTTTTTTACTTTAAAAGAACAAAAATATATTTTGGTCAATATAAAGCAAAAAAATGAAGTTTATTTATTTATTAGTGGTAAATGTTTTTATTTCGGTAATAAAATGTACATGTTTGGAACTAGAGAACTTTAAAATTTGTTTATTTAAACATTAAAATACCCAGAATTCTTAAAAAAAATTTTCTGTTAATTTTATTAAAATTTCATTCAAGTTCTCTAGTTAATCCGTGAAAGAGTTTTATAATGAAAAAGAAAAGTCAGTAGGTAAAATGTCAATCAAATCAATCTTAAAACATCCAATTCCCATGTAAAAGATGGAACATAAAAGGGAATTTAAAAATATTTTTTTTCTAATTTAATAATTTCTAAATTCAAAGAAACTCAATTTAAATGAAATCCAAAATTTAATTTAAAAATTCCCTCAATGATAAATTTAAATTTAAAAAGGAAATAATTAGAGCAACATTTTGATAGTATTTAAATTTTTTAATTAAACCCAAAATCACAATCAAATTCCATTCATTTGTGCAAGCTGTAGATTTTGTTGCTGAATTGCCCCAACGGCACCAACAACAGCTGCTGCCGCCAATCCTCCGCCACCTGGCCCAGCAGCAATTGCTCTGTTATTTGCAACATTTAAAAAATCCCAAATCAAAATTGTGTCGTCGTGAGAAGAACTTATCTAAAAAATTAATTATAAAAATACAACTTTTTAAAATCCTTACAATTTGGAATTCATCAAATTGTAGTCTAAAAACTCTTCCTGTATGCTCTGACAAAGTTTTTAGACATAAACTATTAGGCGGTGTTCGCGGATCGAGAGCAGCTTGTAAATCCCATATTTTAATTTTTCTAAAATATTTAAAAATTAAAAGAAATTTTTTTTAGAATCTTTACCCGTCATAAGCACCCGAAACAATGCGTTTGGAATCAAATCGAATGCATCTAACAAGCTCTTCGTGACCTTCTAGCACACGCAGACAATTGCCACATTCAATGTCCCAAAGACTAAAATATTAATGTAAATTAATTCCAAAAAAGGGAAAAGTTTTAATCAAAAGTAACCATAAAAGGTAATTGAAAGGGAAAATAAATTAGGAAAAAGGTTAATTTTAACCAAAATAAAATCTCGTTATGGTTTGAAGAAAAATCACCTAACCCTTAATTTTATTTATTAACTAGTGTTAAGCCAACTTCACAGACAGATCCAAAAAGTTAAAAACTAATATACCGTATAGAAAAGTCGCTTGAACCAGAAACGATTAACCGATCTCTGTACTGCAAACAAGCTATACCGCGCTTATGACCATTAAGAGTTCGCAAAAATTCGCAAGTACCGGCATTCCAAACCTATGCAAATTAAATTTATATAAAAAATAAAATGAAAAACCTTAATTGTGCGATCACCACTAGCAGAAACAATATAGCGTTGATCAAAATCTACAACATTAACAGCAGCGCGGTGTCCTACAAGCACACGCCGAATGTTTATTTCTGTAGGGGATGCCATATCCCAAACGGCGATAGAACGGTCTTTAGAACTAGAAAGGAAAAAGTATATTGAGACAAAGAAAAAGCTAACCAAGTAACCAAAACTCCATCTTGGAATCGTAAGTGAAGAACAGCCTCACAATGATGAATGAGTGTATTTAATTGAGCACCAGTCCTCACATCCCAGATTCTACAAAAATTAAATTTATGACTATCCCATGTTTATAGTTTTGAAAGAATTAAAAAGAAATTTAAAATACATTCAAAATATGAAAACAAACCGAACAGTTGCATCACTACTTCCACTAGCAATAATTTGGTTGTCATATTGTAAACAAAGCACAGAGCCAGTGTGACCAGTGAGAGTAGCAACACATTGAAGAGCAGGACGATTCCAAATCTTTATTGTATTATCACGCAGCCCAGAGACAATCTTTTCATCATCATATTGAAGACAATAGACACCTAAAAATTGAAAAATAATAATAAATAAAAATATAAACATATTATAATCAATATTAAAATAATGAGAAAGTAGAATTTAGTGAGAATAAATCAAATTTAAATATAAAAATACCTTTACTATTTTCTGATCCACAATTAATTCGTTCAAGGCGATGATGACCCTCGCGCCAATTTTGTTCAATTTGACGAATGTCTGACATAATTTGAGGATAGAGACCGCTAAAAGGAAAAATAATAAAAAAACAAAAATAATTAAATACCGATAAAATTTATGCTGTAATTCTAACGGATCAAATTCTTTATCAATTGGTCTACGAAGTTTTTCGAAGTCAGCAACACTATAACCACTCGCTGCCAAAATAGAACAAGTTGCCTGATTCTTAGATACAAACAGAAAGTTTTTCCTAAAAGTTTTAGATTTTTATGCAAGCCCACTTATTAGACATTATAAAAGAAATTAAAAGTGTTATGCAGGTGGTTTAAATATATTAATATTTTTTATCACCTTCCTTTCTTATCTATTTTGCCCCTATTTCACAATATATTAAAGTAAACAATTCACTCATCCAACTTTCAAGTATTTTCCTTTCATCTTATTCAAATTGTTGCCCTTCAAACAGAAACCCTTTTACTTTTATTATATCAAATGTATTGTCCTTATCAGGCCCGTAGCCAGGATTTTTTTTCGGGGGGGGGGGGGGGGGGGAATCCCCCCTGGCTACGGGCCTGGTCCTTATGTCTTTATCATTTTCCGCGTGTCCTTCCCCCTATATATTTTCAATGGCTTTGAAGCCTAGCCTGACCGTAATTTCCGTTTAAATATAACGAAAAACTCAAAATATTCGAGTTTAGGATCATTTTAATAAATATGCTTGAGAGACGTAATAAAAGAATTAGAAAGGAAATTATTAAAATTATTAAATGAATTATTAAAATTAAAAGCAACCATCCCCTTTTATTAGCCAGTCCCTGCCAGAGTTGATCAGAACGAAATTTACGTTCAAAAAACTTTCGCCACAGCATCCCATTAGCAATCACTTTGTGCCATTCCTTGCTAACTAATTCACAAGCATACAAAGACTGGGCATCAAGTAATTGTAAAACATTTTCAGCCAAACCAGTTGGCAACAAACTGATAAAATCTCTTTTTAGCATTGGTCCAAGAAATTGATCTATTTGTCCATGTTGATGATGACACATTCTTTGAAGTAAATGTTTGCAAAAATCAGTTTGGTCCTGCTCAGTCCATGCCATAAATTTCTAATTTACAAAAATATTCCTCAAAAAAGAGATAAAAAACAAACCGAAATTAAATTATCTCGTTCACACAAATAACGTTCACTTAAAACCTTTTCACGTTCCCCAAGTGTCAATTCAGCCAAAATGTGTGCAGTCGAAGAGCTCTAAAAAGTAGAAGATTTTGAGATTAATTAGAGGAAAGTTAAAAGATTTTACCGGATTCATTCTTGGCCTTGAACGATACAATTGAAATAATGGCCAGAAAAGTCTATAATGTCCTAAAAAATATAATTAAAAAATTCAAGAAATTATTTTAAAAAATTAAAAAATATTTAGCCGTAAACTATGTGAAAATTAGACAAATTGTCTCAACTATAACAAGTTAAAAAATAAGTCTAGAAAAAAGTCTAGTCCAACAATTAGACTGCATAAATAATGCTTGACTATCAGTATAGGGTACAACCCAAAACGGCGCGCGGCCATAACGGCGCAAAGCCATAACTTGCTGGAAAATGTCTGGCCCTTAACAATTTCGGGTCCAATCTCCTTAGCTCGATCTGAGGAATCGTTTGATACTAAATATGGTAAGATTAGGAAAACTTTAAGCAAGTTATGGCTTTGCGCCGTGATTGCCTCGCGCCGTTTTGGGTGTGTCCCAGTATAGCCCATATAACACCAGAGAAAATTAACTAGTGGATGAGTAACTCGGCGCAAAGCAATTCGGTGTAATTCTATAACTTTTGATAAAAATTACTAATTTAATATCTTTAAGAAAACTCGTTAGAATGCAGAAAAAATATGCTAAAAATTAAGCAATCAAAATTTCAAATAAAATGCAAAAATAATTATAAGTTTACGCCAAGATGAACTGCGTCTAATCGGGTGCAAGAGGAAACGATAGAGAGGAGACGATAGAAAAAATCGATTTGTAAAAATGGCATCAACCAAAATGGTTAAGACAAAATGGTCTTGGGACAGAATGCCACTACGACAAAAAAGTGCCCGAACTATTCATGCCCAAACAAAATATCGATTTGTCAAAATCTCGGACGGCTAAAAGTGAGTTAAAATCTCGACATGGTTAAAAGTTTTAAAATATCGAAACTTTAAAATATCACTAATTTAAAATCTCGAATTACCTAAAAAGGGTCAAAACATCGACACGGCCAAAAAAGGTTAAAATGTCTATTTTTTTAAATTCCGAAAGGGCCATTTGAGTGCCAGCACTTTATTTTTTTATTATACTGTTTATTTTAAATATGTATTTATTTATTATTTTTTTGTTCTGATTTCATGTTTCGATTTATTTTTGCTTATACTTTAGTATTTATATCCGCGGAAAAAAGTTTATGTCGCTGCGGAGGAAGTCAGGGCATGTTGAGCCTCAGGTTTAGTAGTACATATACAAATTTCTTTATCAAACGATAAAAAGTTTTGTTAAAAGTTGAATGAATTTGATTAGAATTTTTGTTAAATAAAGTTTTTGGTCTTTTAATTAATTAAAATATAAAAAAATCAAAGTAAAGGTTTTATCGACTTAAAAATTCTTTTCTCTTCATCAATTAAAAATAATTTATCTAATTGTTTAACATAAATTATTGCTGTACTTCCAGGCATTGTTTTGGGTAATTTTTTGTTTTCCAACATTTTCCAGTTTGGGTGATTGTTGTCATTTAAATCTAAAATCCATATTTCCCCATTAAAAATTCCTTTATTCAATCCAAATTGTTTAGTCCCAGCAAAATGAATCCAAACATTTTTGTTTGCAATAAAAGCATTGGCTAAAGAGCCAGAATAATTAAATTCAGGGTGATTAGTACTTTCAAACTTTAAATTAAAAATATTTTGGTTGGCTGCCAATAGGTAATTTTTATTAAATACTTTTGTGGACAAAAATATAGGGACAAAAGTAGGTGAAAATAAAACTGGGCCTACTACTTATATCTCATTTCAGTGTCGAGATCATGTTACCCTGAACGTGAAATTTGGGGTTTCAAAAATAATTTCGACCCCTTATTTTAAAATTTTCTATTAGTCTTATTCGAAAGCCCTTGAAATTTGCTATAATTTCATTTTCAGAAATTCGTTGTTGTAGAGGTTGAATTCAAGTGTTAGTCCCTATCAGAGGTGGGTCGGAACAGTCAAAGGTGTCAGAAGTCGGAAGAACCGGAAATCGGAACTGGCTCAAAAGTCAGAAACGAAAATCAATTTTTTTCGGAAATCGGAAATCGTGAGGATCAGAATTCCGACCCAACTCTGGTCCCTACCCATTTTCTCCATTACTGTATTTTAAACTAAATTGTTAATTTTTACTTTAAAAAAATTTTACTTTAATTAATTCAGACATTTTTCCTTCTTCCAAAGACAATTTCAATAGCCAATTTGGTTCCCAACGAAATCCACAACATAAAATCCCTCCTTGTACATAAATTAATTTATCAGAAAATAATATTGAATGTGTTGGTTGAAATCCTTGAAAATAATTTGCCGGTAAAATTATAGGAATATTTTGACATTCAATCTCTCTATTCTTTTTTATTTTTAATAAATAAATATTTATATTATGATTTTCATATGAAACAAAATATAAATGTTTATTTCCATTTTCTTTTAATTCTCCAGCTAATATTAAATCATTTCTGTAACTTTCATCAGAAGGAACTAAAAAATAAATAGTACATACATTTTTTATTTTATTTTAAAATTTTTTTTGTTTTTTGGTCATAAAAAATTTAAAAATTGCTCTTCGCTTTATATTTTTCTATTTTATTTTTTTTCCAAAAAAATTCATCCAAATTTCTGAACAAGTATAAGGATTGATCTGTCGCTAACTAGTTAACGAAGGAAAAAACAAAAGCATAGAAGATGGTTGGTATCGGCTTTTAATAATAACAACAAATTCGCACCAGCCGATGGGTGGGTGGATGGCCTAGAGGATTAGGCCTCGTGTCAGTTTGGAGAGAAGGGACCATGGATCGACCAGAAGTCCAACCCGATTTTTCACAGATCAGTATTTTTAAATATCGAATCGAGTTAATCTTTACTTTCTAGTTTGGCATTCTGTTAAATAAAATTTCGGGGTTTTTTCTAAATTTAAATAAACATTGTAAAATATCTCCTACCAAAATTATTATTCTCTTCAAATTCAAAAAATAATTCCCAACATCTTTTATTTTTATTGAATTGATGTAATGAATAAAAACACATTGCCCCAAAATGAGAAAATAATAAAAGAAAAATTTCCGAGTCAGAAACAAAAATTAATTCCCCAAAATGTTGTTTAGAAGAAATTGCTTCTAATTGTTTTGGACCTCCCCAAGTATTTGTAATTGTGTCGAAATAATCAGAATGAGAACCATTAAATGCTACATAATTCCCCCAATGATAATTTGGACGTTCAAAATCTTTAAAAAATTAAAAAAAGGGTTTGTTTATTTTTTTAGTGGTGGAATGAAAAATTACAAACATTTCTGTCCAAAAAACCACAACTTTTCTTCACTAAATACTACTTTTTGATATTCCTCTAATTTATTCTGATATTCCCCAATTTTTTGAAGCCAATCAGATTTTGAATTCATTTTTGATTGGAATAGTAAAATTAAATAAAAATCTAAAAATAAACTTGATATAAATTAAGTAAAACAATACTGGATATCTAACGTTTTGTGGCTTCGGGTTCTACCTTCTACGAAGCTTGGCTCCGGCTCTGGGTGAATCCGGTTCAGGATCTAACTCCGTGAGCCATACACTAGAGGTGGGTCGGAACAGTCAGAGGTGTCGGAAATCGAAAATTTCGGAAACCCACCTCTGCCATACACAGCACTAATTATTTAAATACAAATATATTTATATTTAAATATTGAATTTATATAAATAGAGTGTTTACAGCTGGAATAAATAAATTCGCAATAATGAGAGAATAACTGGCTGACGAGCGAATTTACTTAAGTGAATGAATGAAAGATTGATTGTCCAAAAATGAGTCATCATATTTTTTTAGAAATATTATTTTTAAATTAATTAATTTATACAAATTCTCATATTTACTACAGTTATTTATCCAATAAATAATAATTATTATTAATTAAAAAATTGAAAGATTTTTTAGAAAATTTACAAAAAAAAATTATATCTATCTTAAGAATAAAAGAAATTTGTTAAAAATTATTAGATTATTAAAGATTTTGTCAACTTTTTTATAAAAAATTGCAACAATCACAACCAATTTTTATACATTTTGTGAGTAAATAAAAAATTTTAAAAAAAAATTTGAAAAGAAAATACGAACAAAATATTTTTAGAATAAAAAAAAGTGATTTAAAAGATAATATTTAAATTAAAAAGACTTTAAAAACATTCCAAGTTTTAACTACAAATCTCTCTCATTTTTAAAAGTTCTCATACAAAAATGCATTTATGTAACTATCAATTCTTTGTTCCTTTAAAATTAAAAAAATTAGAATTGTTTGAATTAATAAAAAAATTATTTTAAAATTTAATTCATACATCTCAATCATTTCTTAACTTTCAATTTTACCACGACATAATGGACAAATCTAAAATTGCATTCAAGTAATTTGAAAATAATTTTTATAAAAAAATTAATATTTATTTTTAATTATCTATTTATTTAATAAAATAATAAATAAATATATATTTATAGGGTTGTCTGTTCCTGGAAATTCTTCGGATATCCGGAATCGAACCGAAAAATTATCGGTTCTTCGGTTCGGTTCGTTTCGGTCCAGAACCGACAACCCTAAATATACTATTTTGTCTTTCTTGCTGTTTAACCTATTTTTATTTGATTTATATTTTAGATATTTAGTATTTTTACTTGCACATGTTGAATACATTTTGTATGAAATATATGCTGAAAATTATAATTTAATTGTTTAAAATAATTTTTAAATTAATTAAAAATTATTAACATTGCAAGGAATAATTTTTTGTGTTTTTTCACCATTTTCGAGTTCTTCTAAACAAATTGGACATTCATTTGTGTTTGGAGCTTTAAAAATATTCTCTTTATTTAAAAATAAAGAATATTTAATTTTTACGAAATGGAGGTTCATCAAAAAATAATTGATTTGAATTAAAACGATTAATTATTTCATTTAAACTAATCTCTTCTAAATCATCTTCAATATCAAAACTAAAATTAAATTTTTAATAAATATTCTTCAAATATTTAGTATTTACCTATTATTTTTTAAAAACAAATTTGGAACAAAATTACAATTTCTATTTATTTTCTGTTTCGGTTTTGTTATAATTTTCAAACATTTTTCAATTTGTTCAAATTTTGAAGTCCCTTTTTTGTAAATTTCATTCAAAATTTGTTTTTCTTTTCCCCAATCCCAACTATAAATATAATTATTTAAATTAAATTCAATTTTGTATTTATCTTCAATTGCTTCTTCACTTTTAGTAATTTTTGAGGGGGCTACTTTTATTTTTACATATTCATTTCCAAAATTTGCAAATAAAAAATTAGTTAAACATTTCGACTGTTTTTCTTTAAATTAATTATTTTAAAAATTTTATTAAATGGGGGATTTTTAAGGAAAGAAATTAAAGAAAGTTAATTAAATTTCAGCTTTTTAACTCCTTTCAATCCGTATGTATCCTTGATATTCCACTTAATCACCCGTTATCCGTCTTAATCATACCTAACCCCAATAATCCCTCATAATTGCATATATTTCATTTAGTCACTCCTCAATCCCACCAATTTCACTTAATCCCACAAAATCCCCGATGTCACCCTTAATCATATAAATCCATCGGTATCCCTTCTAATTCCACATACAAAAGAATAAATATTTAGAACGGTGGTACGTTAGGAGAGGTAAGTTGGACGGCAGTAGATTGGCCTGCTCCCAGAAAACCCTGTACATATTCCTTTACTTTTAGGAAGGCCAAGAACTTTTCTCTCTCTTCCAAACATTCCAGGTTTTTTTAAATAAAAATTACCTAACAAATTCTGATATTTTTCAGATAAACTTAAATATTCTTTTTCAATTAAAATCTTTTCAATATTTAATGATTTATTCCAAAACTTTGAGGAAACAAATTTTTTATTTTTATCAAAACATTTATTTGTATATTCTTTCCCCATAAATTCTTCCATTTCTTTTTTTGAAATTAAAAATAAATTATTTTTTAAAAATTCTTTAGGAATTCCCCTTTCAATTTTCCATTCTCCATTAATTTTTTTGGCAAAAATTTTTGTTTGGATATTTTTGTTTTTAATTAAAATATAATTAGAAATACACTCTTCTGGATATAATTCTTCGGTATAACACAAAGAAAGAAACAAAAATAAAATTAAAAAATTCAAAACTATTTTTAAATAAATTAGTAAATACATTGAGAAATTTCTTTTGAAATATTTTTATTTAATTTTTTTTTAATTAAAGGAGAAGATTAAAGGAAAAGGGCATTTACTATTTACTTAGAGGATTTCTAAATAGGCAATTGAATATTGGATTTTATTTAATTGATTATATGCACTATACATATATAGATTTTTATATATTTTTTTAAAATTTTTTATACAATCACAAAATCGGAAAAAAGAATAAATATTATTTTTTGGGAACTTCCAAAAAAGTTGCATTGTTCTGGACTAAATATTTATTTATTTGTAATTCCCTAGATATGTATAATTAAGTTGATTTTTGTTTTTTAAATTTTCTAAAAAAATTTTTTTTTATTTTTCATTAATAATTCTGAAAATAACTTTAATAAATTGTGAAAATTTATATAATTAATTAATTTAAAAGGGGATTATGAGGGTATAATTACTAGGGCTAGGATTTTAGGCAAAATGACTGTTTTTTTCCTAAATAGGCCTGATGCTGAAACGTCCAAATCAGGTGTTATTTTACTGAAATCTTCTTCCTAACTAATTTTATCGTTGCCTAAAATTGCCTATTTTGGCTTTTTCCGAAAAAGTGCCCTATTTTGCCTTTTTTCAGGCAAAATATTTTGCCTTTTTTTTCCTCCTTTAATTTCTACTTTACCTACAAATATGAACTCTCATTTATTATAATTTGTCTATTTACTTATATTTATTTGAAAAAATGAGTGTTATAAAAATTTTTTAAAATTTTTTTAAAATTATAAAAATTATTCTTAAATTTCTCTGTGAATATAATATCATTATTATCTTGTTAAACTTGTGATCTCTTCCCAAATTACCAAGGACAACACCAAGAGGAGCCTTCCTTAGCAATGTATTTACAGTGTTTGAACACTCGTATAATCCCTCTTGCTCTTTTAACGTATCTACATTCTTCTAGAATATGGTCACTAGGTCCTCTACAGGCTGAAAAAGTTAAATTTCTTAAATTAGAATTGAAATATTTTAAAATTTTCTCTGACGTCTATCCGATATAGCTCCACAACCGCAATCGGCAATGGCATCTAAAATTAACAAAAATAATTTTAAAAATATTATTAAGTGTAGAGTTTTTTTAAGAAACAAGAATTTATGGCGTATCCCAAAAATCTTTTTTCTAGTCTTTTGGGTTAATTAATTGTAATTAATTTAAACTAGGGCTCGTCCCCGACCCCAAAGCTCTCTCCCCGTTATGGTCCTAGACCCCGAACCTCGAAGGTGAGCCTCCGACAATCCCCGATCCCCGACAAACACTTCCCCGAAAGGAGCGTGGACGAATCCTAATTTAAACTTAAAAACCTGTCTCAATCAACATTTGACTAATTAAGAAGATACATAAACATAAAGTAAAAAGTCCACGCATTATTATTTTTTTTAATAAATTTTAATTCAATAAATTTTTTAAACAAAAAGTTTATTCTACTTAAAAATAGAGAGAATAAAAAGTTTTTTAATTATCAATATATGCTTGATATAAGGAGATATTTTGTTTGGTCTCATGAGTCCCTTATTCGACCTTTGATTGTTATTTATTAATTAATATATAAATAAAGTAAGGTGGACGTGCCCATTCCAAAAGTGGGGTTTGTTCCTTTTAGCTCTCTTAATCAAGAATTGTTTTAATCGTTTAACCATCCCACCACCTATAGATATTTTTTTCGTTTTTTTGCTTTATCTACTATACTGGAACTTTTCCAGCCTTAAAATTGTTATAGGTTCTATAATATTAAAAATAAATAAAACTGTATAATAATTAAACTCAATAAAATAAAAATAGAAAAAAATGTTTTGAAAACTCCAAACTAATCAAGTTGTTTAAATAACAAAAATGTTGGTCTACACATCTTAAATGACGTCTAAATTCTGTAATACTTTTTTGTTTATGAAAAAATTAAATGCTTTGTTTATTTTTCAAGTTTACACATAAGTAGTTAACAATAAAATTTCTCTTAACGATCCTTGTTTTTATCATGCAACAATAACCGTAGTGCGACACTTGCGGACCGACTTTTGCGGACCGACATTTGCGGACGAACATTTGCGGATTGCGGATAGACATTTACGGACCGACATTTGCGTACGGACATTTGCGGATTGCGGACCGACTTTTGCGGATTGGACATTTGCGGACCGTTTTTGGGAAAAAATTTTGAAAAATTAAATTTAATTTTCAAAAACGAAAAAAAATATTTAAGTTTTTTTA